AAAAAAAAAAAAAAAAAAAAAAAAATTGGCGAAAAGCCCCGATGAAACCCGAACTCGCCAGTGACTGTTGCGCCCTCCTACTGTGCCGTGAACGTTCCTCTCACTGCAACTGCCCAGTGCTCTCGTCTTCAGGGGGGGGCCATTTCTCTCCTCCTAATTCTAAAAAAAAATTGTAAATCGAACCGAGCCCAATCAGTATAATGGCACTGTTAATGAGAAATGCCTGCAGGGCCCTGTCTCAGGTGAGAATCCCCAAAAAATCCTCTTCAATATAAATTCCCCCAGAGCTCTGTTATCAATGAGAAAAAAAAATCCACATGTGCCGTCGAAGCTCCAGTTTCGAGGGCGAAAAGTATTTATGCAATGTTATTTCTCCTCGACAGACAGCCCAGAAAGGTGTAGTCAGAAATTTGAGCTCCTCAGCAGTTCTTCAGCAGCAAGAAACTGTAAGGTGCACGAAACCTCAAGGGTTTCCTTGTACATTCGTATTATGTCACTTTCTGCTGGTCCTATTTATTTGATTAATAACGCAATTGACTGCAGGTGATCGAGCAAGAGGGCAAGACCAAGTGCACCCTCATCCCTGGAGATGGTGTTGGGCCGGAGCTCGTTGTTTCAGTCCAACAGGTGTTCAAAGCTGCCAATGTTCCTGTGGAATTTGAGCCTTATTTCTTGTCTGAAGTCAACCCGACATTGAGTGCACCACTGGAACAAGTTTCCAATAGTATTGCGAGAAATCGGGTTTGCCTCAAGGTAGGATATTCATTCAAGGCCCGGGTGGATTATTTTTCGAACGTGATCTTGGTTTTTTTTTATTTTGATAATCTGAAGTGATCCTGCTATTCAGCTTTACATAGCCCTGGAGTCTCCGAAAATTACGATTGTACAATCAAAAGAACGGAAACAAGCTGGAGATTTTCGAAGAGCATTTTTGAATAATATTGGGAAATAAACGCAGTAGGGAGAAAATTGGAAATTAATAATTTGATGTATCTAATGGGTGTTGGTCGTCATTTGTCGCAGTAGTCGATGGCTGTCACCCGTTCGATATTTTCTCTCTACACTGAGAGAAAAGCAGACGTCGAGCAAGTCTTGTTTGGGCCAACAAAATCGCTAGTTGAAAATTGCCAAAAAAGAATTTGTTTGGTTCGAATTTGAAAGTTCTGCTTTGATTGTTCTGCTTTCGATGGCAACGAAATATTTGGCTCAGGAGGCGGATAATTCACACCAGACGGTGCCTCTTCAGGATGAAAATATCTCATATAGAGGAAAATTTATCAACTAATATTTTATCCCTAAGTTACAAGATTGCTATCATATCATTATTATTGTTTCATTTAAGGGTTCATTTCTTGTCTGTGATTATTAGACAGCCGAAACGAATAACTACTATCCCTTGTTTCGCATAAAAGAAAGATTTTTCGGGAGCAAAATACGTGTGGGAGTATCGAATAACGAAGGAGTAGTGCTAGAAATGACATTTCTTGCGTGTACAGAGAATGCAATTTTTTTTTAACTACTAAATCTATTTTAGCGACAAAAATTTTTCATTCCGACGCACTCTCTGCATGTTTGGCTCAAAAAAATCCTTTTTTGATAATTTCCAAAAAACTATTTTCTTGACACAAGTAAGACTTGTTTGAGAACTTTGTCGTTTTTCTCTCAGTGTAAGTCGTCAATCTATTGGCTGTTTGGACTGCATCCCACTTTTTCGTCATTATTTCCCAATTTTCTCAAATTTGAAATTTCCGAAAATAATTTGGAATGATTCTAAATGTTAGTAATTGTCAATGGAGTTGTATTTTGCGTGTTAACAATGAATTGTTTAACAGTATTTTCCTCTGCTTCCAGGGTATTTTGGCCACTCCAGATCACTCCCACACTGGAGAGCTCGAAACTCTGAACATGAAACTCCGAAAAAGTCTAGATTTGTACTCGAACGTGGTGCACGTCAAATCATTGCCTGGCGTTAAGTCTCGTCATTCTAACGTCGATTGTGTCATAATCCGAGAACAGACGGAGGGGGAGTACTCAGCACTCGAGCACGAGTCTGTACCTGGTGTCGTCGAGTGCCTGAAAATCGTGACTGCCTCCAAATCACAGCGAATTGCCAAATTTGCGTTTGATTACGCTGTCAGGAATAACCGGAAGAAGGTCACCTGTGTGCACAAAGCTAATATCATGAAATTGGGTGATGGGCTTTTCCTGAAATCTTGTCAAGAAATTGCAAAACTTTATCCTAGGTGATATATTTTTTTACATTGCCCTCTGTTTTTGTTCTCATTTTTTTAATTTTCCAGTAGGTCAATTATCAATCTGAAAATAAGTCCCACAAGAGCCCGTGTGTAACAAAAAATTGTTTATTTAATTTTGTCAAAATCACTGCAATTCATTTTTCTTAATCACGCTCGAAAAAATTTAATAGAAAAACCTATCGAGGTCGTTAGAAAATTCTATTGAATTTCTATTAAACTTTCTATTAGTTTTTGGCTGACTCTATTGACATGTTCAATAGAAAACATTCACTAAAAAAATCAACAGAATTCGATTTTTCTAGAACTTATTTTTTTCATATATTTTCTATAGAATTTTTCTCGACTCAAATTTTCCAATCTATTTTCACTCTATTTTTTTTTCTTCTCATCAAGAGAATCAAACGAAAAACTTGGAAAATTTGAGCCGAGGAATTTCGATAGAAAATATCTCAATAGAATAAGTTATATAGAAAAATTGAGTTCTATTGACTTGTTCTACTGAATATTTTCCATTGAACCTTTCAATAGAATCGGCCAGAAACTAAGAGAACAGTTCAATAGAAATTCAATAGAATTTTCTAACGAATTCCATAGGTTTTTCTATTAAATTTTTTCGTCCGTGATTATCGAGAATGTTAACTTCATGTGTTCCCCCTTCATTATAAAAAAATTGAAACATTTTTCTCGAAGATGAAGAAATCAGATTTCTGGACAATGGCTAAACATCCTTAATGAAAAAGGAAGTGCGCGTAAAAAAAAATGAGGCGCATTAATCACCGTTTTTTTTCACAATTGCAGGATTGATTTCGAAACGATGATTGTTGACAACTGCACCATGCAGATAGTATCTAATCCACATCAGTTCGATGTTATGGTTACCCCTAATTTATACGGAAATATTGTTGATAATATTGCTTCGGGTCTAGTCGGTGGTGCTGGAGTTGTAGCTGGAGCAAGTTACAGCGCTGAATGCGTTGTATTTGAACCCGTAAGGATTTGACAATTTTTATTTATTAAATACGTATTTATCCGAACAATTAATAGAAAACATTAGGGCTTTCTACCGATGAAGTCAACAGAACTTGATTTTTCTTGCCAATTTATTCGACACTATTTTCAAGTGAACCTTTTGTGTTGAAAAAAGGCGCAGAAAAGCATCGGTAAAAAACAAATAGCATTTTCAATCCAATAGAAAAAATTCAAAAAAATCCAGGTCTGGAGTATTTTTTTTTCAGTGAATATTTCGTGTTAATTCATATTGAGAATAATCCCGGATCCCCTCCCACCTCATCCAAATCCTATCCAACTAATTTCCTCTGACGTCACAAAGATGTGGAACGCTATATAAATTCCCTTCTTCAATGAATGGGCTTCTTTTCTATTTCCAATAGAATTTTTTTTTAGTTTTTTGTTGGATTCTTGGTCCAATAGAATTAATTTCATAGAATTTCCTTCAATTTCTTCAATTTCACAGGGTGCGAGGCACACATACTCCGAGGCTGTAGGAAAGAACGTTGCAAACCCAACAGCCATGATCCTCTGTGGTGTTAAACTCCTGAATCACATAAACATGAAGCGTTATGCGGCGCAAATTCGTGAGGCGTTGAACCGTGTCCTGAACGATGGAAAAATTCTCACCAAAGATTTGGGTGGCCAGAGTTCTACGAGTGAATTCACCAACGCAGTCATCAGCTGCCTCCGTTAAAGTGCTCCTGTGTGCGTTATCTTTCAAGAAAGAAAATAAATGAAGAAATCAACGTAGGACAATCGTGATTATTGAAATAGCCTGTTTTCCCGACATCGCCGTCGATATTAGAGATGAGGGTGGAAAAGTGGAAAGACAGCCTTCACCAGAATTTCATTTTTTTTCTGTCATTTCCATGTCTATTTATTGAGATAATAATTTCTCGAATTCATTTGTTGTAACGGAGACTCACGACTTCGATCGTCTTGTATTGTAATTATTGAATGTACTACTGGAGATATGAAATTCTGTTGTGTAGATAGCTATTATTGGAAGTAAAGACAGTGTATTACGTTAATTTATCGATTAATTATTTTTCAAGTTATTTTTTACCCATTTCCTTGCATTTTTAATTATTTTACAGGTGAAATCAGCAGAATTTCAGCTTTATACACAACTTCCTGTCGAGACATTTTCTATAGGAATCCCTTAGACATGAATTCTTTATATTTTTTTTCTCTATTTTTGAGAAAATAGGAAAAATAAAAAAAATTTCGAAAACGTGAGGAATGCCGAAGAATTTATACAAACAATATCTCCGTAGAATAATTTGCACTGAAAAAACGGATTATTGATTTTTCTATAATCAATAGAATTCAATTTTTTACGTAAAATATTCTCTTGAATACTTTTGCTTAAAAAAACGCGCAGAAAAGCTGATTTTTCTAATAGAATTAATAAAAAAATAGTGCAGATTTCAATAGAAATTCAGTAAAAATCCAATAAAATTTTTCGAACATCAACAATGAAATGAAAAATTGAAGTGAGTGCAGAAATCGCGGACCATTCGGTTATGGTGCCAGAGTTTGAAGTGTTGCATGTACTCAGACGATGTAGTCAAAGTACCCTTTACTCAAATAAAAAATAATAAAACACGTCAAAATGGATACAGCAGACCCTGCCATTGCCCTCATTCGTCGGGAAATTGTGAAAAATCATCTCGAAGTTGCTGCCTCAATCCAAGTAACTATAAAATTGTATTTCAATCACTTGTCAGTCGTCTAACCTCAACAAACATCTGTTAGTTTCATTTGAAAATTGTTTATTAATTTCAAATGAATCCTATTATTACGAGTTAAAAGATTCATTTGATCTTTTTTTCATTCTATTTTTTTTTCTTCTCATCAAGAGAATCAAACGAAAGAACTTAGAAAATTTGAGGCGAGGAAATTCGATAGAAAATATCTCAATAGAATAAGTTATACAGAAAAATTGGATTCTATTGACTTTTTCTACTGAATATTTTCTATTGAACATTTCAATAGAATCGGCCAAAAACTTAGAGAACAGTTCAACAGAAATTCAATAGAATTTTCCAACGAATTCGATAGGTTTTTCTATTAAATTTTTTCGTCCCCCCCATATAAACCAAAAAAACCAATCTTAGATTTAACCAATTACAAAGCATCCATTCGAAAGCAAAAAAGCATTATCTGACTTTTATTAAAGACAAAAATCGTCTGCACCCAAAATTTTCCAGGACATTCAACAATGCACAGGACCTCTAGAGCTCCTAAACGAATTGAATGCAGAGGGCAGATCAAGAATAACAAAATTAAGAAATAGCATTGATAGTTTATCATTTGTTATTTTCATTTGAAAATTGTTTATTAATTTCAAATGAATCCTATTATTACGAGTTAAAAGATTCATTTGATCTTTTTTTCATTCTATTTTTTTTCTTCTCATCAAGAGAATCAAATGAAAGAACTTGGAAAATTTGAGGCGAGGAAATTCGATAGAAAATATCTCAATAGAATAAGTTATACAGAAAAATTGGATTCTATTGACTTTTTCTACTGAATATTTTCTATTGAACATTTCAATAGAATCGGCCAAAAACTTAGAGAACAGTTCAACAGAAATTCAATAGAATTTTCCAACGAATTCGATAGGTTTTTCTATTAAATTTTTTCGTCCCCCCCATATAAACCAAAAAAACCAATCTTAGATTTAACCAATTACAAAGCATCCATTCGAAAGCAAAAAAGCATTATCTGACTTTTATTAAAGACAAAAATCGTCTGCACCCAAAATTTTTCAGGACATTCAACAATGCACAGGACCTCTAGAGCTCCTAAACGAATTGAATGCAGAGGGCAGATCAAGAATATCAAAATTAAGAAATAGCATTGATAGTTTATCGACTCTAGCAGAGACTGAAATTAATGCAAAACGGAAGGCCGAATTGTTGTTAGAAGTTGATAACAGAAAGAGCCAATTGTCAATGGCATTGGCAGCGTTCAAGAAGGCCAATATCGTTGGTGCTTGCGTGATTGATAAAATGGCCAAGGAGGAGTTATTATCTACGTCAGAGGAGCAAGAGATGATGCTGAGAAAGAGGAGAGACCGGCAAGGCTTTGCTGATACTGCTAACAAGGCCACTGATAGACTTTTAAGTATTTCACGAACACTTGCTGAGACGAATCAGCGGAGTGCAGATACCCTTGACACTCTCCGTTAGTATGACAATTATCGAGGAGTAGATATCATATGGCGTAATTAAATGTATGGGCAAATTTTCAGAGAAAAAAGGCAATTTTTTGCTTTTTTTTTGAGAATTCTGTTTGTTTTTCACCAAATTTTCAAAAAATAGATAGAATATAATAATAATAATAATAATAATAATAATAATCGAATTGTTGATAGAAATCCAGTAAAATTGAAAAATATTCCATAAAATAATTAATGAAAATATTCCATAGAGAAAAATTCTTCAATTTTTTCTCTATAGAATATTTTTTATTGGAAGTTCTATTATTTTTGTATCGAATTTTTAATAGACTATATTCTAAAGAGAAAATCGTTAGTATTTATTTTCTAAATGTTTTTTACTGCATTTTTATTGTTTGTTTTTTTATTTTTATAGAAAATATCTGAATCGAATAAGTTGCATAAAATTATGGAATTCTATTGATTTTTGGTGTACAATATTTTCGGTTTAACATTTTTATTTAAAAAATGGAGAGAAAAACAACGAAATTTCCGATAAAAATCGAGTAGAATTTTCTAGCGAATGCTCCAGGTTTTTCTAGTGGAGTTTTCTCTACGTTTTCCATCTAAATTTTCATATTTGTCTCATTTTTGTTGCAGTAACATCGTCAGATAAGGTCACTGGTACGAAAGAAGAATTAGAGCATCAACAGCAGGTGATAGTTCAATCAGGAAAGCTCTTGGGGAAGTATGGGAGACGGGAGGTTACGGACAAAGCTCTGCTCGCATTGGCGTTCGCCTTCTTCCTCGCTTGCGTTTTTTATATCATTCAGAAGAGGATCTGGTAGGGGTGTGCACCCGGAGAAATGAGACATTTGAGTCGACTAAAAAATTTTATTTGAATTTTTTCTATTTATTTCCACAATACTTTTGTTGGAAATCAATGAACTCGTATGTCTATTTCGGCGAGAAAGTTTTAATCAGGTTGAATAATTAATTCATTCATTCCACATGAAAGATTATTCAATGTTGATGATGATTCAATTTCTAAATAATCAAGTCTTTATTCGGAAAAAAATTGAATTAAATTGAAGTGAAAAGAAAATATTTTTTCGATCTGGATACAAATACGAAGGGAACGAACCATTTCTCTGGGTGTATCAGGGATGGAATAATGGGGAAAAAATTATTGAATGGAGTCAGAAATACAGTTATATGTGATAAGAGCCCTTGGCCTCGGTGATCTCTAATCTCAGACGTTAGTCGATATTTTTTCACCCTGACCCAATTTCAATGGCTCGTCAACAACCGTTAACCACAATTCTATTTATGAAGAAATTTGAGAGATGAGGAATGTGAAAATTTCCTCGATTTCGGGACCAATTATTGGAATTTAATTGAGATAGAGCTGATGGAAAAAATTTGGTTTTGATCTTTCTATACAATTTATAAGATTTTTTCTACAGAAATTCCTCCGCTTGCATTTTCTAAATATTTTTGCTTGACTTTTTCAACGAGAAGAAAAAAGGAGTAAAAAATTAGAAAATTCAAGCTGAGGAATTTCTGTAGAAAAAATCTCTGGAGAATAGTTTCACTTTCATTTCTATAAAGACCCACAGGTTCTATACAAGACTAATTACAGGGTCAAATAAAAAATTAAATAGACAAAAATTAAACAATTAGACTATTAATATAATCCGTTTAAATAAATAACTTCGTAATATACATTTTCAATAATTTTTCTATAATTAATAATAAATAATAATAAATAATAATTAAATTAAATAATAATTTAATTTTTTTTAAATTGTTATTCTTTTCCGTTTAATTCATTCTTTTTTCATTTTAATTTTTTTTGGTTCTACATTATAAGTTGCATAGAAAAATCAAAGTTCATTGTTTTTTTCCATGAAAGAGTCTCTGGTAAACATTCCGTATATAATAATCGCATAGAAAAGCTTCAGAATTGTCAACAGAATCGACGAAAAACTAATGGAATTTCCTCGTGATTGTGTGAATTCAGGGGTTGCAGCTAAAGGCTCGTGAATTAATAATTTCCAGGCCTAGAATTTTTATAAAAATGATGACATCCTCAGTTCGATAACAAAGGGTAACAGAACGAAAATGCAACTTCATTCATGTCGCGTTCATAAGGCAGACGGTAAACACTCAGGATAACATGTTCTCATTTGCAATTCATGATTTGTGAATTCATATGGAAAAACAAAATAAATTGTTTTACCAAACTGAATTTTTTTCCGGGTTCAGCATCATTTTTCCTCTTCTTTATTCGGCGTTGGCCTTCTGTCCCCACGAACGTCAGAGCGACAGTATAAAAGACGAAGAGACTGATGCATCTCGTCATTCACAGTCGCAATTCACAGGAAGTTTGATCTAAACGTTTTTTCAAAAATAAAAATCGTTGAAATCGCGGCGTTAAAAGAGGAAAGTTTAATATGTAAGTATCAGTACGGCTTAACTGTAGAGGGGCACGTCTAAAAAACTTTGTCGAAAAATTAAAAATAGTTCTGTTAAGACTTGAGTTGAGCTTCACGGACGAAAAAATTTGATAGAAAAACCTATCGAATTCGTTAGAAAATTGCATTGAATTTCTATTGAACTGTTCTATTAGTTTTTGGCCGATTCTATTGAAATGTTCAATAGCAAATATTCAGTAGAAAAAGTCAACAGAATTCAATTTTTCTATTCAACTTACTCTATTGAGATATTTTTTATAGAATTTCCTCGGATCAAATTTTCCAAGTTTTTTCGTTTGATTATCTTGATGAGAAGAAAAATCGAATTCTGTTGACTTTTTTTATTAAATGTTTTCTGCTGAACATGTCAATAGAATTAGTCAAAAACTAATGGAAAGTTCGATAGAAATTCAATAGAATTTTCTAACGAATTCGATAGGTTTTTCCATTAAATTTTTTCGTGCATGTTCTTAAATTAGATTTGATTTTCTTAATTTCTCATTTTTTGACGAAATTTTTTTTACGTGGAGCCTTATCCGCTTCATTTCCCTTTATGAGATTTGCTAATTGTAATTTTTGTACTTTTGTTCGTTTTTGTTACATTTAGTCTCTCAGAAGAAATAAGAAATCCTGATGAGGGCTTCTCTGAGAGCCGGAACGCTGGATCATCGGCAAAAATTCTTTTTATTTCAACTACAGTTTCAAGAGTTATGAAGAAAGAACATTGACACTTGTTGAATATTAGTGTCTAATGGGGAAAGTTTAATATGTTTGCAGCAACATGATTTAATGATGGGTTATTTCCATTTGTGAGACCAGTTCATTGGAATTTTTGTAGTTTTATTCGTTTTTGTTACCTTCAGTTTATCAGAGGAATTAAGAAATCCTGATGAGGGCTCTCCTGACAGCCGGAACGTTAGGTCATCGTCAAAAATTCATTTTATTTCAACTAATCAATTGATCATCGTAAAAGTGCATCGAACCAGTACAAAAGTTTTCTTCCGAAGAAATGAAGATAATTATTTTGCTCTTGTTGTTCACCTGCGTTTGGAGTGCTCCGTGGTTGGAGGGGATATTCAATCCATACCCACCACAACGTAGGGTCGAGCCAAGACGTAATCGTCAGGGGAAGAATGGGAAAGAACGTTGGAAAGAGATCTGCAGAACGATAAATCCGAATGGCTATGCATTTCCAGGACAAGTGCCATATCCAGCGTCACCACCTTGTACTTATTAGCTCTACGTGGACTCATCTCCTCAAGACACCCAACAATTGTGATGATTTTGGTATACAGTTGTGAAGAAAGAACACTGACACTCNAAAGTTCGATAGAAATTCAATAGAATTTTCTAACGAATTCGATAGGTTTTTCCATTAAATTTTTTCGTGCATGTTCTTAAATTAGATTTGATTTTCTTAATTTCTCATTTTTTGACGAAATTTTTTTTACGTGGAGCCTTATCCGCTTCATTTCCCTTTATGAGATTTGCTAATTGTAATTTTTGTACTTTTGTTCGTTTTTGTTACATTTAGTCTCTCAGAAGAAATAAGAAATCCTGATGAGGGCTTCTCTGAGAGCCGGAACGCTGGATCATCGGCAAAAATTCTTTTTATTTCAACTACAGTTTCAAGAGTTATGAAGAAAGAACATTGACACTTGTTGAATATTAGTGTCTAATGGGGAAAGTTTAATATGTTTGCAGCAACATGATTTAATGATGGGTTATTTCCATTTGTGAGACCAGTTCATTGGAATTTTTGTAGTTTTATTCGTTTTTGTTACCTTCAGTTTATCAGAGGAATTAAGAAATCCTGATGAGGGCTCTCCTGACAGCCGGAACGTTAGGTCATCGTCAAAAATTCATTTTATTTCAACTAATCAATTGATCATCGTAAAAGTGCATCGAACCAGTACAAAAGTTTTCTTCCGAAGAAATGAAGATAATTATTTTGCTCTTGTTGTTCACCTGCGTTTGGAGTGCTCCGTGGTTGGAGGGGATATTCAATCCATACCCACCACAACGTAGGGTCGAGCCAAGACGTAATCGTCAGGGGAAGAATGGGAAAGAACGTTGGAAAGAGATCTGCAGAACGATAAATCCGAATGGCTATGCATTTCCAGGACAAGTGCCATATCCAGCGTCACCACCTTGTACTTATTAGCTCTACGTGGACTCATCTCCTCAAGACACCCAACAATTGTGATGATTTTGGTATACAGTTGTGAAGAAAGAACACTGACACTCGTTGAATATTAGTGTCTAATGGGGAAAGTTTAATATGTTTGCAGCAACATGATTTAATGATGGGTTATTTCCATTTGTGAGACCAGTTCATTGGAATTTTTGTAGTTTTATTCGTTTTTGTTACCTTCAGTTTATCAGAGGAATTAAGAAATCCTGATGAGGGCTTCCCTGACAGCCGGAACGTTAGGTCATCGTCAAAAATTCATTTTATTTCAACTAATCAATTGATCATCGTAGAAGTGCATCGAACCAGTACAAAAGTTTTCTTCCGAAGAAATGAAGATAATTATTTTGCTCTTGTTGTTCACCTGCGTTTGGAGTGCTCCGTGGTTGGAGGAGGTATTCAATTTAATCAGCAAAAGACAATCGTCATGGAAAGAATGGGAAAGAAATCTGCAGCACGATGAGTCCAAATACGCATTTCCAGGACAAGTGCCATACCCAGCGTCACCACCTTGTACTTATTAACTCGAATTCGATTTTACTATAAAACTTATTGTTTGAAAGATTTTCTGAAGAAATTCCTTGGCTCAAATTTTTCAATTTTATTTGTTTGATTTTTCTTCAATGAGAGGAAGAGGAAAAATTTGAAAAATTCATGTCGAATAATTCCTATAGAATGTGTTTCAATGGAAAAAATTAATAAAATAGTTTCTGCAGGACGTTCTCCATCGACGATCGGCAGCAATCATGATATTATTAATATTAAGAGAAGTACCACCTTAAAATAATTAAGGGTTACTCATCTTCATTGAAATTTTCAAAATAATAAAATAATTTGTCACCTAAATTTTCAATTGACTATTGAGTAACTAATTCTAAATTTCATAAAAAGGATTTTCGATTATCCAAATAATCCTCAATCCAAATAATCGGAATTTGAGTACTTAATTGATGATTAATTTAACAATTAAAAAATTATTGAGTAATATTAACCAATTGACTAATTCAAAATTTAACTTCATTTAAAATTTATGATTGTGCCGATGTCTGTTCTCCATAGAATGGCTAGATTTTCACCTGGACTCAGCTCCAAGACTCACAAGACACTTCAACAATAGTGATAAATTTAAAATATAATTTTTATTATAAATATACCTAAGAAAAATACCTAAAGCGTTCGTTATGTACAGCCACATTTTTTCGTGTACGTACATTATGTATCGTATTTCGATATCAATAAACACGATCAAACACGCTCCATCATAGAACGCAATTGTTCTATACTTGACAATTACATAAGTCCATTCTACAAAACACACGTTATACATCGTGCACTCAAACGTTATTTCTAGTGTTCGTTTTGTTTTCACTTTTTCCTCTATACGTATAAAAATAATTTATTTCCTTAAGATATATATATTGTCCTTCGACATGAATTGATAAAAGTACAGATACACTGAGAGAACAATAAATTTTATCAAGACAACACGCAGGAAAAAATTTGATAGAAAAACCTAGCGAATTCGCTAGAAAATTCCATTCGAATTTCAATAGAAAAAGTCAAAACCATTCGATTTTTCCATAGAACTTATTCTTTTCAGTCATTTTTTATACAATTTCCTCGGCTCAAATTTTCCAAGTTTTTCCGTTCTATTTTTCTTCTCACCAAAATCAAACAAAAAAACAAGGAAATTCTACAGAAAATATTCCAATACAATAAGTTGCACAGAAAAATCGAATTCTCTTAGAAATTCAATGAAATTGTCTCTCGAATTCGTTAATTTTTCACTTAAATTTTTTCACCCCTGGAGATCGTGAAAAATTCCGGAAAATTCACCGAAAATGCCTGTGCCTCCAGTCATCCTCCACGAATTCCAGCCGACCGTGCCTACCTACCAATTTCCCCCGCCCCTTAAACCGAAAGCCTCCAGAGTCACTTCCACACTTGAATGAGTCCATCAGTGCTCCCAGTTAAAATGCAAGTATTGGACATAGCAACGGCAGATATGGTGTCATGATGTCCAGAAATGGGTGCCTCCAGCGGTGGTACCGGGCCTTCCTCAGTGGCCCTGACCCTGCCAGCCCTGTCCCCGCCAACAGGCCCCCCGCCAGCGAGCACCTCCTGCACAACATTCGTTCCATCAATCAGCCTTTGTTCATAAACCAACGAATTCGACGTAATGACATCACTAGCAGCCGGCAACGCCACATGGGACTCATTGGGCGTATTGAGATCCCAAAACCTCAACTTCATGTCAGTTCCCCCAGCCAAGAGGAAGCCAGACCTGTCAACAGTCCCTGCATGCATGGAGCAAACGCTGTGTCCCTCCTGCGATTGACTGAGAGGAGGTGCCCCCGAGGCCCAGAGTACAATCTGCCTGAACCCAGTCTCAAGATTCCACATAGAAATCTCGTTATTACCCTGCACAGCTGATATAATCCAGGACTGCTCAGTGGGATGAGTGATAACTTTCCTGACCCTGGCCCCAATGGGATGTTTAATACTGCTGATAGGCAGTTGAAACCTGAGGTCCCAGCATATGTGAACCCCCGAGCTTGTCCCAAGTGCCAGCCACTGCTGACAATTGTTGACACAGAACGACGTGATAACCCCATGCTTCAAATCGTTCTCCAGCTTCCAGGCAATCCCTGGACACCTCAGGTCCCATCCAACCAACGACCCATACAACGTGGCATAGATCAGCACAGATTGTGACCCAGAGTCGAGATACTGGAGGTCAACAGCGCATCCCTCCTCCTGGAGATCCAGCTGCCTCGAGTTGACAATCGTCATTTTACTGGAGCTGGGCTCCAATCGCAGAACGAAAACCGAGCCCGATTGACTAGCAGAACTCGCCAGGGACTGGCCTTGCTCGCAGACAGCGAGGCCAACGAGGGGTCCACCTCGGTGGACATACGTCTGCCTCGATCGATTAGCTATATTCCTCCCCTCCATTTTACTGGCGTCCCAAATTCTCACGCATCCGTCGGCTGCACAACTGGCGAATAATCCTGACTCGGGAATGGAGACTAAACGGTTGACAGCTGCTCTGTGCTCGTGGAGATAGGCCACTGAGACGCCTCGAGGCCTCCAGCCACTGGGCAACAGCCGCGTACCTGCTTGCCAGGTCATATTGTCCGCCCAATGCTGAGCTCTCAGGGCAGCTCCGTGCTGCTCTTGCTTCCTGTACGTCAATTTACGTAGCTCGAGTCTGCACGGGGCACACCTGAAATAATTCCAAATATCATCCTCAATCGTCAATTGGTATGCGAAATTTTCCGGTTATTCCAACAATTGTTAATCGCAATGAAAAATTATGCGCTTAATTGTCAATAGATAATCAGCATTGGGGTACGATCGACTAATAAAAAATCAACTATCGGAATTACTGAGAGATTGATTATCATTTCAATCATGAATGAGAACCGCAAATTAATTCGTTGATCGAATAAGCATTAATCAGTCAATAAATAAGCAGTAATGTACACTTATTAATTATTTTGATGATTGCTCATTCAATTACAAAGTCGTTGAATATCAAATTTATTGTTTATTTCAATGATTAATTATTTATTTTTGTAATTAGCCATCAATGGGTAATTTCATCCATTGATTATTGGGCTATTCAATTAATCGTCCATTAAAATGGTATTTGAAATTTTCCGGTTATTCCATCAATTGTTAATCACAATAAATATTCTGCACTGAATTCTCATTTGACAATCAGCATTGGGGTATGATCGACTAATAAAAAATCAACTATCGGAATTACTAAGAGATTGATTATCATTTCAATCATGAATGAGAACCGCAAATTAATTCGTTGATCGAATAAGCATTAATCAGTCAATAAATAAGCAGTAATGTACAATTACTGATTATTTTGATGATTGCTCATTCAATTACAAAGTCGTTGAATATCAAATTTATTGTTCATTTCAATGATTAATTATTTATTTTTGTAATTAGCCACCAATGGGTAATTTCATCCATTGATTATTGGGCTATTCAATTAATCGTCCATTAAAATGGTATTCGAAATTTTCCGGTTATTCCATCAATTGTTAATCACAATAAATATTATGCACTAAATCGTCGTTGAATATCAAATTAATTGTTCATTTCAATGATTAATTATTCATTTTTTCAGGATGGCGAATTGTCTGATTATCAGATTAATCCTCGATCATCATAGAAAACTGATCGATTCTTCAATCCATAAATAATCAATAATGTACGCTTCCTAATTATTTTGATGATTGTTCATTCAATTACAAAATCCTGGAATGTTAAATTAATTGTTCATTTCAATGATTAAATATTTAATTTTCATTTTATTTATATAATATCCAATGGAAGTTAAAATCGTCCAGAAACTGACCTATTCACCCTAATTGAGAAAAAATCAAGCAGGATTAACAGTTGATACATTAATCAGTTAATTTTTAATTCCGACTAATAACTGACTAATTGATAATCGTTAATGGGTGATTATTCATTCATCAAAAAATGGGTAACACTTGATACCAATTGTCGATCAGTAAAATAATTGTTAATTCTTGGTCCAGATAACGCATTCCTTAATTAATTGAAAAATTATCCCCTCGACTGGATTATCCAAGTAATCAAATAATACTAATCAAAGTTTATAACAATGCTGATCCCTGACCTGTACTGGATGTACGACCGCTCATGCAGGGAGTGGTCGTTCATGCTGTTGATGTCAGCTAGACTAGATTGCTGTGGCGACAGATGAATGTCCCCACTGTGTATGGGACTGGGGCTGGAGCCACTGTTGCTCATATCACTGATCTTGAGACTCGTTTGATTAGTGTCATTAGCAGCGAACATTGTCCTCCACTCTTGATTCATGGAGTAGTGAGAGCTCTCGGACGTTCGTTTATCAAATTTTTTGTACGCCAAACCTATCTCACTCTTGCCATCGGGATAAAGTATCACAATGTGATGGCGAACGGTCTCCTTCATGGTGCTGAGCTCGAGTTTACCATCATTAGCTGACTTAATTGCACTCTGCTTGGTGTCACCAGACAATCTGTACTTATTTATTTTGCTCAAGTGTTGTTTCATGGCTAGCAACTGGTCCTCAACGGTTTCACTCATCGATTCGGAGTTTAATCTGCGAAATAAATTCCTCAGTGATGTGCTGGTGTCACTGTATTGAGGAACAGTTCCCGTTATTGCCTTCGACCTGGCTGCCTTTCTCTCCTCAAAGGCTCGAATCAACTCGTCAATGTCATTGTACTTTATCACTGAATCGAACACCACTCGAGGAATCGGTGGTACCAGTGCCTCCAGCAGCAGAACTTCCTTCTCGATCTGAATGAGCGAGTACTTGAGGTACTGCTGGATCATAACTTGAACCTTGCACTGCACATCAACGAGATTGAGGGTTCTAGCTGCTGCTGATATGAAGCCAACAGTGGCATGTCTGATCCACAAATTGGGGTGGACCAGGAAGACAACTGTCTCAGACAGCAGCTGGTAGAGAGCAGGCTTGTGCAGGAGACCGAGCTCTGTCAGAGTCGCCATGGCATTGATCGCCTTCTTCGTGACAAACTCCTCAGGATCTGTCAAGCCCTGCTGGAGCAGGGGCATCAGGATGGGACTGCTGTGCCAGCCGACGTACGCAGCCACTCCGACGATGCACTCGAAGAACGAGCCACGAAGTTGCTTGTCATCCTTGTCATTCAGAAATGTTATCACGTGGCTCAGCAGCACGTCGTTTGCCTTCTGCTTGCCGAAGAAAACACACAATTTGTTGATGCCATTCTCCATCAGCGTCTGCTTAACGAGATTCGACGAGTCCGTCAGGAGCATCGACACCGACTGCTGCACCATCTCGTGAAGTGTCTGCAGCTCACTGTCGTAATTTGGCTTGGGGCCCTCCTTGTTTCCCACATTCGTCAGGTGTGCATTCTCCAGGTAACGAAGGGCTATGTGCGCCAGGTGGGCTATATTCTCGGCGTATGCTGATCGCACTATCACAGCCTCGTCCTGAGTTATGTGGGATAAGCCTGGGAGGATGTACTCGGGGAAGATGTTGACGTCACTCGGGGGAATTGTCTTCACCAGGTACAGGCATTTTGTCAGGGTGTGAATGGCGGATACTCGAACACGTGGGGCAGGATCGTGGACGAGGTGGAATATGTAGGGGAGAATTCGATCGAGAATTGTTTCGTCGGATGTGTTTTCCGCGAGTTCGAGGAGGATCTCCAGACTCTGGAGCTTCGACTGCGAGTGGTGGAGGCCTCGGATGCAGGAGGTCACCAGTTGGGTTATCAGGATCAGTCCCTCGGGTTTTTCCGGTGATTTTTGACCGTTTGGGGGGCCTTTGCTGGGGGGCTCGTCGGTCGGGGAGTCGTGGGCGCTCTCTGGGGCGTTCAGCTCTGGAGTTGGCGAGGTCTTCTCGAGGCTCTGGTCACTGTCGTCCTCGATCATCGTGTTCTCCTCGCTCTGGCAGGCTGAGTCCTCTCGACTCAGCTCTATGTCCCCTGGTTTCTTCGGGGGCTTTTCGGACTCTTCACTCGGGTTTCTGTGCAACCCTGTCTCCTCCTCACTCTTCAGGATGATGCTGATGATGTTGCCGATGTCCTTCCTCAGACGATTGATCTTCTCGTCGGGGGAGAGTATCGGCGCTGCCGAGAAGATCAGCATGTAGGACTGGAGGAAGGAGTAGAAGTACTCGGGGAATATTTTTCCTCGCGCTTGGGACAGGTAAATCTCAGCACTTTTGCGGTTACTGGGGCTCTTCTCTAGCATTGAGGCCAGCAAGTCCCGGATTCCTGGCTCTTCGATTTTGTCCAAGTGCTTGGTGGCGGAGTATTCGCTGTTTCTGTAGGCCAGCAGTTGCGAGAAGTCGAAGGGCGGGTGGCCCTCGTTGTAGAGCTCGGTTAGGGCACAGCCCGCTGAGAAGATGTCCATTGTTGGGTGCAGGTCACCCGTTTTTAGCTCCTGCTCTGGCAGGAGGAGGGTACTGCTCAACTCGGAGGATAGGGTTTTTAGAAAACGTTCCGGGGCAATGTAGCATGTCCTGGAATTTTAATATATTTTTTATATATTTCTTTAAGGCCCGGGTGTACTAGCTCTCGAACGTTATCTCGATGTTTTTTTTCATCTTTCGGCATCTGAAATTGTTAATTGAGCCCTGCATCAAGCAGAAGTTTTGAAAAATTATGAATGAATAATTTAAAAAATGTAGAAGAAATTCTTAATTTTTTCAAAGAGCTTTTTAATTTATATTCAGAATGAGTTGAATAACAAGAAATTGAAAAATGTATCTGATTTACGGTGACACATGGTGCCCTGTCACCTAATATCATGCAGGGGGAACACTGATTTCGTAAATCTTTTCCCACCCCATCGTCAATCTTTTGAAAAAGTTGTAATATTTTGGAGAATTTTTTAATCACACTTTTATCACATAAAAATGGCAGATGACTACGTACGACTGTTTTGAAAATTGAGATACCTAGCTGTCACTTCCACCATGAAAAATGACAGCTAATAGATAATTTGCCACAGCGAATCAAATATTTGTAATTTCCACTTTTTTCGACTCATCCTGAACTCAATTAGAAACGCTGTTTGAAAAAGTTCGGAATTTTTTCTATTTTTTTAATCATTTTATCATAATTTTTGGGAATTTCTACATGATGTACCACTCACTTGACAATTTTGGATTACGAAAGATGAAAAAAATCCAGATAACATTCGAAAGATAGTACACTCGGGCCTTAATTGCAAATATTTTTCCTTGGACAATTTACCTTCTCCTGGAAGTGTCGAAAAAGTAAGAGAAATCTGCGGGATTGTCCTCAGGTAAATACGTTGGTTTGAAGCTTGCGAAGTCCGTCAGCAATACCCAATTCCAGCTGGTAATCATTATGTTTTCGAGTTTTATATCTCCGTGGCAGACGCCAAACTGTTGATTGAATAAAAAATATTGTCCATCATTGGATGAAAAGATTGAATGGAAAATCCAGGCCCTAGATTCTGCCTCACCATGATTTTTTTTCATTTTTACCTTGTGCGCTTGATGCAGAGCATAAAGAACTTGAAACGTAATCCATTTCTTCTCAATAGTAGACAGGAAAGGTCGCGTGCTGATTCTATCATAAAGTGAGTATTTCACGTATTCTCTCATGATGAATCCAGCCTTGTCCGTGAGCTGCAACAGAAAAGCCAATCTATTAACTCACACGTGTCACAATGTCATTAAAGTATTTGGTAAATAGGTACCAACTATGGTTCGTTGAAAGGGTAAGCAGTTGACAGCAGAAGCCAATTTCGATCTTATCTCCTCCAGTTTATCCTTGTATGTTGACAGTGGTAGCGTTGGATCATGAATCACGAACACTTTCACGACGATCAGGCCCTCCTGGCTTCTTGCACGAGCCACTTTGAAGAACCTCGTGCTTCCGAGGCTTGTAAAAATGAAATGGAAAATTAACGAGTGGATAATTACGTTTTTTTATAAATAATGGTATTTATTGTTGCTAATATATTCGTGATTTGCTTCCGAAAGCATTCTTCTTTTTTTTAAACTTTATTTCACTATTCTCTTCTTCTATTTTTTCATTCGTTTTTTTTCATTCAAATTCAAGAAAAAAAAAGTTATGGAAAAATGTCTGTAGATGTTGATTTTTCTACATCCATGGAAACAGGTGGACACTCATTGGAAACTCAAATTTGAACGATTACAAAGCTTCCATGCGGAAGCAAAAAGCTCTTCCTCCGCGAGATAGAAAAGTTTACTCACTTTATGTCAAACAGGAGATCGCTGTGATCTGTCAAGTAGTGTTCGACAGGAAATATTTGACTAGGAGCGATTCCTACCAAGTGGTTACCCATCTTGGAGTGTTCGGCAGTGCACGATTGATTTTTGATTCTAATAAAATGTGATTGTTGAATTTGAGGGGAATAAATTCATTCTTGCCTTGTTTTTTATACGTAACAGAATGAGGTTGGAATGTCAGCTGTTTCCTTTGGGGAAGGGGGAAACTTTCCGGTTGTTACGGGGACTAGACGAGACGTGTAGGGTCCCTAAATTCGTTCGGATAGCGCTTTCTAGACAATGCTATAGGAATTCTGTGATCTAACATTTCTATTAATTTTTCGTCGATTCTACATGAGCGAAAAACTAGTTTTACCTGTGCCAAGAAATTTTTTTTTTGAAAATTATCAAAAAGAATTTTTTTGTGCCAAATATGCAGAGAGTGCGCCGGAATGAGAAATTTTTGTCGCAAAAATAGATTTAGTAGTTCAAAAAAAATTGCATTCTCTGTACACTCAAATTTTCCAAGTTTTTTCGTTTGATTTTCTTGATGAGAAGAGAAGAAAAATAGAATGAAAAAAACTTGGAAAATTTGAGTCGAGTAAATTCTATAGAAAATATATGAAAAGAATAAGTTATATAGAAAAATCGAATTCTGTTGACTTTTTCTATTGAACATGTCAATAGAATCAGCCAAAAAATAATAGAAAGTTTAATAGAAATTCAATAGAATTTTCTAACGAATTTGATAGGTTTTTCTATTAAATTTTTCGTGCGTGTAAAAATGACATTTCTCGCGTAATGCAATTTTTTTAACTAGGGGAGGGTGGGGTAAAACGGACACTTTAGACTTTTTAAAAATTATTCATAACTCAGAAACAAATTGATCAGCTGAGCTCAGTTCAGGCTCGTCACAAAGGGAAAGAATTGTTCTTTGTATTGAAAATAAAATTATTAAATTTTATCAACATTTCAACCCCTCATTAACATTAAAAAAAAAGTCAAAAGTGTCCGTTTTACCCCAACCTCCCCTACTAAATCTATTTTTGCAACCAAAATTTTTCATTCCGGCGCCCTCTCTGCATTTTTGGCACAAAAAAATCCTTTTTTGATAATTTTCAAAAAACTAGTCTCTTGGCGCAAGTGAGACTTTTGAGAACTTTGTCGTTTTTCTCTCTCTCAAGTGTATGATTTAAAATAATCTGCAAGATGGCGCGGTAGCGCAGAGAAAACTCAGTTTTTTATTCGCGAGTAGAGGCCAATAAATGGAATTTCGTGTGAATGAGTGCCAGTGTACACTCAATAATCAACACAAGTGCCCCTTCAAAGCTCGCGATTAAATAGTAAGTGCGTATTATTGACAGTGCTTCGAGAAGACTAGCCCAGAGTCTTGCGTGCACGAGTCACGGGGCAGGGGAGAGTGACAAACGTCAAAAATGAGTGACTAACACATTACCGCAGCATATTTTGCTCATCGGAGTAGAATAATGAAGTAGGCAAGAGCAGGGAGAGACCTCGAAGTGAATGTTCCGTGGAGTTTTGTGGGCAGAGCTGTGTTTAGTGTCACGAAAATTATGGATATCCAGGAATATTGGTGATGAGGGGAACAAGGCGTTGCACCTAACCAAGAAACAGTGATAGATACATATCCGGACGTTCCGCCTCACATGATTTTTCGTGATATTTGTTGCAGCGTTGATCGATTCCCAATTCATCGCCAATTTTATCCAATTTTATTCAAAGAAACGTGCTGATCTAAGGGGAATACGCGGAAGGTGGACAATTCTGAATTCTCAGAGAACATCGAGTGGAATTAATTGATGTGACGGGTGGTGGGACTATGGAATTGATGGTTAAATGATATCCTGAAAAGAAAATAACATGGAGAAATTCGCAGTTGATCTTGATAAAGTGCTCGATGATTTTGAGTTCAATGAAGGTAAATTTATTCTCTGGTTTTTAATTGAAATAAGCAAGTCGATAAGTCGTTATTTTTTCTGGAGTGCGTGACATTGAACATTTGGGCATTTTTATTGTTAATAAAATTCTTCTTCTTTGTGACGGGCGTAGGCTAGACTTGAATGATAAATTTATTTCTGAGATAAGGAATACTGAAAAACAAGTAGAATTATCCACTTTATTCCATCCCCTACGATTAATTGATTCGTTAATTAATTCGTCTCGAAAGCAGGCGCGAAATTCGTAGGGCATTCGCCAGAAAATTCTATTGGAACTAAAATTATTTTTAGGAAATGACAATAGAATTTGATTGTTAAATGCTTCATCACCTCTGGAAAGGGAATTTATCCTGAAAAAAAATATGGAAAAATTCGCAGTTGATTTTGGGTTCAATGAAGGTGAATTTATCCTTTGGTTTTTAATTGAATTTCGATAAGTCGTTATTTTTTCTGAAGTGTGTGACATTGAACATTTGGGCATTTTTATTGTTAATAAAATTCTTCTTCTTTGTGACGGGCGTAGGCTAGACTTAAATGATAAATTTATTTCTGAGATAAGGAATACTGAAAAACAAGTAGAATTATCCACTTTATTCCATCCCCTACGATTAATTGATTCGTTAATTAATTCGTCTCGAAAGCAGGCGCGAAATTCGTAGGGCATTCGCCAGAAAATTCTATTGGAACTAAAATTATTTTTAGGAAATGACAATAGAATTTGATTGTTAAATGCTTCATCACCTCTGGAAAGGGAATTTATCCTGAAAAAAAATATGGAAAAATTCGCAGTTGATTTTGGGTTCAATGAAGGTGAATTTATCCTTTGGTTTTTAATTGAATTTCGATAAGTCGTTATTTTTTCTGAAGTGTGTTGAACATTGAACATTTGGGCATTTTTATTGTTAATAAAATTCTTCTTTGTGACGGGCGTAGGCTAGACTTGAATGATAAATTTATTTCTGAGATAAGGAATACTGAAAAACAAGTAGAATTATCCACTTTATCCCACCCCCTACGATTAATTGATTCGTTAATTAATTCGTCTCAAAAGCAGGCGCGAAATTCGTAGGGCATTCGCCAGAAAATTCTATTGGAACTAAAATTATTTTTAGGAAATGACAATAGAATTTGATTGTTAAATGCTTCATCACCTCTGGAAAAGGAATTTATCCTGAAAAAAAATATGGAAAAATTCGCAGTTGATTTTGAGTTCAATGAAGGTGACTTTATCCTTTGTTTTTTAACAATGGAACATTTCCTTTTGGAGAAAATTGCAATTTTTGAAAATTACGAGCATTTTCTATAAGTATTTTACAAATAATTGATTCTATCTTAAAAAAAGGTTTTCGGAAGTTTAAACGTTTCCAATTATTCATTTATAAACACAATAATTCTGTACCAAATGTGACTTGAATAACGCTGAATATTCACAATTGTGTTCAAATGTTTCTTACGCAGTTTAATATACAAATTTGATAATGAAAAATGGTGGAATCTGCCACGCATGAAAAAATTCAATAGAAAACCTAGCGAATGCGCTAGAAAATTCTATTGGAATTCTATTAAAAAATTCTACTAGTTTTTTGCTCTGATTCCATTGCACATTTGATAGGAAAAAGTCAACATATTTTAGATTTCCGTTCGAATTTTTCCCCTGAGATTTTTTCTACTAGAATTATTGGGCACAAATTCTCCAATTTTTTCCACCGGATTTTCGTTTGCATTATAGAATCCGAGTGGAAAACCCTTATAAAATTGATGCCCAAGCATTTTTACAGAAAAAATCTCAAGAGAAAAATTCACCCAGAAATTCGAAATCTGTTGACTTTTGTCTTATCGAATATCCAATAGAATCATCGCAAAAAATAAATAGAATTTTCCTATAGAATTCCAATAGAATTTTCTATCCAATTCACTACATTTTCTATTTCTATATTTCACACGTGACAGTGTGGTCTGCACCAAACTCCAAAAGAGCCTTACATATCCTCAAATGACTTCAATTATCGTTGCAGATTGTGCAGAGCAAGTAGCATCAACCGCCCCAGAGAAGGTCTCCCACTCAGACCAGAGATCCAAGGACCCCGATTTACCCCGTTACGAAGGCAAACCCATAAAAAATGTGGACGAGGAGAAGCCCTGGCACAGCAGAGGGCTGACCACCGACACAATCGACATTCGAAAATCCGAGGGCCTTCACAACAACGGCGAATCAGTCAACAATTTTTCTCCCCGCAGCTACAAAATAACCGACGACAAACTCCAAGAGAAAAAAGTCGTTGATTTTCGAGAGAATGACGAGCCCTCAACAATTCACAACGACATAACTCAAAAATTGGTGCTGAAAAAGCAGAACGACAATCAAACAGCCAAAAACCACAATAGTTACGATAAAAAATTGAACCAGCCAAACATAAAGCCAAGTGTCAGTAACGTTTTCAACAGTTTGAACGAATACATAAACGCATCGACCACGAGTATGGAGAATATAAGCTGCTCCATAGATTGTCAGAAGGAGAGAAATGGCAAATTTACGATTAATCCCGAGACTAATGACGCCCAAACGTCAGAGGCTAAAAGAGCCCTGCGAGCATTACCCGCTTATCAGAATATTCTGTTGCCCATGAAATGCGAGCCATGTGCGGCCACTCAAAATCCAGACACTGAAAGTGACATTAATGACTCAACCACGACTGCTGGTCAGCATCGAAAGCAGGGAGCAGTGGACTGTGCAGACCATATTTACGAAAATGTACAATTCGGCAAGAGTATGCCAGCATCGAAGACATCGAGGGTTCAGGAAACCTCGAGATCGTCGAGTCAAGACGAGGCAAAACACATTTATGAAAACGTTGACTTCGATCAGTCGACTGCAGGAAAGGACGACAGCTCCATATACGCCTGCATTTACATTGGAAATAAAGACATGCCAGAGACGACAACTGAGCTTGAAAAAGCAGCCAAACGATTGACCGAGCAATTCCCGGAGAATATTGTCAGCGCAGTTGAGAAAAAATCCTCAGGACGCGAGAGTGAATCCCTTGTTTTTCAAAATGTCAATCTCAACACGAGTGAACGAAAACCCGTGGGTTTTTCCACTATTGACGATTTGTCGGAGGAGGAATTGAATAAGTATCTGGCTGAATTGGAGGCTGAGGAGAGGGCGAAGGAGGAGGCTGTTATCTACGAGAATCTCTCAGTACCTGGGCCATCGTCATCAGCTTATCACAGTCTGAAGGAGCAGGCTCGATGCATTTCGAATAAGCATGCCGATGAGGACGCCAATGAGGCGCCGATATTCGAGAGTGTGACTATTGGAGAACTTCCGAGGGTGTCTGAGCAGAAGCTCCAGGAGAAGGCGAAAAAATTGAGGGTCATTGATTACAGCAAGAGTGGAACGAGCGCTGAATCGAGTAATTTTTTAGACCAGAAAACCCCGGAGAAATTCACCGATTGCGACAAGGGGGTGGCAGATGCAAAGGGAAAAATTTCTAACAGGACGGCTGTTGGTAGTAGACTGTCTGTGGATGAGGTGGTGCCGGAGAATGAACAGCAGATTGAGAAGGCGAGGAATTGCACTTCGCAGGGGAAACTATCGAGAATTAGTGAAGCAGGGGATGCGAATAATTCTGATGAAAAAAGCGGTCAGCAGGCTCGGGACAGTTGTGGGACAGGGGATCGTGAGGCTGTGGGGGGCTCGTCTGGAGGCTCAAGTGAGGGGGGGAGTCGTGCTGAGGGTGAGCAGTCTGCTAGAGATGGGGGGAAAAGTGAAGATGGATCGAGTAGTGCAACCATTGGAGGTGCTGAAGAGAATGGCGATAAATCGCTGAGACCTCAGACGCTGGATATTGTTTCTTCTGTCAGTATGGACGAGTCTTCAGTGATAGGTAATTTGCAATTGATGTTCGGCGGAGGATTCATTGGGTCAGGCGAAAATCCACGGGTGAAATTTCTTTTTTAGAAGTAGGATAAGGGCAGATCCACGATCAGTAGGCGGCAAACGAGTCGATGATGGGGATTTTCGTCTCATTTTTTTTTTCGTAAAGATGGCTATTACTCTGGGGAAAATATTACTTTTGCCGAGGAATTATTTTCTTGGGAGAAGAATTCATTTAAGAGGAGGTTCCAGGCCAGTCATTCCCGAGTGGTTCATGTCCATCTCGAAATACTGCAATTATGTTGAATTATGAGATGATTATGCTACATATGACCTTGAATACCTTTCATTATTTTTCAATTTTTTCAAATTTGAGATTTTCTTACGTAAAATAATTTGGAATAATTCTTAATGTTAATAATTGTCAAAGGTATGTAGTGTAATCATCCCATAGTTCAACGGAATTGTCATTTTTAGAGATGGACCATCTGGTAATGACTATAATAAATGACTAAATGGCTATAATAAATCAATTCTTCTCCCAAGAAAATAACTCCTCGGCAAAAGTTTTTTTTTTCAGAGTAGACAACAATTTTGAAAAAAACAAACGTTGAAAAATATTGATAATTGAGGGAGTTATGAGTTTTTGAAAATTTCGAGTTTTTTTAAAAAGATCTGTTTTGCCTCACGTTTCCCTAGCTTTTTTTCTAGCAATTTTTTTCAATGTATTACAATAGTTTTTTTAAATATTTGCATTCAGGTTCACCAGAAACAACAGCAAATCTCCCATCGAATGCTGCAACGTGTACGCAAGAGCAGAATGTTCCTGCGATTGAAGAATCACAGGAACATCTCCGCGAACCGTCACCAGATGTATCCGATAATTCGTCGATGGATTTTGGCATCATACTTGGAAAACAACCACCATTCTGGATTCCAGATGGGGATGCGCCGAATTGCATGCTTTGTGATGTTAAATTTAATGTTATTAAACGTCGACATCATTGTCGGGCCTGTGGAAAGGTAAATGAACTTTGTTTTGTTTCTTTTCGTCAGTCGAGTACCTGACGTACGAGAAAATTTCACAAAAAACCCTGTGCATTCGCTAGACAATACTATTGGATTTCTATAGTACCTCGATTAAAAAATTGATCAACTTTTCGTCCATTTCACGTTTTTCCGAAGGAGACGTTCACTATGAAATATTTTATAAAAAAGGAAAAAGTTGAGTGAAAGTCATTTCTACTGAAAATATCCCAATAGAATAAGTTGTACAAATAGATCAAATTCCATTCATTTTTTTTACAAGATTTTTTATCAAGTGACAGTTCTACGGAAATTTCAAGGAATTCCATCAGTGAAAATTCACAATTTGATGAGAAAGTCAATGGAAACTGTAAATTTCAGTTCCATTATTGGAAAAATTTGGAATTTTATTATTCTTCTCCTTTTGAATTGAATTCGATGTAGTTCTTCTGAAAATTGATACTAAATTGTCCATTTTTGTTTGCCGATTTTTTTGATGAGAGGAGAAAAACGAGTGAAAAAAAACAGAACATTGATATCGAGGAATTTTCATAGAAAATATCTCAATAGAATAAGTTATGTAAGAATAAACTCCTATAGATCTCTTTTACGAGAAAGTTTCTATTGAACATCTTCTGTTGGAAAAAAAATGCCGAGAAAATGTGGATTTTTTTAACGGAATTAACGGAATTTTCCAGCCGATGCACAAACTTTTTCTCTGGAATTTTATATGCGTGTCAGAAATTTCGCAAAAGTGGTTACACGCTGGTTCTTTCGTAGGTATTGTGCAACAAATGTTGCAGCATGAAATATAGGCTTGAATATCAAGGAAATATGGATTCTCGCGTGTGTGCCCTGTGCTATCAACAACTCATCAGAGGTAAATAAAATGAGACTCCTCAGGTATGCCTGTAATCTTTGTTTCTAAAATTACGAAAATGGGAACATTGAGCATTTGGTAATTCATCTAATTTCTTCATTGCGTTTCCAGCTGAGACTGAACCGGGGGGCGGTGAATGGTCGTCTGGCTTCCCGAATAATGTGGATGGCGGTATCAATTCACCACAGGTAATGATGCTGAGTACACTGAGAGAAAAACAAACACGTCAAACAAGTCTTGTTTGGACCGATAAAATCGCTAGTTGAAAATTGCCAAAAAAGAATTTGTTTGGTTCGAATTTGAAAGTCTCAAACATGAATAATTGTTCTGCTTTCGACAGCAACGAAATATTTGGCTCAAGAGGCGGATAATTCACACCAGACGGTGCCTTTTCAGGATGAAAATATCTCATACAGAGGAAAATTTATCAACAAATATTTTATCTCTGACTTACAAGATTGCTATTATATCATTATTATTGTTTCATTTAAGGGTTCATTTCTTGTCTGTGATTATTAGACGGCCGAAACGAAAAACTACTATCCCTTGTTTCCCATAAAACAAAGATTTTTCGGGAGCAAAATACGTATGGGAGTATCGAAAAACGAAGGAGTAGTGCTAGAAATGACATTTCTTGCGACAAAAATTTTCCATTCGGGCGCACTCTCCGCATGTTTGACACAAAAAAATCCTTTTCTGATAATTTTCAAAAAACTATTTTCTTGGCACAAGTAAGACTTGTTTGAGAACTTTGTCGTTTTTCTCTCAGTGTAGTAGTTAGTGTTTGACGCATTTTGAACTTTTATACATTAGAATTTAATCATTAGATGGATTTGAATATAATGGGATAGTGAACTAGTAGTTCTCAAACTTGACACTGGGAGAAATTTCTAGTTTTCTTTTCTGTTTAAAGTGTGCGATGTGATGAAATATGTCATAAATATTTCATAAATTTAATGGGCTTTTCTATTAAATTTTCTCACGCGTGTCTTTCCTTCTCAGTTTGATTTTATTTTGTCAGTAATAGATTGCAAGCATGCTACCAACAGACTCCAAGTCTTCCACCCCCTCTATTTATTTCGTCAGCCTGTAACAGCTTGTTGAATACATCCTCTCTGATATTACTGAATTTTAACTGCACGTTTAAACTCATTTTATTGCGTTCTCTTATTTCTTTGTGAAAATAATCATCCAAAAGATGCAGATAAATTTTGCATGGAGAGCAGTTTTAGATTGTTCCTTATGATCATATTTAGTACATCGGAGTATTCGGCAAATGGTTATAGGGAAGACAGCCCAATCCAAATAATCCAATGGAGTATTGCTCAACAATACCACCTTTGCAACAGTTAGCTGGAAATTTACCACCACCGCCGACTGTTATGGTGCCTGTTGGAGTTCTTAAGCGTGAGGGAAGCACGAAACAACGGACCGAGGGCCAGAAATCAGTCATGTTCAGTGATGGTGAGTTCTCCACGAAAGAATATATTAGAAATCAATTATGAAATGTTTGAAGAATTCACCAATTATTTTCATTTCCTCACTGAGAGAAAAACACAAGAGTTTTCAAACAAGTCTTCCTTGAGGTTGAAAATTTGTGTTGCAAAAATAAATTTAGTCTTTGCAAAAAAAAATTTTTCCTGTGCAAGCAAAAAATTTTAGTTTTCGCTAAATGACGTATGAAAAAATTGAATAGAAAAACTTAAAATTCTATTTTTATGTTCATGACGAAAAGAAAGGAAAAATAGAATTTAAAAAAAATGAAAAATTTAAGCCGGGGCAATTGTATAGAAAACATCTCAATAGAATAAGGTGTATAGAAAAATCGAATTCTATTGACTTTCTCTATACAATATTTTTTAATATTTTCATCAAGTTTTTCTGGCGTAAAATCGTTTTCTGATCAATAAAAAACTGAATCCAGTGCGGTGTCACGTTAAACAATGTTCATTTCAAACGAAATTATTTTGAAAAAATCGATTTTTCCCCAGCGTCTGAATTAATAGTTTCCAAAATAACTCTCCGAAAGGACTAAGTTAAGTACACAGAGTTGACCACCACAGGTCTAGGGTGCAATCAATCCGTCGTAATTGCGAAGACTTACCTAGAATAAGCAAACACAAGTGAACCCATTCCCCATCCATTTTATGATTTACAACTTTTATTTTATTTCAACTCCCCATTTTCTTTCCAATGTTTTTCTTACTTTAAACATTTTCAAGAACCCAACCTATTACACAGTTATCCCTTATCCCGTTTTATTTTTTTTATCACCCACCTATACGTAAAACACAGGAATAAGGCCTGGCTGTGACCTGACAGAGCTCGACACATCGTGGAATCCCAAGCCACCGTATCGAAAGACAAGCAACAAGAGAATACCATCGCCAGGACAGCAGTCAGCAACGACAGCAAAGCGTCAAAATCTTCCACCATTAGATCCGCACACCAACAGTTATATTCCGGGGGATACGAATATGTTACCTCCAACTGTGACCATCCACAAAGGCCGTGAGTCATGAAAAATGCATAAGATGAATTCTATTGGGCTTCCACAGGAAATTCCATCCATTTTTCGTCGAGTCCATTCGAAAATTTCACGGCTTTTCTGCTCGTTTTGCAATCCAAATGTTCAATAGACGATATCGTGCAGAGAAAAATGAAGAGATTTTGATCTTTCTGTGAAATTTATTCTGATTCTTATTGAAATTATTCAGCTGAGATTTTTTAACTCCTTCGCTTGCATGAAATGGTGAAAAATGGCAATCCATTAACAATTAGTGTTAGTAATGTCAATCAATGCCGATTAATTATAAATTTTAGAAATCAATTACCAAGAAGTTGTGGATTCAGCTGCACTTTACGAGTTACTTAAGAACGAGAGCGAGCCACCAGTGATGTTTGCAATTAACAGGAATCTCTATGCGTACGTGAAGATGACGAATTGTAAGTTTTATTCGTAAATTAGTGATTAGTGCACTTACGAGGAGGTGGCAATGCCATGGCGAGGTGATGGCTAGATCATTTGGAAGTATTTTATATTCATGAGGTAGTTTCATTGAAATCCTGAAATTGAACTGCGATTACGAGTTAAAATCGTTAAAATGAATGCTTAAATTCTGCTTTTTCTAATTATTCTCATGCGCAGAAGATTAATTCTATGCATATTTCGATGTGCCATGGGTTTGGTTGTTCGAAATTTTAATAACAAAAAAAGAGGAAATACTAGTCGTTTTCTGAAAATGTATCGTTGATTTTTGTACTGAATTTTTTGGAAAGAGTCAAGTGGACATTTCCCTCCATAATGAAACATGCACGTAAAAATTCAATGAAAAGCTGGTTTTATTTCCAGGATTTTTGATACAGAAGCTCCGATATAAATTCTTAAAGGTTTTTTCGTCGTATTTTTTTGTTTTTTACAATAAAACGTTAGAGATTTTAATAGAACTTTTAAAGAATTTGCCTAGACTATTGACTATTGGATTTTCATTGCAATTTTAATTAGTTTTTTGAAGATTTTATTGGGAAATTATTGGAATATTTTCCCTTAGAAATGTTTAATTGAAAATATTCTGGTTTTTCAAATGAATTCCTATAGAAAATGTCTCAATAGAAAAAATTGCATAAAAAAATAAATTCTACTGATTTCTTGCATAAAATAGTTTTTATTCGACATTTTCTATAAAAAACACGCACTAAAGGTGCGGAATTCTTTAATAGAATGAGCCAGACACTAAAAAAAATTGAGAAAAAAAAACTTATATTATACTACAATTAAATTAAAAATTTAATTAAGAAATTGACTTAAATTTAATTCAATTTGATTAAATTTTGTGGAAAATTTTCAATATAAGTTCAGTAAAAAAAATATAAAAAAATAGGAAATTCAATGAAATTTTCTATTAAATCCGCTAGGTTTTCCTGTGAAATATTTTCACGCATTTCAACAAATTTTCAATAATAACTAAATTAAACCCATTTTTTCCAGTAAACTGTTGTGTAAACAAACAATGCTGGAACGTGACATCTCGTGGACTGGCATGTGTCGGTCAGGACGAGGTAATCCTCCTAGTGGAGGCGCTCCCCGAGGAGACCCAGCTCCCAAAAGACCTTCTGATCCACATAAACCAAATCTACGTGGAGGCAGTAAAGGGAAACACTGTGACAGAGCTCGGGGTGTCAATCCACCAGGCGGGGACCCTGTTGGGCTCGCGTGAGCACGCAGGCTTCCTCTTTATTCGGCAAACCTTTCAATGTCTGCAGAAAATTGTTCTACCTCCACCGCCCTTCCTAGTGGGCCTCCTGGTGCACCGTTGGGAGACCCCATGGGCCAAAATATTCCCCCTCCGACTGGTTCTACGTCTTGGCGCTGAGTATCGATACTATCCCTGTCCCCTCGTATCCGTTCGTTTTCGTAATGCAGTTTACTTTGAAATTGGTCACACTATCATGAAAGTACTGGCTGATTTTCGTAATTATGCGTACACTCTGCCTGGGGTAAGGGGAATGGTAATTCACATGCAGGATCGTACGACAGATGTTTTATTTCCTCGTAATCGTTACGACCAAGTTATCAAGGGACTCAACAATTCCAACGATCATGTACTAGCATTCGCCGCTAATTTCTCCATTCACGTTGACTCACACCTTGTCTGCATACAAACTAATACTGGGGACGAGAGTAATTACCAAACCCAAGCTATTAATATTCACAATAAACCCAGAAAAATCACTGGTGCGAGTTTTGTGGTGATAAATGGTGCCCTGAAATCATCAATGGGTTTGTCAGCAAAATCTAGTATCGTTGAGGATGGACTGATGGTTCAGATAATGCCGGAGAAAATGGAAGCACTCAAAGCGGCCCTTAAAAATATGCACGATTTTACGATTGATTGTGGACGTCAGGGAGTACCTGAGCCTGATGAGACTGTTAATATTAAGTGGGTGGACAATGATGTCCAGTTCAATCAGGGATTGAAGAGTCCCATTGATAATAGGCCCATGGATGGAATACCCTCGATTCGAGTTCACAGTGGAAATGATTACATGGGTACTAGTAGATTTATTAGGTGGACCGAAGTTTTTATCATTAAGTCTGATGATCATCCCAATGGTGTTCATGATCCAGTGGATTTGAATAAATTGTCGGAGGGCATTGCGAGGGCCACTTGTGCAGCACTGGTGAAGTTACTGGATCTTCTGGCAGCTGCTGGGCTGACTAAGCTGGCGGTTAGAGCTACAATTCATCCGGATAATGTATGTAATTTAATAATAGTTTTATTAATGTCATTAAAGTGATTATTAATAATGATTTTGAGCCATGGGATATTGGAAATCGTTTCGATTTTTATTACAGCGATTTGATAATTAATTAGTGGCATTCACTGATCCCATTTTCTGTGACTCAAAATCATTTTTAATTAATAGTAGTTTTTCATATTTGAGTTTTAGACTTTTTGGGTAGTTTTTTTATTGTTCGCTAGTAAATTCAATCATTTAGTCATTTTTTAAAATCATTTTTTACCTCAAATGTGAGCATTTTTGAGCCCCATTCATCGATATTAATTAAAATTTAATGCAAATTTTTTTTGAACTACTAAATTTATTTTTGCGACAAAAATTTTTCATTCCGGCGCACTCTGCATGTTTTGCATAAAAAAATCCTTTTCTGATAATTTTCAAAAAACTATTTTCTTGGCAGAAGTAAGAATTGTTTGAGAACTTTGTCGTTTTCGAAATCTAACAATTCGAAATCTAACAATAGAATTTTGTAGTGAATTCTATAAATTTTTACAAATTTTTATCCTACGAGTAATTTTCTTTTTCATCTCTCACTTTATTAATTTTTATGTCGGTCAGGTCGGCTATGAAGCTGGCAGCGAAGGTACCCGTCTGCCGCCCATCTACATGAACAGCTTGGACAACGAGCTCATTCAAGTCCTCCATAAAGCAGCCCAGAGCAGCCAGGACACCAATACAGTGCTCGAACTAATATTTCACGTGTTGGATGACTAAGAGAATTTTTCTTAACCATTTGTTGTACTACTTCCAATTTGGTCCAATTCAACAGATTTTAGAGCTTAAGCCTTCTGAGTGGATAATTGCAACCAAAATAACAGCTGTGGAGAGCAGAATGTATTTTAAAAAATATCATGCAAAGATGTTATTAGAGGTGTCAAGTAGTCGATCATTGCGAGTGTCCCATAAAGGATTGGATATGGACATTCACGGAATGAAAACGTCCTAGTATTGATTTTAGAGAAGGTTTCATTTCAAATATTCCTCTTGTGCAATTTATTAGTTGTTATATTTTCCACGAAAGGATGAGTATTGACTTTAGTTGGAAATAAATTTCGAAGTGCAGGTTTGCTTTATTGGCATCTAAATTTAACAATTTTCGTTATGAAGGGGGTCCCAAAACGAATCTGACGTTTCGTGAGGGTAACTCGAGGCGTTATTGGGGGACAAAAACTCTAATTAGCTAAATTTTTGTCTCCGGCAAATTTAAGCCGAGGAAAATCTATAGATAATACCTCAGACTAAGTTTAGAAAAATCGAATTCTATTGATTTTTTTTATAGAATATTTTCTATTGAACATTTCGGTGAAATCTGCCAAAAACTAATAGAAAGTTCAATAGACATCCAATAGAATTGTCTGGCGCATTCGCTGTAATTTATTCAATTCAATTTTTTTCACACGTTTTTGTCTCTGAATAATCCCCCCGAGTTGCCTCCACGATATGACAGATCAGCTTTGGGACACCCTGTATATTACTTCGGACAATGAAAAGTGGAATTTATGTATATAAACTTGTTTTTTTTTTCAATCCAAGAGTTTTATCGAGGGACGTCGAGTACACAGGCTATCGAGATGATAAATGTTGTGAGGTGAATAGAAGAAAACATTAGTTATGCACTTGGCGGTGACAGATGTATAGCAATGTTTTTATAGATCCAGATAGATCGAGTGATGATGTGATGTTATATAGTCTATTATTTTTATGAAGCAAAGGGGAGAACTGAACTCATTATTTGTAAAGTGTCATTATTGGGGAGGAAGAGTTGAAGATTGTTTTGTTCTTCAGAAATGAAAATTCAAGATGTTTCGAGAAAATTTAAGAAAATTCAGATTTTTTATGCGTGAAAGACTCAATCACTCAGGCTCACATGTACGGAAATGATTCATTGAAAGACCTAGGCATTTGCTGGAAAATTCCATCGGATTTCTGGTAAAAATTCAGTGGCGAAACGGTAAAACGGTTCTAGTCGATTTTGACTATTAGCCAGTTTTCAATGAATATCTCGAAATTTAAGGGAGATAGGGAAATGTTTGTCTTTACCTTTTTTGCAGCCCTCGAGTCGCTCTACAAAAAAGGTCATTATGAAAATTTCGTTATCTCTCTTAAATTCGGAGATATTCGCCGAAAACTCAGCCAAGGGCTAAGAACATTTCGTTTTTTTTTCAATATAAATATCCAATTGAAAATGTTTTACAGAAAAAATCAAGGGAATTTGATTTTTCTATACAACGTATTTTATTGAGATAATTTCTGCAGAAATTCCTCGACTTGAATTTCCCAAATTTTTTGATTGATGTTTTAAAGAAACGGAGAAAATGGAGTGAAAAAAAAACGAGGAAAATTCATGTCGAGGAATTTCGTTAAGTTACACAGAGAGACTGAATGCTTCTGGTTTTTTCAATAAAAAATGTTCAATAAAAATTATTTTATTGAAAAAAAATCGTGCAGAAACACTTTTAGTAAATTATTACTGAAAGTTTAAGAAAAAAATTTAGAAATTGTTAACACAGACTAATTCACATAAAATTTCCATATTTTGTTGAAAAATTAGTTAATCTTTGGACCATTCGATGAATTTTAGTTTTCACAATATGCTTGGGAATTATTTTGATGAATTTCCAATTTTCTCTTAAATTCAATTTACACTTACACGGAAAATTCAGATGCAATTACTTGAGTTGAAAAAATTTTAAGTGTGAAAACTCATGGAATTTCTAGTAGTTCTAGTAATTCTCCAGCAAATGCTTTCCATGAAATTTTTCGTCCGTACACTCATGTTTACCTTGTCTAAGTGTTTATTACATTTCCTTGTTTCTTTTACAAAGTTGAATAAATTTATTATAAACTCCAATAACCGTCTTAACAATACAAATAAGACGAAATCATAGTTAACACCAAACACCAAAATATAATGTATATACCTTGAATTAATACGCTGTAAATATATGATGGAAAGTTGAAAAAAATTTTGTTGGAAGTAATTATTCTCAATTTTTGGTCCCCAAAGGAAACTCTGTAATAATTAAAATTTAAGTTTTGTTTTTTTGCAGTCATAGATCATTACAAGAGCTCATTCCGTTGGTTGGATTTGCATGATAATTTTTGCAAATTACGAATTTATCTAAAATTTCCCTGAAAGCGATTTTCCCGATAGTTTCTTCAAATGTGATGCCTCAAATTCAGTACATTATGAATACCGCAAGATTTCCTAATACCATTTTTCCCAAGAAATTCAAGACAAATGATTAAAGAAGAAATATCATTGAGGTGAACAAAATAATATTAAACAATGAGTGATATACGATAAAAGAGAATGATGGGCAAGATGAAAAGAAAAGAAAAATTGAATGAAAAAAAAACTTGGGAAGATTGAGCCGAGGAAATTCTATAGAAATTCTATAGACCTTTTCTACAGAATATTTTTTATTCAGCATTTCTATAGAATCGGCCAAATACTAATAGAAATAGAATTGTCTACCGAATTCGCTAGATTTTTGTATTAAATTTTTTGTGCATGTCATTTCACCAATAAAATCAAACAAAAAAATTCGAGCCGAGGAAATTCTATAGAAAATATCTCAATAGAATAAGATTTATAGAAAAATAGAATTCTATAGACCTCTCCTATAGCATATTTTCTATTAAACATTTCTATAGAATCGGCTAAATACTAATAGAAATAGAATTGTCTAGCGAATTCGCTAGACAATTCTATTTCTATTAGTATTTAGCCGATTCTATAGAAATGTTTAATAGAAAATACGCTATAGGAGAGGTCTATAGAAGTCGAATTTTCTATAAATCCTATTCTATTGAGATATTTTCTATAGAATTTCCTCGGCTCAAATTTTTTTCTTTGATTTTATTGGTGAAATGACGTGCACAAAAAATTTAATACAAAAATCTAGCGAATTCGCTAGACAATTCTATTTCTATTAGTATTTAGCCGATTCTATAGAAATGTTTAATAGAAAATACGCTATAGGAGAGGTCTATAGAAGTCGAATTTTCTATAAATCCTATTCTATTGAGATATTTTCTATAGAATTTCCTCGGCTCAAATTTTTTTCTTTGATTTTATTGGTGAAATGACGTGCACAAAAAATTTAATACAAAAATCTAGCGAATTCGCTAGACAATTCTATTTCTATTAGTATTTAGCCGATTCTATAGAAATGTTTAATAGAAAATACGCTATAGGAGAGGTCTATAGAAGTCGAATTTTCTATAAATCCTATTCTATTGAGATATTTTCTATAGAATTTCCTCGGCTCAAATTTTTTTCTTTGATTTTATTGGTGAAATGACGTGCACAAAAAATTTAATACAAAAATCTAGCGAATTCGCTAGATTTTTGTATTAAATTTTTTGTGCACGTCATTTCACCAATAAAATCAAACAAAAAAATTCGAGTCGAGGAAATTCTATAGAAAGTATCTCAATAGAATAGGATTTATAGAAAATTCGACTTCTATAGACCTCTCCTATAGCATATTTTCTATTAAACATTTCTATAGAATCGTCCAAAAATTAAGAGAAAGTTCAATAGAAATCCAATAGCATTGTCCAGCAGTTAACCATGTTTTTCCATTCAATTTTCATCCCTAAAATGTCTAAAAATCGTTGACATGGCCCTGGAAATCAACCGTTTTCTTCTCTTACCTTCACTCAAGAGCGATTCAAAAATCCCGAAACTCCCAGCGATGTTCCCTAATTGAACGATCTCTTCTTTTCGCGCCCCCCAATATTACAAAGCTATAGTCACCCCATCACGTAGTTATCGACAAAACTAAAATATTGAATTTGCTATGACCGCTGCGGTAAGCGTGCGCTTTATGGCCGTGCGGAATTCCAGATGTGCGCCAGCGCGTATGTCGTTTATGCTTTGGTGTATACCTCCTCCGGCACCTAACATCGAGCAGAAATGTTAGCTCAGTGAATCATTCAGTTTTATTTGAAATAAATAATCGAACCTGAAGAACCTGAACAGTGAAGTAGTTGTGATTAACTAGTCGCCCATAGCCAGCGCAGTTCACAAATCCACAAATCTCGTTGAATATTGGGTTGTATATACTTATAATAACGCCATGGATCGACGAAAAATGTCGTGAGTATTCTGCACACCTGATAACGCCCAAGGAAATGCCTCTCAAAAATTCTGTTTCGTTCGTTAAAAAGTCCCCCTCAATTCCCACTATTCGATATTCGCGTCAATGTCCCAATTTTCGGTGATCCTCTTGCATAAAAAATTGTCCTCTCGCTGGTTATTCTGGATTCAACCATCCAGCACTGGAGGATGAGGAAAGTCTTCCTCGTCTCGCATTTTGATCGTGGGAAGTTGGGAGTTGATTGGCTGTCGATGATTAAGATCAAGGTGTAATCCGAATTGATTTGGTCACACGTTTCACTTCTTCTGGTTGTCGAGCTTTTGCGCATGGGAGAGACTTTCCTCATTGTCATGTCGCTCATCAACATTTTCACAACAATGATATCTCGCCTTGTGGCGACAGTATTTTGTATCGAAACAAGTTGCTGAGTTCAGTGAAAGATGCATTGAATGAAAATATGCGAGCAAATTACGAATTTAAGCAGCAAAACTCGGTTATTTAAAGCCTGTCATTGGGGGCGTAACTTTGTTTCTTGTCTACTGCAATTGATTTTGACACTTCATAGTATTTGCTTCGGTTTTATATAATATTAATATATCCGTGCGCATAACTCACATTGTTAAATTGTAGAATTCTCTAGTCTTATCGCGCAGAAGTTTATTACAGACTTTGTTAGTTTCAAATTCATAGTATATTTTCTTGATCAAACTGAATTATTGCAATTGTATCAGGATGTATTTAGAGACGTTTTAATGTTATCTGAATTCTCATACGTAACTTCAGCTTCCATTATATGAATAATTCATCATTAGTCAGGATAAAAAGTTGAAGTTCTGAAGTGGAATTAATGTTTGAGGCATCAATCACATTTTGTAGACATGCGATTGACAAAGTTATTGTTCTTGCATCAATGTCCCAATTTTCGGGGATCCTCTTGCATAAAAAATTGTCCTCTCGCTGGTTATTCTGGATTCAACCATCCAGCACTGGAGGATGAGGAAAGTCTTCCTCGTCTCGCATTTTGATCGTGGGAAGTTGGAAGTTGATTGGCTGTCGATGATTAAGATCAAGGTGTAATCCGAATTGATTTGGTCACACGTTTCACTTCTGGTTGTCGAGCTTTTGCGCATAGGAGAGGCCAAAAATTTCTACTGAAAAATAAAAATTTATCAACTTTTTTCCATCAAATATTTGTTAAGAAAAATACACGTCAAAGTTGCATAATTTTCTATGGAAATGCCACAAAAATAAATAGAATTTTTTAATAGAATTCTAATAAAATTTCAAAAGAATTCGAATTCATTCGAATTTTTCTGTTAAATTTTGTCATGCGTCTGCTCATTGAGAATTTTGAGAAATTCATGCGTTCAGTAACAAATTGGCATGCTCACCCACTCTCCCATAATTTCGTGAGCGAAAGACCAATATTTGGTGAGAAATTAATGAATTTTTCCGAGGGTTAGAGGGGATTGGACAGATATGTGGCGAAATAACGCGGTTACGCGGTGAAGCAGATGCGTAGGGGCTATTTTTCAGGGGTTTTTTAGAGATTATATTGAAGGGAGAACAATTATACGCGAGCCCATCACCTATGAAAAAATTTCATAGAAAACCTGGCGAATTTCCTAGACAATTTCATTGGATTTCTATTGAACTTTCTATGAGTTATTAGCCGATTCTATTGAAAATACTGTTCAATAGAAAATATTCTACAGAAAAAGTCAAAAGATTTCAATTTTTCTATACAACTTATTCTATTGAGATATTTTCGATGCAATTTTCTCGGTTCAAATTTTCTCAATTTCTTTGTTTGATTTTTTTTCCTTTAAACTAATAAAATGAAAAAAAAAATGAGTTGCATAGAAAAATCTGATTCTATAGACATTGTCAGCATCGGCCAAAAACTAAGTTCAATAGAAATCCAATGGAATTGTCTAGAGAATTCGCTACGTTTTTCGCTTACATTTTTTTATACGTGTCCCCTCAGCATGAAAAAAATACTTGAGAATCTCTGATTATTTAAGTATAATCATGAATCAATCTGAATAATCGATTGTGTTCACAGAACATCCGGGGATTCCCTCTATCAAACATTGGAAATTGCTAAGACAGCAACACCCGAGGAGATAAAAAAAACTTATAGAAAACTAGCGTTAAAGTATCACCCAGATAAGAATCCAAATAATCCAGAGGCTGCCGAAAAGGTAAAAAATAGATCTCTAGGCAGTGAGTTAGGAGTTAATTGCTGAGAGAAAAACAAAAATGTGTGACGTCTAGGGATGTAACGGACAAAGCTGACCGGTCAATTTACCGTCATTTTACATCTAGATAGAGCGCGACAAATATCGTTCATCATGTTGCCGTGTTACACTGAGAGAAAAACGACAAACAAGTCTCACTTGTGCCGAGAAAAGTTCTTTGAAAATTATCAAAAAAGGATTTTTTTGTGCCAAACATGCAGAGAGTGCGAGAAATGAACCCTTAAATGAAACAATAATAATGATATGATAGCAATTTTGTAGCTTAGGGATAAAATATTTGTTGATAAATTGTCCTCTACATGAGATATTTTCATCCTGAAAAGGCACCGTCTGGCGTCAATTATCCGCCTCTTGAGCCAAATGTTTCGGTGCAGTCGAAAGCAGAACAATTATTCATGTTTGAGACTTTCAAATTCGAACCAAACAAATTCTTTTTTGGAAATTTTCAACTAGCGATTTTGTTGGTCCAAACAAGACTTGTTTGACGTCTTTGTTTTTCTCTCAGTGTACTTCGAAAGTCGGCGCCTGGGCTGACCCTTGAGAGAGTTCTTTAATTAGTTCTCAAATGAGACGATTCATGACATCATTCATCCAATGAAAAATTTTGTACGACTGTTTTTCTATAATTGCGGTTTATAGATTCTATGATAATAATAAATAAGTGGTATAAAGCTTTTCAGTTTTTTTTGCAATTCCATATCAAGGTAACGTTCGCTAAATTTTCGATTTCCGTTTCGGCGTTATTCATAATTTTATTCAAATTAAAAAAAAAAATCATGAAGAAAATGAGAAAAAAATGACCGAGCATAAAAATGACGGTCAGATTACATCTAGATAGACGATGTTTCAGCATAAATGACAGCGAGAAAAAATTACTGACAATTTTGTAACTTGACCGGTCAGTTTGCATCACGAGGTGTGTCAAGTCAGACGTAAATTTACCGTTTTCGGACCATTTCTGATTTGCGCATGTCAAAAATTACCGTCATTTTGCATCCCTAGTGACGTCATTAGCGATCTCAAAGCGTTTGAAATCTTCAACTGTCGTCACTTATCAATTATCAATTAACGAGCAATATTTCTATTGTTCATAAAAGAAAAAATAACCATTCAGTTCCGAAACTTGAGATTAAATAATTGGAAAAAAAATCGTGTAATTTCCCTACTGAGGAATGGATTTGGTCCTAGAAATCTGTTTTCTCTCCCAGTGATATAGACCAATAGATATTATTGACATTGAGTAGAAAAACTAAACGGTATTATCCAAAAAGTTTAAGGAAATAAATCGGGCACACGCTATCCTGACTGATTTGACAAAGCGCAACATTTACGACAACTACGGATCCCTCGGTCTGTATGTATCCGAGCAATTTGGAGAGGAGAATGTCAATGCGTACTTCGTCGTGACATCTGGATGGTGTAAAGTGAGAATTCCCCCATTACATTTCAGCAAAAATCGGTAGCAAAGCGCAAAAACGGTTCAATTCGAGTTTTCGAGAAATATCTCCGAATCTAAGGGAGATAATGAAATTTCCGTAATGACCTTTTTTGTAGCCCGCAATTCGCTCTACAAAAAAGGTCGTGACAAAAATTTTTCTATCTCCCTTAGATTTCGAGATATCTATCATAAACTGGCCAATAATGAAAATCGACTTGAACCGTCACGAAAAAATTTAATAGAAAAAGTCCATAGAATTCGCTTTTTCTACACAAATTTCCTATTTTTTTAAATTCTATTTTTCCATTCGTTTCACCAAGAAAATCAAACAAAAAAACCTTGAAAAATTTTACTCAAAATTTTCTAGAAAATTCACTAAATGTCTAACAGAATAGTCTAGCGACTTCTCCAGGTTTTTCAATTGAATTTTTTCGCGCGCGGTTTTACCGCTTCGCTACCGAATCGATCTATCCAATAATTCTCTCTAAATATCGATAAAAATTTTCAGGCTCTATTCTTCATCTGTGGTCTCCTGACCGGATGCTACTGTTGCTGCTGCTTATGCTGCTGCTGTAACTTCTGCTGCGGAAAATGTAAACCCACACCACCAGAAGATAGTGGAGTCTACCACAACCTACAGGTATGAAATGTTATTTTTATCTCGTTTTTGTAGACTAATCCCCACCAAATCCGCGTAGTCAGGTGATAACCAAATGAGTAAGCAATATCTCTTGATCCTTTAAATTCTCTTATTCAAGGGAGATTGGGTAAATGATTGATAATTGTGGGCTCACTGATTAAACTCATGGAAGCATTCTTTCATAAACAAGTATGACGAACTCGAGTAATTCACTGAAAGTGATTTGTATATCTTAATATCGATAATCGATTGGGCTGCATGCACAATTTTTATTTGTAATTATACACGATACAATGGGTTCTGTTAACTCAGGTATGTGGCATCTAACAGAAATACGAGTTACGCTTTATTACACATTTTTCAATTATGCAGATTAATAATGCTGCTTCGTTATTTTAAACACCCCGGCGTCCAGAGAAATGGCTTATTTCGATGTGAATAAACTTCATTTGACAATACTTTGCCTTCATTTCTAACTAATACCGTTTTTATTCGGTCCAGAAAACATTTATTTATATTTTTGAGAATATTTATTTGATTAATCCAGTTCATTAGAATCATATAGATATTTTTAATTAAGGCCCGGGTGTACTAACTTTCGAATGTTATCTGGATTTTTTTCATCTTTCGTAATCCAAAATTGGCAATTGAGTGGTACATCGTGTAGAAATTCCCAAAAATTATGATAGAATGATAAAAAAAATGGAAAAAATTTTGAACTTTTTTAAAGAGCGTTTTTAATTGAGATTCAGAATGAGTTGAAAAAAGTGGAAATTACAAATATCTGATTCACTGTGGCAAATTCTCTATTAGCTGTCATTTTCCATGGTGGATAACAAAACACTAACTCATGGGAAATGACAGCTAGGTATCTCAATTTTCGAAACAGGGGTATGTAGTCTTCTGCCATTCTGAATATAAATTAAAAATGCTCCTTGAAAAAATTGAGAACTTCTTCTGCTTTTTTATTATTATTCATTCATAATTTTTCAAAACTTCTGCATGATGCAGGACTCAATTGAAAATTTCAGATAACGAAAGATGAAAAAAACATCGAGATAACGTTTGAAAGATAGAACAACCGGGCCTTAAACATAAACAAATGGGAAAGTGAAATCAGTGCATTATTGATTTCATAGAATAGAAACATTTAGACTGGAGTAAATCAAAAAGTTTATCAATTCCCGTTTATCGAAAATAATTGTTGAAATCAATAAAAAAAAATTAATAGAGAGTTTTGTTTGATTCAAATAAGCCATTTCTCCGAATGTAAAAGTGACAAAGGAGCGATTTTCCAACATTTATGACTATTCACGTGTTATTTATACTGCACTTTAGCATTTTCTTTAGTATAACATATTTTACTACTTTACGCTGGGCTTCATGTAGTTAAAACTTTATAATCAGTGCATTCTGTATTGGTAAGTAAAGCATAATTTGGAGTCGACGAACTATCGAAGATGTCTATTATGAAGTCATTCATATCTATGAAAAAAACAAACAGCTTATTGATTTCATCAGCGATAATCACCATCGAAGCACCTTCCATAAGTTGAGTTTATTCTTTTTCATATGCACACACACACATTCATTATGTTACTGCTGTCCTAAAGAGAAATCAGTGAGTTACACAGCGGCATTAACAGAAAGTATTCATTTTATTTTTATTTTTTTTAATCATTGATTGTTTTGTTGTTCGGATGGGTTTTCAGTGATCAATGATAATGTAGTGTTGGTCTGGGACATGTGATATTCATAGTGGATTGTCGGGTTCATGTCATTCATTATCTCATTTTTCATGTCTATCATGTCATTTCAGGTCTATTTATTGTCTAGAAAATTTGATGTTCATATTTAGTCTCTGATTATAGCAGCATATTTTTCCCATTCATGTCGTGGAAGATATGGCCTCAATTGAATTACTAATGTGTCAGTTTGATTCATTTTCCTTGTTATGGAAAAATTCGTTTTTTTCTAAATAATAAATGATTTCATGAAATTTCCATTTTTCACGGTTCGCGATATTTTGTCCCTTAAATTCTTCATTCTTTTAGAATGTGCCGTTCATTAATGTGGAATTATATTCCCGTGTGCTTCCAATTATAAGGTAAATGAACCTATGCTCGTTCAGATGTCGTGAGCTATCACATTTTAATCATTTTCGGAGTCCCAAGAGTCTATCGAGAGTGAAATACGGTTGGAGTCATTATTTTAGTTAATAAGAACAGTTATAGACACCAAGGAAGAGTGATTTATTGAAGAATAAGAGAGAAAAATCCCATTCACATTGACTGGTACGACAGAGTGAATTCTTAAGCCGCAAGTCAAGAAATTCACAATTTTAAAATGTTGATATCTCCGATATAATAGTAAAATCGGGTTAAAAACCCCTTGACTGAGGTTTCAGATGGTTAAAAAAACAATGAAAATGCATAAATTATAGTAATAACTTATTATTTCACAGAAATTTTGGCAATTAAAAGAATAGCTACTGTGAAAATGGTATTAATCCTAAACAGATGAAAATATCATTTGAAAGGTTCAATTGAAATATTATTTTGTGCCTCGAGATACTTTTTAATGTTGTTTTATCCCAAATAGGATACTGACGATGGAATTAGTTCGGATATAGCGTTTCCATATTATTCAAATCACGAGACGAGGATACACTGAGAGAAAAACAAACACGTCAAACAAGTTTTGTTTGGGCCAACAAAATCGCTAGTTGAAAATTGCCAAAAAAGAATTTGTTTGGTTCGAATTTGAAGGTCTCAAACATGAATAATTGTTCTGCTTTCGACAGCAACGAATTATTTGGCTCAAGAGGCGGATAATTGACACCAGACGGTGCCTTTTCAGGACGAAAATATCTCATATAGAGGACAATTTATCAACTAATATTTTATCCCTAAGTTACAAGATTGCTATCATATCATTATTATTGTTTCATTTAAGGGTTTATTTCTTGTCTGTGATTATTAGACAGCCGAAACGATAAACTACTTTCCCTTGTTTCGCATAAAACAAAGATTTTTCGGGAGCAAAATACGTATGGGAGTATCGAATAACGAAGGAGTAGTGCTAGAAATGACATTTCTTGCGTTTACAGAGAATCCAATTTTTTTGAACTACTAAATCTATTTTTGCGACAACAATTTTTCATTCCGGCGCACTCTCTGCATGTTTGGCACAAAAAAATCCTTTTTTGGTAATTTTCAAAAAACTATTTTCTTGGCACAAGTAAGACTTGTTTAAGAACTTTGTCGTTTTTCTCTCAGTGGAGGGACATGGGTCAAACGTGCATGGGGACAAATGAGCGAGCACAGGGACACGGGACTTTCCACGTTTATGGACGATTATTTATTGAAAAATAATCATTATCTGATATCTAATTGAAAACATCGCATCTTTACACTCATTTCAATAGCAATATTGGACTGATGATGTGTTCATTGATCATTTGCCTTACTTTCGATGTTATTAATCAATCGTCGATTGATCTTTGAAACGCGCGATTCCATCAAATTTTTGCTTTCCTCAAGTCACTAATCGTTGTTTACGAGTGTAGATATTAAAAATAATTCTCAATTGCACTCTCAAGCACGATGTACGTTACTTCAGAGACTGACACATACTCATCTATAAGATATTGCATTCATTCGTATTTTCAGCAATAGTACTATGTTTTTGTTGTTATATGATAGCAGGGCCAGAATCAACGAGAAAGGCGAAGTGATGCTTTCGAAAAGGTATGTTTATCATTTTGGATGTTACAATGATTAATTTTGTCGTTTTTCATGAAACTTGATCAATTGTTTTTGGGATTTTTGTTGATAGTATGCATGCCGTTAATTTTTCATAGAGGGATAGATTTTTTAGCCCAAACGAACTATCGATTTTTGTCGCGAATGATTGGTCAAAATCACAATTATAACAGCGATGATTTTTCAAGTACAGAAAAGATAATTCCGTTCATGTGTGGAGACGAAGAGAGTTTGGAAATTAATAACAATATAACGGTGTGTTGGATATTTAGAAATGAATAATGATTTATAAATTTTTCTCAGCAGAAAGTGAAAGTTGACATTTTTGCTAAAACGTGGGAAAAAATTTCATAGAAACTCAGCAAATGCGATTGGAAATTCTTTTGGATTTCTATTGAAAATGTTCAATAGAAACTATTTTATAGAAAAAATCAGTAGAATTTTATTTTTCGGCATTGTATTTTTTTAAATTTTTTTTTCTTTTTATTGTTATTTTTTTTAATTCCCAATAGAAAAATAAAATTCTACTGATTTTTTCTACAGAAATTCTTCGACGTGAATTTTCCAAGTTTTTTCACCTCAATTTTTCTCCTGTTTTCATTAGAAAAATCAAACGAAAAAATTTGGAAAATTGGCGCCGAGAAATTTCTATAGAGGTGATAATTCATAAAAATTTCCTGAGTAAAATGTGAGCGAATTCGATGGAAAATTCGGTTGGACTTCTGTTGGAAAATGTCCAGCAGAAATCATTTAAAAAAAAAATCAGTAGAATTTTATTTTTCTATTGAGACTTTTTCTATAGGAATTCTTCGAAATGAATTTTCCAAGTATTTTCAACTCTACTGTTCTTCTATTCTCATTTAAGAAATAAAACGAAAAAACTTGCAATTTTTGAACCAAGAAATTTCTATAGAAAATATCTCAATAGAATAATGTCTATAAAAAATCGAATTCTATTGATTTTTCCTGTAGAATATTTTCCATTGAACGTTTCAATTGAGAAAAAAACGTGCGGAATTATTCACTAGAATCGTGCAAAACCTAAAAAATTTCAGTAGAAATCCAATAGAATTTTTTTCAATGAAATTTTTCCACAAGTGTAGATTTTTTATCCGCAATGTAATATCCGGATTCCTTCACAATTTTCCGAATCTAGGATGACGGAAGTGAGGATGAAGCCGTGACGAGTCAGCCAACGAGTGGAGCTGCACAAGGTGCCTCTTCAAACACTGTCTTCGCAATGCCACCCCCACCAGCGACAACTGCTAATGAAAGTACGAATCTGAACAGCGGTGGTCAAGGTGTTATATATACCACCAGTATGTCTGATTCACGATAATTAATTGCACCAGTTGATTTACACCTCGATGCACCTTCAATTTTTCCTCGATTTTTGTTTTTGTAGTACATTTGAAGGAAAAAAACCGACGTCAATTAGGATTAGATGAAGGCAGTTTCATCAATACATGAACTGAACATTTTTTTTACGTTGCTAGTAACAGTGAATATTACATGGAGAGAAAAAATGGGAAAGAATTATTCTGAAAGTCGGAGGTATACGTATGAAAAAATAGAGAAACTTACCGCATTCTCTGTAAAATTCTATTGAATTTCTATTAGAATTCTATTGAAAAATGCTATTTTTGCGCCACTTCTGATGAAAATTATGCAACTCCCTGATGCGTTTTCAAATAGATATTTGCTTAGAGAAAAAAGTCTAAAAATCCTGATTTTTCTGTAGAACTCGTCTGTTGGAATTTTTTCAGCACAAATTCGTGAGAATAAATTTTTTGAGCTTTGTTCTCTTGAATTTTGTTAGGAAAGACGAATAAAAAACAGCAGAAAGCCGTAGAAAATTTACGCCCAAGAATTTTTATAGAAAAGTCAAAATCGACTGACTTTTGTCTATCAAATATCTATTAACAAAATGACACGGTAAATGGTGCAAAAAACAGAACTTTATAATCGAATTCTAATACAACTTCAATAGAATTTATTAGAGAAAGCGCTAGGTCCTTCTATCAATTTTTTTCATCCGTGTAATCGTGGACCAAAATTCAATACAATAAAAAAAAACTTCAACTGGAGGATATTTCATGATTTTTCAAGTGAAAATACTACGTATGCAGTAATTCTTTATGAAATTTCATAGAAAAAGTTAGTTGATTTGCTAGCAAATTCCATTAAACGTTCTATTATTTTTTTCCCATACACCTTATTCTATGAAATATTTTCTTCATAAATTCCTCGGCTCAAATTGTCCAACTTATTTCGTTTGATTTATTTTTACTGAAAAGACACGAAAAATAGAGTGAAAAAAAACTTGAAGAATTCACGTCGAGGAATTTCTATAGAAAATGTGTCGATAGAAAAAGTTGAATTGAAAAAAGAATAGATTCTATTGAACATTTTCCATAAAAAAGAATTCTCCAACGAAATTGACTAAAAGCTAATAGAATTTTTGATAGAAGTTCGGTAGAAATTTATAAAATTTTCGGTCGAATTCGCTAGGTTTTTTGTTCTATGATTTTTTCAGAGTGAAAAAGCCCTAGACTAGAATTTTGCTCCACGATTACTTGACTTTTTCAGCTATTTCTCTCCACCTTTTTTCTCTCTGCAGTGATATATTGATTAGCAATAACTTGAGTTTCGTTTATTTGGACAATCATGTGTATAATGTTGTGGTAAAGTTCTGTGGTATAATTTCCATTAATATTTTTAAATTCCAATTATTTTCAATGTCTTACTGATTACCATAGTTCTTTGAAATAGATGATGGAATTCAGATTATTCCGCAAACATACGTTTAATATGTCTAAGCGTATCATACCTTCGATACTAGTTGCGCAACAAGATGTGATTTTTAGTAGGTTTTTTTTTGTAATAAAAAAGATTAGAGTTTAATTTCTTTTCTCTTTTATTTTGTAATTAATGACGATGAAAAGCATGACGTGAATCATATGGGAATTGCATTGCATCCATTTAGTTCTTCACCGTTTATCAAAACAGTACTTTTTCCTTCATCTCGACGTAGTGATAGGAAAGACGAATGATATTTAAATGCTTCTCCATTATTTTCCTGAAGATTCAAGAATTATATGTATTAATAAACTTTTATTTTTTTCTTTTTCAATTTTTTCCCTTTTGTTGTCCACATATTTATTTATTTTTTGAATAGCTAGTTGCAGAATTTAGTGATGTTCTAGACGGATCATTTCGCAAATTACCAACCGATCATTTTGCGACAAGTCTGGGATTATGGAGAACTTTTGATATGTCCTTGTATCCGATGAGAAGTTGAAACTTCGTTTGAAATTTCATCGCTCTCACTTCACTCCTGCGTGTGAAAAATTGCCTTCATGGGGTGAACAACGAATGGCTCAATAATCTAATTTTATCATTCATATTTCATCAGCATGAGAGTCAACTTCATCAAATTTACGTAGTCTATCCTTGCTCACTCATTACTTCAATGCTCAATTACGATAAACAATATAATAATTGGTGATTTAATTTCTCAATTATTGGTTGATAAAATAATTCGGAATTTGAAAATTGCATTGACGGTTATTTTTAAAATAAAAAAATTGGTGAGTAATATTAGCAATTGACTTTTTCCAAAGTTGACTGTCATTCAAAATTTTGATTATGCCAATGTCTGCATGAAGGGCACAGTTGTTTTGTGGACGCTCCATCTGGAAAATCCTATCCTTGGTACAAAAATATATTAAAAATCGGTCGAAATCCTGTGCCTGGCGCAAAATGATCGGTTGGAAATTTGTGGAATGATCGAGATGTGCAATCTATGAAGTGATAATAATGAAAATCGTGTGGCATCCAGTCACCAATCCTTTTGCAGCGGGAGCTGCTGCGGAGGCCGCAGCCCAAGCAGCCACCAAGTGGTAGTTGGGACCAGCCGATGGAATTCCGCCACTATTTCATGGATAATATTACCATTGCTGAATACGTTTACTCTCAGCTGGTGGCAAAATGTTATTGTTAGGGAAATGCAAAAATATATTATAGTAATACGTCAACACAGTACATAAAGCCACTAAGAAATTTGTTACATGAAGTAAAAGAAACCTTATCTCGTCATTAAGAATATCGAAATCCCTGTACAGAAATTCCGTTTAGCTGAGTCGCATGATTTTAATCAATTTCAAAGAAAAGGCACTGACCTTTGTATAGGTGAAACACGATACTCGTGTTTATGACTTTGTTTTCATGTTGATTACTCGATTGAGGGAAATTAAATTGTACAATTAAAATTCTACGAACAGAGGATAATGAATTAAAAAGTTTGGATTCAATTTCACAATGAAAAATCACGTCGGTAGAGCGAGCTGTGCGATTAACTACTCAGTAATTTGTAATCTACCACGTTAATTACCATGTATTTGAGAATTGAGAGGCCTCACCAGAAGAAGAACTATTCAAATACGGGGAAAACGTTGGGGTATGAATTTTCAGCCGAAAAGGGACGAAAAAATCTGCAGCAGCACTTGAAAAATTTATTCTTTTTCTAGGAACTGGATGAATTGAGTTGCAGATAATCTGAAAAGGATAAAAAATATTCACAAATGTTCAAAAATGCGAGGTGGTGGACAGCTGCAGGCGCCGCCATCTTGCTTCGCCACCCCTCTGTGGGCAGGAGCTCTAAGATGGCGGCGCCTCCACCTCGTATTTTTGATCATCTCTTACAATCATTTATCCTCCTCAGATCACCCTCAACTCGCTTCACCCGGTTTCTGTAGACGGAGCAAATTTTTTGAGCCATCTTTCTGATTTTTCCATCCCCCTTTGGCTGAAAATTCATGGCGCACAGTTTCCCCCGCATTTCGGTAGTTTTTTTTACTCCCGAGACGTCTTCACATCAGTGTATATGCAGGCAATACACCACTCATTCAACATAAACATTTCTAGTCCTCAGGAAGAAATGATGCGCTCTAGGAACCAAGACTATGTTTTTCTGACCTCTTATGACATTAATAGTGAATACAAATGCCTAAGGTGCCATTCGATATGTTTATTCGATTAATTGACAGACTATGAGATCGTTCATACACGTGTTAAAAAATTTAATAGAAAAATCTAGCGCTATTCACAGGCGACTTGGGTGACGCCGCGATTACAAAATGTAATCGATTACCCAGGATTACGGGACTGATTACACTGATTACCACTGCCTATGTGATAGGCGTGGTTACCAAGAGCACAGAATGTGATTACATGATTACAAATGATTTCGTCGATTACATTCTGTGATTACCAAACGTCTAAACATTGAAATCACAAAAAATGGCGTCTTATTAAATATGAATTGATGGAATAGCTAATTATTAGAACCTGCAAAGAAATGAGGAAGGAGGGGCGGTGATTAGAACAGAGGAATGCAGTCTCCATCACTCCATCTAATAATTTGGGCATTTATAAGTGCTATCAGCAAAATAAATTTACTGAATATCTACCATTGATGGAGAATGAAACTTACCAGCAGATAATTCAGAGATAATTCCGTCGTTGGTTCTTCAGAATAAGAAGAAATTTTAACTCGGTTGAATCAATTTTCTACGGACTAATGCTCTGTGCAAAACGCATTGGCTATGCAAGGTTCTGAACCATAAACATCTGGGATTCCCAGAAAAATTGATCCAGGGATCTCTGAGACTTACCGTTGGTAGAAATGACGCGCTCGAAAATTCAAAAACAAAATTCACGGTCTCACTAGGAGCAACTACGAAAGATTACACTGATTACAAATGATTACAGTGATTACAAATGATTACCACTTAATTACCAAAACTTGATTACAAATATGGTAATCATGTGATTACAATGATTACATTGATTTCACTGGGATTACAATTGATTACATCAGCGAGTGGCACCACGATTACGGCTGTGAATAGCCCCTCGGGAAATTCAATATAATTTCTTGAGAGAAGTGCTAGGTTTTCCTGTTAAATGTTGTTATGCGTGTTTGATTGACCTATAAATAGATCAATATTGATCTACAAATAATATTACAAATACACATGTTCCGAAAAGGGACATTTGTCATTACACGCCCCACGCTCCATGCATGAAGCATCGGTAACCATTTCATATCAATTCATGCTGATCGAGAGCCATGATTAATAGGAACATTTCGACATTACAGAGAATGATTCCTCACTTCTCCAATAATTATGAGTTAGAAGTGGAATGCTTAGAAAGCGATTTTGCTCGTAGCAAATATGATAACTGGTCCAATTCTTTGCTTTGTTATTCAATAACCTGTGTGAATATTCCATGTAGTTTTTCCATTCGCGGAATTTTTAATGTAAGAGTAATTATGGCGGTAGGTAATGAAATAAAAAATCAGACAACGCAGACATTTTGTCGATTATCTTCCGTCGAAATTTATCGTCTTCGCAGCCTATGTTGAGAATTTCCATGAATATTAGAGTAAAGTTCAACGTTTGCCCGAAATTACAGGCACTCAAGAACCTCTTGACCTGTCTTTACTGATTCCGAGCAGTTATTTTCTTGTTTCTGAGAACCGAGAAAATCAGATTATTTAATAAATGTACCCTGGTTACTGACTAACATTCTTTTCAATGCATCCCTCCTTTTTTTGAAAAGATTTAGTGATGCCGCGAGACATTTCATGGGACATCACGAGACCAAATTTTTGAGAGATCATCTCGGTCTCAAAGAAAAAGTGTTCTATTGATTTTCCATTAGTTTTTGGCCGATTCTATTGAAATGTTCAATGAAAAATATTCTACAGAACAGGTCAATTCTATTTTTCTATACAACTATTCCATTCAGATTATTTATACACAATTCCTCGGCTTCGATTTTCCAAGTTTTCTTTTCTATTTTTCTTTTCTTTTCATCAAGAAAATCAAACGATCAATCGTACAGAATTAGCTGCAAGGCATTGTGCAAATTAAGTAGTCTCGTCTTTCTAGAGATTTTTCCCTTTCGCAGAGTTTTTAAAAACTTGGTTTCATTGAAAGATGCCCCATTCGCGCATCTTTTTGTGTCTCAATAATTGTATACATAGACGTATAGAATTTAATACATAATTGATAATAATAATAATAATAATAATAATAATATGACTATAAAGCATATGAGTATATGATGTATCATCTTTTTCGGATATTAAAAACGTACCAGTTATCCTATAAAATTTAGATAGTAACTCCATAGCTATGCAATGAAGGTATAACGTATTTATTGTAAATAAATGGAATTATGATAGAACAGTGTTTTTCTCTGACTTTCTTCAGTCGATTGTTTTCTCGTTTAATAACTTCAGACAGTTCCGTGAATTGCGGATGAGGCACAATTGAGTAATTAATTTATGTAAATAAAATGCCGTCGAGTGGATATCGTGATTATACACCACCGGCTATTGATCAACGGATAAATGAGTTATTAGATCGACGAGCCGGTGCCTACGAGAATCTTTCTACTGAAACCACGAGAGAACAACTTGTACGTGACACATGACGAGTAACCTTATCACTTTACGGCGAGACATTCATTAGGAAAATTGTAGTGCTAGTACTTGAAAAAATCCTTGTCCACACTGAGAGAAAAACGACAAAGCTCTCAAGCTGTCTTACTTGTGGAGAGACAATAGTTTTTTGAAAATTATCAAAGGGGATTTTTTTGTGACAAACGTGCAGAGAGTGCGCCGGAGTGAAAAATTTTTGTCGGAAAAATAGATTTAGTAGTTTAAAAAAAATTGCATTCTTTGTACACGCGAGAAATGTCATTTCTAGCACTACTCCTTCGTTATTCGATACTCCCATATGTATTTTGCTCCCGAAAAATCTTTGTTTTATGCGGAACAAGGGATAGTAGTTTTTCGTTTCGGCTGTCTAATAATCACAGACAAGAAATGAACCCTTAAATGAAACAATAATGATGATATGATAGCAATCTTGTGACTTGGGGATAAAATATTAGTTGATAAATTTTCCTCTATATGAGATATTTTCATCCTGAAATGGCACCAATGTTTTGACCCAGACAAAAACTTTCGATTTCGAACCAGACAAAGTCTTTTTTGGCAATTTTCTACTGACGATTTTGTTGGCCCAAACAAGACTGTTTGACAACGTCTTTGCATTTCTCTCAGTGTACAGAAATAATTTTTTACTCTTTGACGGTCACTCAGCGCTCTTTTTCCCGTGCTAGTACTAGAACTTTTCTTGAGAATTGCTCTCAGCGTTGGTACTTGACAAATTTGATAAGAGCAAATGCAATTTCCAGGAAAAATACAAGGGAAACCGGGCGTTGAGACAGGGATTGCTGAAAACTACACACCGTCATGTACTTGACATCGTAGCGTTGATGCTGAATACTCAGAGCAATGCTCTGGAGGAAGGAATTTTAGATAAAGATGAATATGTGCAGGTGTTCAGTGATTTTTTCGTTGAAGAGGGACGACGAGCGGTGCTGATATATTATCAGCCGATGGACCCGCCTGCATTTGGTATATCTTTCTTAGATCGGGTAGAGTGATTTTGAAAGAATTGCACAGACAGAAACAATTGATTTTATCAAGAGAATATTATTTGAACCAACTATCATTCGGTTGTTAATTTTCAAATAAACATGGTTTCATAGTGAATAACAGTTATCTCTTCTTGAGATACATTTGATTGGGAGAAATCGAACTTCTCTAGAATTGAAGTTCCTTTTATGTGTCGCAATAATGAGAGTATTTGATTTCTTTCTAGCCAAAAGTTTGCCAACTCCAGAAATTCGTTGGTTTACTCAAAAATCAAAATTATTCTCATGACTAAATACGTTGTTATCTCAATCAACACGATCATACGTTGTTCCAAGTAAATTATAATTGAAGTGAGCATTTCGTATGTCGAATCAGGATGAATATTGTTACGCGGAAAAAGCTTTGAGATTGTAGTAAGATGTCGTTGAGTTGAAAGAAGTTTATATTTCTTGACTAAAAAAAATCGCATTAGGTTACAATAACAGAATCACAGATTACGGCAATTCAACACAAACTTGGATATCACAAATTTCGTTCAATGTGATGTACGGAAAGCTCAATTTAAACATCGGCTTCATTCGAGAAAACATTCAATTCATTCCTCAATGTAATCACCTCCTAGGTACGAATTTTTGATCAATTCATGAAAGTAGAAAATTTCTCGACTGGAGATTACATTAGGTTTAAAAAAATAGAACTTTTCCACTTTCTTGGTGAATACATGTCACTCGACGCCAAGCACTCTTTTATTTGATTCAAGTAAATGTATCTCAAGAAGAAATAATTGATACTCACCGTAAGATCTTATTTATTTGAAATTGGTTCAAGTATATAAAACTTGTTCCCAGGAAGAAACATCTCAATAAAAAATAATTTTGTTTTCAAACTGTTCGTTATACTCCAACGAACAAACCCAAGGATCTTGTATAAGTAGTCAATTTCATTTAGACTCTGGAAGATGGACGGTGCAGCTCGCCCGAAATGCTTCATTCATTCGTTGTTGTGTTACGGACGGCTCTACCGAAAAATTCACTGGAAAATGTGTAATTGTTTATCGCCTGAATCCGAAAATAGAATTCGCGACGAAGCAGTTACTGCAGGTACTACTCAATACTTATTGAGCTTATCCAATTCGTCGCTTCTGCAAAGACTGGACAACAAAAATTATTTTCAGGAGACTTATTACGCTTACACAGAAGTTGATGAGTTGTTTTTGAGCACTTTACACGGGGTTTTCAGCCTCATGTTACGGCTAAATGTACCCGCAATTCAATCGAATCCCTACTGGGGTGACTTGATCAAAAATGCTGAGATTGAAAGGAAGCGGAAGGACAAATTTACGGAGGATGTGGCAGATTTTTGTCAATATTTGGCAAGTGAGTTGTTCAAATTCGAACCAAACAAATTATTTTTTGGCAATTTTCAACTAGCGATTTTGTTGGCCCAAACAAGACTTGTTTGACGTGTTTGTATTTCTCTCAGTGTGGGTTGCCAATAGATTGACGCTCATATTTAATGGTTATTCAAACAAATTCATCCCTCTGTATGTTTAAAAATGAAGAATGATCCTTTTCGATAATAATAATCGAACAGATACCGTGTTTATTTGTCCTGATGACTGTTTTTTCACATTATTCCGTCAACACTGCGTGACTGTTGTCTAACTACTCACACCGCCACTGATTTGTTTTTTTTACGTTCAAAATGTTCATCAATAAAAGATAAGAAAATCATCGTATTATTATACATTACACTGAGAGAAAAATATAATTCTTCTGACTATATTCCATCACCATCGAATTATAGTCAAAAAGTCCTCAACAATTTTTCATGGGTTACGGTACCTATGGCCGGAGAAGTAATTACTACAATGGAATGTAGTCATTGCAACTATTTTATAGTTCTCCTCACGATAGATTCGTCATGGTTACTTTTGAACTTTGGTTAGTTTAACTGCATTTTTATTTGCAAAAGCTACGCTTACGTATCGTTCACCAAAATGCCTCAACTATTTTCTTATCGTAAATCGAACTTCAGATTTTTCTCTCAGCAGCTTCATTATCAAAAATGGAAATGTGTAAGACACTTTCTGTTATATTTTTTATAGAATTCTAAAAAAAGTTGAAATGGTCGATCTTTTGGTCGGTGTCTACCCATCGGTCTGGTTCAAATAAATCCAATTGTGATTTAAAATATTCTCCCCAATGCCATCTTGACCGAGTTCGATCATGAGATTGACTGCATCATTTGTCGTTGAAAAAGTGTATTCTGAAACCAATATTGAAGGAAAGGTAAAAAATTGTGACGTTGATTTTAATGTGATGAATATTCAGGAATCGATGATGATCTCCGGAGAACCATGAGACTGGACGAATGTCCGGAAAGTCTTCGGGAGTATTCATCGACAGAAGCAAACATGAATTACGCCAGGAATCACGAAGCTGTAGAAGAGGTGGAGGAGTGGTTGAGAACAACGATGAAATCCATTCAAAAAGTATCATTATTTATTATTTTTGACGCAAATTCATTCCGCGAAGAGATGGAAAAGAAACATCGCGTACATTTACATCGTCCATCGAGAATATTTGACGGAGTGGAACAGATTTACTTGAGGCAATTAACCAGCTTGATAGAAGGAAATTAAATATCTTCTCCAAAAATTAAATTTTTGTCGTGATCGTCAGAAATATCCCCAGAAGAATTCGAACTGTTGGCAGCAAAAAATATAATCTATTGCACGACAATCATTTGATCTGAGAGAACTCCATAGGTTTATACCATAGAAAGAATACATTGACGAGGAAAGAATATTTTTCTCCCGAAAAAAATTGTCCCCTCGAAATTATTTAGTTTTGCCAATAACACAGTTGTCGGCAAGAAAATTGTAGTTTCCTCTTGAAATTATCATTTGTTCCATGGAAATTATAAGTGTTTATCGGACAAAGATATACACTACTCAATAACATTCACTTGATGAAACCGGAGCCTCATATAATTCTCTGTAGAACGAATGTATTTACCCGAAAGACATACAAATGTCTCACGAGAGCAATTACTGCTGCGAAAATTATCAAGTTTTGGTGGAAAAATTCTTTTTTGTCCACAAGTAAATTGATTCACCGACAAAAAATGATTGCAATGTTTCCCTGTGGAAAACTAGAAGATTTTCACGAATGGGTGTTCCCATGAATGAATTTCCTCTCTCTCATTACAATCTTCCTGATGGATTTTCATACTTTCAACTAGGCGTTGGTTGAAAGTCAGCAACTGCAACGCGAGAGTGAAGACTTCGGACCGAATTTCGAATTGATGTATTGGCGACAGGTTCTAGTGCAATTTTCATCAATTTCAGAGCAGATGAAAAGTCCCGAAACGACAAGACTGATGACTTTACTAGTTGTGGCGGACTCCAATCTCGTGAAAGTAAGTGCAAATGGAGATGAAAATAGGCTGATCATATTGAATCATATGAATTCTGTAGAAATGGAAGAAATTAGAGGACGACGTCGCCAATATGGAGATTCTAGCTCGAGACAATATCACCTACTTGCAATCACTCGAAAAATTTACGGAGCCGTTGTATCGCCTCAGACCGACAGAAATTGGCGAGTACTTGCCTGGATTGATGTATACCATCCGAATGATATACTCGACATCGAGATTTTTCAACAGCCAGCGAATGTTGACAGCCATATTCGTCAAGGTGGTGCATTACATGAGCTNTTATTAGCTTCACAAAATAGTTCTTCACATTGCGGTTACAGTATCACTTGTTGATTTGTTACAGAGTATTTTGTGTTTTGACGTTAAATTTTCAGGTTAGTCTTTCAGGAACTTATCTATAGCTTTTATAACAGGTAGCTTCAATGAGTACAGTATACGGTTGATGTTAGGTGGTAATTCTATGTTTTCGAATCTTTTGCATCATTCTAACTCTCTTGTTTTCGTACTTGGGGCAGTTCCACAAAATGTGGTTGAGATCCTCTTCGGGAGCTAGATAATTCTGTTGACAATTCTATTCGTTTTTCTGGGCGTTTTTGCCAATAGAAAATATTCAATAGAATCTGTTTTCTAGGAAGAATCAATAGGATATATTTCATAAATATTCCTTGGCATAAATTTTACAAATTTTTTTTCACTCCATTTTTCTCGCTATTTATCATTATTATTATTAATTTATTAATTTCGAGAAAGACAGCATAACTGGTAAAAATTTCATGCAAACTGAACTTGATTAAATTGTCATAGTGCGGTATTTCGTTAGTTTATTGAAGATTTCAATAGAAATTCAATTGAATTTTCGGGTGAATTCGCTCGATTTTTTTGTGATTTTCGTTCGTACGTGAAATATTGCAAGTCTTAATACTGAAAAATGAAAGACACGTTTTCGTTATTTTAGATCACGAACCAAATGATACTGTCATGCAAAGCATACTTGACAGAAAATGGGACGCTGGACATCTGGCGAGATTCCAAAAGCCGACTGATATCTCGTATGAAGGATTGCATCAATCTCTATGAACAATATTACAACATTTGCAACAGTGAAATGGAGAAGAACACGGATGAGATGGTGGACGAGCGATTGCCCTTCAAAATTTCCCGGATTTCTGTGTTTGGGAAGTTTGATACCTTCAAGCAAAGGCTGGACAAAGTAAACGAACACTCATTTGTGCTAAAATAGAATTAAGAGAAAATCCCAGTGCATTGGGGGTTAGAGAATTTCGCTTCGACGATTTTGGAATGACTAGTGTGATTATGCCCTTGTGCCTGTCAGATTCAGTAATTAATTCAGTAAAGTAAAATGCAGACAATAACTGGCAAGAAATAGCAATAGAAAATATGTCAATAAATTCTAAAGAAAAATAAAAATCGAAAGGTTCTGCTGTAGAATTCTCTCTATTAGAGATTTCTATTAAAAATAAATGCACAGAAAACCAGAATTTTTCAATAGAATCGGCGAAAAACGAATAACTGTCAATCGAAGTGCTAGAAATTCAATAGAATTTTTTACCGAATGCGCTAGAATTTTCTCTCGATTTCCTGAATAATATTGAATAACAAGATTATAGCAATAGAATAGACATCAACTCGAAACTTCCGATTTTCTCGTAGTTGATCGATGTCCTCCAGATGAATCTGTCTCATTCAATTTTACACAGCTCGACAATCGAAGGAATCGATGTATTTGCAAAGAAATTTTCAGCCATTTTCCATAAATTGGCATCTCAGAAATATGATTATCTCGATCACAGAAAGCTTGATTTTAATACCGATTACGAGGAATTTAAGAAGAGCGTTTTACAAGCGGAAGAAGATCTGAGGAATTTCATCTCGAAAACCCTATCGCTGGCGACAAATATTGATGACGCACTCGTAGTAGTTCTCAGGTAAATGCGCGATTCTTGAAATGATAGTGAGTCTTGAAGTACACTGAGAGAAATATCGTCATAATATCACGAAACTTATTTCTTGCGGAAAATATCTCATCCGAGGAGCTATTCACAGGCATAATCGTGGTGTCACTCGCTGATGTAATCAATTGTAATCCCAGTGAAATCAATGTAATCATTGTAATCACATGATTACCATATTTGTAATCAAGTTTTGGTAATCAAGTGGTAATCATTTGTAATCACTGTAATCATTTGTAATCAGTGTAATCTTTCGTAGTTGCTCCTAGTGAGACCGTGAATTTTGTTTTGAATTTTCGAGCGCATCATTTCTACCAACGGTAAGTCTCAGAGATCCCTGGATCAATTTTTCTGGGAATCCCAGATGTTTATGGTTCAGAACCTCGCATAGCCAATGCGTTTTGCACAGAGCATTTGTCCGTAGAAAATTGATTCAACAGAGTTTAAATTTCTTCTTATTCTGGAGAACCAACGACTGAATTATCTCTGAATTATCTACTGATAAGTTTCATTCTCCATCAATGGTAGATATTCAGTAAATTTATTTTGCTGATAGCACTTATAAATGCCCAAATTTTTAGATGGAGTGATGGAGACTGCATCCCTCTGTTCTAATCCCCGCCCCTCCTTCCTCATTTCTTTGCAGGCGCTAATAATTAATTATTCCATCAATTCATATTTAATAAGAGGCCATTTTTTGTGATTTCAATGATTACAGATGTTTGGTAATCACAGAATGTAATCGACGAAATCATTTGTGATCATGTAATCACATTCTGTGCTCTTGGTAATCACGGTTATCACATAGGCGGTGGTAATCAGTGTAATCAGTCCCGTAATCCTGGGTAATCGATTACATTTTGTAATCGCGGTGTCACCCAATTCGCCTGTGAATCCCCCCTCGGTTATACGTTACAAAACCCACCTATCCTTTACCGAATTCCCACAAAAAATATTTAATAAAAAAAAAATTGCTTGAATTGCGTCAGACAGTCGTTTATTTACTGTTTCATTTGCCCCACTCTCCCCTACCGAATTAAGGTATATTTTACCCATGTATGTTCGTACTACTCAAGGAATTTCATCAACTCCAATAACTGACAACAGATTCCAAAAATTGAATCTCGGTCGCTTGTGGATCGATTCAAAGTACCTGAAGCTCGTGCCAATGTACGAATCAAAGATCGAGGCGATACGAGATATTTACAACGAGGGTAGATCATCCCCGGCGATAGCCAGAAACATTCCCTCAGTAGCGGGTAGAATTCTCTGGGTTCAACAGCTGAGCAGATGTCTCGAAAAGCCCATGGAAGTATTCAGACTCCGTCGAAAAGTCATCGCCCACGAGCAAATGCAGAAGTGCATTAAAACTTACAATGCAGTCCTCAATGTGTTCATCCACTACGAGATGATTTACCACAAAGCCTGGTTCGATTCAGCAGCTGTTGTCCGTCTGGCCCTGACATCTCCTCTCTTGCTGAAGCACCCAAAAACTAATCGATATATCGTTAATTTTGATCCATACATCCATCGAGTATTCCGGGAAGCCGAATACATATCGAGACTGAATTTCCGAGTGCCTGTGTTCGTCCAGATGACGACTTTCTGCAGGGACAGAATCATCACGTCTTTCGAAAACGTTAAGCAGTTGGTGGAGCAGAATGACCAAGTCCGACACTCAGTGCCAGGTCTATTCCTGAACCTGATGAAACCGGCATTCGCCAAACTCCAAGTGGCATTCCAGCCATGCCTCTCAGTCATCATCTGGAATTCCCTGGGAATTCCCCAGTTGTGCCACCGTATCCAAGAAGTACTGCGCGATGTTGAGATTTTCGTGAAGGAAGTCAACGACATAAAGGAAGCGAGAGTCGATGAAATATTCCAGAGAATCTCGGAAACGGCGATCATAAAACTGGATGATCATGCCTTGAGCCCCGAGCAATTTGTAGCTGACAACATCAATTTTGGAAATGCTGTGGGGGTTGAGTTGGAGCTGAAATCGGCGGCTGCGGAAAAAGCGGTCATTACGATAATTAACAAGTGCTTAAGTTTGATGGCTTCTCCGGAGGTAGAGGGAGACTTATATGATTGGGTTGATCCTGAGAGGATGTTCAAGCTCGTTGGTTCCGAATCGGGAAACGTTAGAGAGCAGATGGAAGCAAGTAAGGGAAATTATGCAACTTCCCCTGAGTTTTTGAATAGATGTTCGTGGCATTGGACTCGAGAAACCGCGATCTAAGCGATTTTATGATTTCATTATGAGAAAAAAATAAGAATACACTGGAAAACGCTTAAAAAATTGAATGCCAAGAATTTTGTTTAGAAAAAAAAAATTTTATTGTTATTTTATATCGCTTCGACTCGGTTGAGTAGATTGCGATGATGATGAAGACTTTAAAATGGTTAGATTTCACCATTCTACCCGACCGGGATTTGAACTCGGAACCTTGCGCACGTGAGGCAACGATCTTACCGTGCCAGGCCGTCGGGCTTTGAAAAAAAAAAAAAAAAAAAATTGAATTTCCTCTTTATAAAATTACACAGTAAACTCGCATAATCTTCTATAGCAATGGGGTAAAACCCCAATAGCATTTTTTAATAGAATTCTTATAGAACTTCAGGAAAATTCCCATAAAATTTGAATGGAAATTCCATGGAATTTTTTAGAGAAAGTACCAGGTATTTCTCTGAAATTTCTTCACGCGTGCTTCACTGGTACTTGAGAATAAATCATTTTGATGTGATCTATTGCTCAACAGAATTCGCTGATATTGATGTCTCTGCGCCGATTAATATCGGTCGTGTCCAGAATGATTGTATGGATGTTTTCACTCATTTTAATAATAAACTTACCGAAGTCTTAGTGAAATGCACGAAGAGATCACTGGAAATGCTGAAAAAGCGCGTTGGGACATCAAGGTACATTCAATTATTCGTCTATTCAATTATTCAGCTATTGATTATTTATAGACTCATCAGGTCATTGTCAACCCTCGATCACTTACGATCACTTGAATAATTAATATTTTATTATATTATATTATACTGTTTTTGCGCTATTGAGAGCAACGTCCATTAGGACCTTCTTTCACCTGTCACAATATCATTGTCGCTTGACCATTTGTTGGTCTTCAGTATATTTGTACAACAAAATGTACAGTAAATAAAACCTTTCGGTCAATCAATCATTCACTCGTGCGTGGCCGCAAGCCTTCATCCGTCGCACGGTTGGCGCAGCGCGCTGTTGCCCCTTCGGCGCTTACCGCTATGCGCGCATGTTAAATGTGATAATGAATGTAGCAACACTGCCGCCCGAGCGGTCGACGGTGACCACTCGCACCGGACGACGCCGCCGTTCTGTCGGTTCGAAGTTTCTTTTTTTGTCGCTAAACAAATTTGTCGATAACAAAACGGACAACGCCAACGCTTAATAAAAGGATTGAGCTACGAACTACAATTTTTTCAGAAGTTTTCAGTGTCGGGAAACACGCTAAAATATTTAAAAAAAAAAAAACGGACGGCCTGCGCTCGTTGAGCGAGTGATCGAGGGTTAATTATAGAGTCAAAAAAAATACAGTTTCGGCACAAATTACCCTCACGTTCAGTAAATTTTCCCGGGCCAACGGGGAAAAGTTCACGATTCGTCTCCCACTTTTTTCCCGATGTCGGGTGAAAAAGTATTGAAAATCGAGTTCGCTCCACGATTACTTGACTTGTTTAGTAATTTTTCACCAACTGTTTTCTCCGTGTGGAAACCAGAAACTTTGTGCCCCGTGTAATTACGATCAAGTATCTTCTTTGCAGTATCACTTTGAGAGACACCAGTCGGAACTACGACGAAGTGCCCTTGCTTCGTACACACTTTATATTACAAATACCCACGATCACGATATCCCCCAGTATTGAAAAATTGCAAAGTTCTTTCAGTGAAATGGTTAGAAATCTACTCGCCATTCATACGGGGGTGAAGCAGTGGGGTCAGAGAGGCTCCCATCGTGCTGAAAAGAGAGATACACTTGGGACAGAATTACTCGATGGTAATTGTCTTTTTGAAAAATTTAAATGGAAAAAGGCTCTTATATATTGATTTCTTCTTGACTTTCTCTGGATTCAATACTCAAGTGTTGTACGTAAATTATCATAACTAGTTCGTGGACACGTCTTTAATTTCATGTTGGCCCCCGACGGCCAGCGTCATTTTTCGGAATTGTAAATTCTAGATTTTTCTAGAAAATTCGAGAAAATTTTGCAGTTGAAAAGAAAATTCCAGAAAATTCTCCCAATATTATGAAACATTGTGAGAACGCCTAGAGTTTAGAGTCTTCATTCTCAAATAATACAACAAATTGATGGTAATTTAAATTCAGAATGAAAACCACTCATCAGTCGAGCCGTATTACAGTGCAAACTTCTTTCATTGCAGAAGAAGACGTAAAAGCGATGAAAAGTTATTATCAAACGATAACCGATCATAAAGACATCGTACGGAGTACTATCGCCCTTCAGGGAATAATATTAATGCTAAAGAGCGACATTATATTCATCGCAAATGTACGTCACCATAATTTTCGTCATTTCTTTTATCACATTATGCGAGACATTGCATTATTCTGCAGGATTACGTCAAAGCTTATTCCTACCTCTGGGCGGAGAACAGGAACAGCCAGACAAGATCTTTTGTTGAAAGTGAACCTATCACAGAGCAGATAAAGGAGGAATTTCTCAAATATGACGCCCTGCGAGAAGAAATAAGAAATCTGCCCCGACGGCACGTAATCGGTTGTATTGAGATAGATATGGGTGAGTTCTCACTTTGGCATTAGAATTCGATTTTTTGAAGTTTTTTGTTTAATTTTTTGATGAAAACACTGAGATTTACTTGAGGGAAATTAACCAACTTAAGGCCCGGGTGTACTATCTTTCGAACATTATCTCGATTTTTTTTTCATCTTTCGTCATCTGAAATTGTCAATTGAGTCCTGCATCATGCAGAAGTTTTGAAAAATTATGAATGAATAATCGAAAAGAAGTAGAAGAAATTCTTAATTTTTTCAAAGAGCATTTTTAATTTATGTTCAGAATAAGTTGAATACCGAGAAATTGAAAAATGTATCTGATTTACGGTGACGAATGGCGGCCTGTCACCCAATATCATGCAGGGGGAAGACTGATTTCGTAAATCTTTTCCCACACTGCACAGAGACATTTATTGCGGAAAAGGCTCTTTGAAAAAAGTTGTCATATTTTGGAAAATTTTTTAATCACACTTTTATCACATAAAAATGGCAGAAGACTACATACCACTGTTTTGAAAATTAAGATACCTAGCTGTCACTTCCCATGAGGAGTTAATGTTTTGTTATCCACCATAGAAAATGACAGCTAATCAGATATTTGTAATTTCCACTTTTTTCAACTCATTCTGAATCTCAATTACAAACGCTCTTTGAAAAAGTTCATAATTTTGTCTATTTTTTTTATCATTCCATCATAATTTTTGGGAATTTCTACGTGATGTGCCACTCAATTGACAATTTTGGATGACGAAAGATAAAAAAAATCCAGATAACGGGCCTTAATTTAAGAAATTTCAATATCTTTTCCAAAAATTAAACATTCGTCATGATCATCAGAAATATCTCTAGTAGAATTTCAACTGTTGGCAGGAAAAAATACAATATATTGTACGACAATCATTTGATCCGAGAGAACCGAGAGAAGTCAAAGGATTTTTTTCTTTCAAATATTTTTCAACCCTTTGTTACACCAAATTTTCTCAACCTCACCCTTCATGCTAAAAATAAAAATATTCACAAAAATCAAGAGTTCATACATTTAGAAGCCTCCGGGCTGTAGCTGTTAATAACAGCTCTATGCTCTAATTTTGTAAATATTGTTACCAAATTGTATTGTTATCCACGTTAATAAACATTGTTGAATTTGAATTTGAGAGAAGTCCATAGGTTTATGCTTGACCTTGCTGTTTGTTCCAGAGAATTTGAAAGGAGCTTTACAAGTGGAGGTTGACTCGTGGAAAAACACATTCAATTCCATATTGAATGAAGCCTACAAACAAAAGATAAATCAATTCACCAATTTTATGAAGGATAAGAGTGAAATACTTGAAAGGAAGATCAACGACCTCGAGGACGTTAGAATTGCGATGAAGTGTCTCAATGAGATCAGAGAGAACTTCATAGCATTGGATATAACTCTTGTCAACATCGAAGAAACATTCGCCATAATGGCAAATTTCAATGTTCCAATCGCCAAAGAGGATCAAGACGCGGTTGACGGACTGCGGTACTCCTTCAACAATATGCAGCAGATGGTATGGCTTTTTGTTCTCTTCCCTGTCGGAGCTCTCGATCGCCGTTGTTCATATTTAGTAAAGATACTAAAGATGAAAAAAACGTGAAGTTGTTTTATATCGAAATATCTCGAAACTGCCTGATCGCTAATCCTCAATTTTGATTGGTCAATGAGTCACGTGAAGTAGTCGCTGAAAAAAATCCTCGGTATTTTCAAATTCTTCAAATGACAAAATTTTTTTCTGCGTCATATTTTTCATTTTTTCATGTGTGAAGTTTAACTTTATATCAAAACATACCTAAATTGCCTAATTGTTGATCATGAGAAAAAAACATAGTATTTCTAAATTTTTTTAACACAAATTATTCTTCACTTCCCAAATTTTAATTTTTTCATATTTATCATACGCACAAATGATCAATTCTTGCTTCTCAGATTTTCATACATAAATTCTAAACTCTACAAAATTCATGAAAATTCTTCGGTTTCCCAAATAATTCGAGAAAAATCTTTGAAGAGCTACGGTTATCTGAAAAACTGGAATTTTCCGAAGAATTCAAGAAATTTTTTCAGTTTTCTGGGAAATTAATTCATAACCCTCCCCTCATTTTTCAATAATTACAGATTTTAATCACATTATTTTAAAAAGAAAAAAAAAGAATTAATCGAAAATTAAAAATTATTCATTGATGTTTCACTCTTCATTCTCTTAATTCTCTTCAAGTCATTATCAATATTTATAAAACATCTATGAGTATATGAAGTTTAATAAATTCGATTTCTTCATTTTCACAACAAAAAGAAGAGCGCGCGCGAAAGCGCGCGCACAGATCTAGTAATATTATATATGAGATGATTCAGAGTCTTAAGGGGTAACGGAAGCAGTCGCAAAAGTTTGTTTTTTCAACCTTTTCTCTCCGATTGTGTCCAATATAAATGGCTAAAATGTTCACTAAGTATTGAGGGGAGTCTAAGGGTTCTTCTCCATCTATAATTTTCAATTTTTTGCAAAAAAAAAAAATTGCAGAAAACTTAACGACACAGCTGATGCTGGAAAATAATAGATGAAGAAAAACGCTTACACTCGCCTTAATACTTGGTGAAAATTTCAGCGATTTATATTGGATACAATCGCAGGGAAATGAGTTTGAAAAAAATAAACTTTGGCGACCGCTTCCGTTACCCCTTAAATTCATTAGCGGTTACCCAGCCCCAATTTTGGAAATAATTTATAAGGAGCCGTGGTTGTATCTGAAGCCCACATTTATTCCCTCATTCATTAATTGCCAGGCAAAGGCCGTCCAGACTATGATTTGCCAAATGCAGGAGCCCCTGAAGCAACAACTAATGGATGGGGTACAAGTAATGAAAACCAATGTTGAACAGTTTGACTACAATTTTGAAATTAATGGGCCTATGGTCGAAGGAATACCGGCGAAAGAAGCTAGTGAACGGTAAAGTTGTGGTGTATTAACGATTTTTATCTCATGAAGGATATCCAAGTACAGTCCAACCTGCCATAAGTTATACTGCGATAAGTTATAACCTGTAATAAGTTGTATAAAATCACCTCTCATAAGTAATATGGGATCCCCCACCGCTAGCCGGTTTCACGTATGCGCCCGAATGATTGGAGGTAGTTGCGCATGCTCGACGTACAGCGGGCATCTGATTGGTCACCCCTACTTTGCTTGAGACAAGGGGAAGTGAGTGACAGAGTGGTGGTGGGGATATACCTTATCACAGGTCTATACACTGAGAGAAAAAATTATTCCTGCCAAGGATTGATATTCTCGTCAGAAGATAATATTTTTTCAGAACGAATTTTTCCAGGACAGTCATTTTCAGAGAGTCCAAGTCTATCCTCAAAAATTACAGTGATGTTGAACAATCTGATTATTATGCTACATATGACCTTGACAAAATGTTCTCCGATATCTTCCGGATTTTACAAATTGGCGATTTTCTCAGGTAAAGAAAATTGGAATAATTCCAAATGTTAATAATTATTATTGGAGTTTCTTCGAGGTCATATGCAGAAGAATATTCTTATAGATCACCATAATTCTCACGCTTGGAACTGATTTCGGAGCACCTGGAAATGACTGGCCTGGAGAAATACGTTCCAAAAGAGATATTTTCTTCTACTAAGAGTATGAAAAAGATATCACCAATAACATTTTCTTGGAAGGAATAAATTTTTTTCTCAGTGTATGCCACTGCGTCTTTCCTTTTACAAAAGGGATATAACCAGTAAGGAATAACAACAACATATGCCATTGCGTATAACTTATGATGTTCGCGGCTCTCAATTTGAGATCACCCCGCATATAAAAAAATATCAGCCAGAACTTATAAGTGACATATAGGGGAAGGTAGGGTAAAATGGACACTTTTGACTTGTTTAAAAATATTCATAACTCAGAAACAGATTTATCAATTGAGCTCTGTCCAAGCTCATCACAAAGAGGAATCATTGTTTTTCGATTGAAAAATAAAATTATTCCATTTCATGAACAATTAAGCACGTCATAAATATTTCAAAAAAAGTCAAAAGTGTCCATTTTACCCTACCCCCCCCCCTAGTGATTTTGCCGGAATTATATCTTGAATATATCCGCCTTGTATACCAGGTATATGCTAGGTATACCCGGTGGCATATATGTACACACATATATCGAACATATATCTCAAATATTGCATTTTTTGCCGGAATGACCGGAGTGACATATATTTTTGTATATATATTTTTCCATGTGGGACAAGTCTCAAAAAGCTTGTTTTTTGGGTGTAGTTAAAAAAAAATCTTTCTTCAGACTAATCCTTGCACAAGCTCGTTTCGATGAGCTATGGGAACGATATGAAACGTACAGTTCTGGAGAAGCACTTTTTGGAATCGAAATAACTCAGTATCCAGCACTCGAGCATCGCAAGAAGGAACTGAATTTGTTGCAAAAGTTGTATGGTCTCTACCTCCAAGTGATGCGATCAATCGACGGTTACTATGATATTCAATGGAGAGGAATAGACTTGGAGAGTATTGCGAGTGAACTTGTGGAGTTCCAGAATAAGTATGTGTGAAAAAAATCGTGTGTTCAATATTATTAACCCTCCAGTGGTCGCGCTATGGTCTGAACGCCGTCGTTTTTGTTATTTTCACGATATCTCCAGAAATGTGATGAGTTACGTTCTGCCTATTTACGAGCTCCTCAAATGATATGTCGTGATGAGATTAAAGACGGCAGGGTTTCCCTGCACTGACAATTTTTTTCTCAATTAATTTTTTTGTCGAGCGCGGTTAGCGAGAATGAGCGCAGCGCTCACCGTGCGACCAAGCTCGTAGCGGAAATTTGACGAGCGGTGTTGCCGCTCGTGGTGGAGTGGGGGGTCGCTGGCCGGTGATATGTTTATAGAGTTGTGTGGCTCTGGCAACGCTGCGCTCGAGAATGTACGGACGGCGCAGCGCTTACCACGCGACCAACGACGTCCGGCGAAGACGCGCGACCACAGGAGAGTTAAAAGAGGATTTTCTGTGCCGAAAGTGCGAAGCGTGCGCCGAGATTGAAAATATTTATGTGATACGAGGGATAGTAGTTTGTCAGATTTATTTGAGATTTAATAGTTTGTAAAAGTCGTTTAAGAACTTGTTCGTTTTTCTCTCAGTGAATGGAAGAAACTCCAGATTCGTCTCGTAAAATGTCTATTCCAGATGCAGAAAGTTACCAAGAGCTATGTATGAATGGCCTGCTTACATCGATTTGAAACAAAAAATCGACGATTTCAACGAAATTTGCCCCTTACTGACGTTAATGGCTAACAAAGCAATGAAACCTCATCATTGGGAGCGACTCTCCAAATTGTGCAACCATTTTTTTGACGTTGAGTCTGAAAATTTTACTCTGGCTCATGTGATACAGGCCCCATTGCTTCAATATAAAGAAGATATTGAGGATATTTGCATAAGTGCTGTTAAGGAGAAAGATATTGACAGTAAACTGAAGCAAGTCATTGCCGACTGGGCAATTGTGGATTTGCACTTCGCTAATTTTAAACAACGGGGCGAACTCTTGCTCAAGGGGACAGAGACTGGACAAATTATATCTCAATTGGAGGATAGTTTGATGATCATCAGTTCTCTGTTGGCTAATCGGTGAGGATTATTCAGCATCAAACGGTCTTAAACGCTCTTCTCATGCGAAGAAGATATATTTTATTTGACCTGAATTTTGACCCTGTCAATGGAGATGCCACGTATGAAAAAATCCTGTAGGATTTCCTATAGGAGAACTAATCATTCACATTATTCCAGTTACAATACCCTGTATAAAAAAGAAATTCAATCGTGGCAGGATAAACTTAGCAATACGGCTGAAATATTGGCTAGATGGTTACTGGTACAAAATTTATGGGCTTACCTTGAGGCCGTTTTCATCGGAGGTGACATCGCAAAACAACTTCCAGGTGAAGCAAAGCGGTTCAGCGTGAGTATTTTTTCTTTTGAATTTTGTTAATTCACAATTCAGAGGGAAAATTAGTGGAAACGGTGAATTTAGGTCAATTATTCCACGAAAGTTAATAGAGATGTGCAAAACTCAGGTAAATATACCATTAAATTTTCAATTAATCGACAATTTAGAGGAAAATTTACCATAATTAGATACTAAATATTTAGGGGAGGATGGGGCAAAACGGCCCCCCTTCAATCGTCAATATTTTCCGATTCAATAATCCGATTGGGATGAGTTAGAGCTCGTTTTGAAGAATGAAAAATTATCTTCAAAATGAAGTTAAAACTGGGAATTTTCACAATGTCATTCACAAGTTATTGACAATTAAAGGGGGGCCGTTTTGCCCCACCCTCCCCTATGTTTTGAAGGATCATTCAGGTAAGTTAGGGAATTCTGGTTTTCCTGCTACTAAAAAATTTGGAATTGCATTGAATTTTCTGGGAAATTTGAAATTTCCATCTTTTCCTTCAATTGTGTAATATTAAAGCATATTACAGAGGAATTTTTCAGATTATTGATAAAGCCTGGGTGAAATTGATGCACCGTGCGAGGGACAAAATGAACGCCGTTGATACTTGCACCTCAGATGAAACGATGAGTCAGCTATTGCCGCATCTTTTGGAGCAACTCGAGTCTTGTCAGAAATCTTTGAGCGGATATCTGGAGACGAAACGCGTCGCCTTTCCGAGATTTTACTTCGTCTCCGATCCGAATTTACTTGAAATTCTTGGGCAGGCTGCGGACTGCCATAGTATCCAACATTATTTAGATGAGTTTTTCGATAATGTTGCTAAGGTAGGATCATACAGGTTTTTTTGTTTGCGCGTATGAAAAAGCAACGTTCAACAAATTAATAAACTGAAACTCATCATGTTTTTTAGGTGGACTTTTCGGAAACAGAAAACGATAAGATAATAGCCATCTACTCCCATGAAAATGAAAAAGTTGTGCTTGATAAGGAAGTCGCGTGTGTCGGTGGTGTAGAAATTTGGCTGAATGCACTTCTAAAAATGCATCAGCAGTCTGTTGGCAGTGTCATATCTCAAGGCCTCCAACTATTGGATAGTCCCGAGAACGACGTTTTCGCACTCATAGACGATACAATCCTTCAGGTAGTCCAACAGACATGTTTAACTTGTTTTTCGTTTTTTTAATGATCAAAGAATAACGAAATTCCCTGATGAGGACTTTCCTGGGAGTCGAAACTTTGGGGTATCTTAGACTTTGTGAAATTATTGAACTTGAGGCCCCGGTGTACTGTCTTTCGAACGTTATCTCGATGTTTTTTTTTTCATCTTTGGTCATCTGAAATTGTTAATTGAGTCCTGCATCATGCAGAAGTTTTGAAAAATTATGAATGAATAATAAAAAAAAAGTAGAAGAAATTCTTAATTTTTTCACAGAGCATTTTTAATTTATATTCAGAATAAGTTGTATAACAAGAAATTGAANCATACCACTGTTTTGAAAATTGAGATACCTAGCTGTCACTTCCCATGAGGAGTTAGTGTTTTGTTATCCACCATGGAAAATGACAGCTAATAGATAATTTGCCACAGCGAATCAGATATTTGTAATTTCCACTTTTTTCAACTCATTCTGAATCTCAATTAAAAACGCTCTTTAAAAAAGTTCAGAATTTCTCTATTTTTTTCATCATTCTGTCATAATTTTTGGGAAATTCTACATGATGTAGCACTCAATTGACAATTTTTGATTACGAAAGATGAAAAAAATCCAGATAACATTCGAAAGAGTACACTCGGGCCTTAAACTACCCTAAAATTGCTGAAGACCACTTGGGCCATTTTAAAAAATCAACAATCATGAGGGACATCTTCAACCTTCAAATATTCACAAATTTTATGAGTCGCGGAAAAATAATGAATTCTATTTAAAAAAAAATAATATTAAAAAGTTAATGAGTGAGTTCTATCATCACGATTCCTAGACCGGACTATTGGCGATTCAAACGTTGTGGACTCGCGACTCAGAGGTTGCGATTCTAACAGCGAAGCGTGACAGGACCATAATGAAGAAAACAAACCAGTGGTTCTTGGATTTACTCAATGGTTTAATCGAAATCACTGTGAAAGATCTTACCAAATATTCTCGAGCGAAATACGAAGCGCTCATAACGATTCATGTGCACCAGAGGTATCACCAATCTATCTTCCAGATCTATCTATTTGTTTTTCAGAATGAGAAAAAATCGATCGTTCGTTTATTACGTTATCCCTGGTTCCACTGGAGCTTAAAATATTTTTTTTTCATTCCTCTGTACTCATAGAGATATCTTCGATGACCTCTGCAAATTGAAAATACGAAGTATCGAAGATTTCGAGTGGTTGAAGCAAGCAAGATTCTATTACGATGACGAGACAGAGGCTGTAGTGATCAAGATCACGAATATCGATTTCATATATCAAAATGAGTTTTTGGGATGCACCGATCGTCTTGCTGTTACACCATTGACTGACAGATGCTACATAACTTTAGCCCAGGCAATTGGTCAGTAATTCATTTCGCCCAGCATAATATTTCTAGTCCATCGTAGCTTAAAAAATTTATTTCTCAGCGTCTTTTTCTGCCTTAATGCTTTAAAAAAAATATTCACAAATACAAAATTATTACTCGTAATAAAAAATTTTTATTTACTATTTTTTTCATAATTTATCAACGGAAAAATCGAGAAACTGCGTCAATAATGAATCAGTAGTAATAATTATGATTTTTATCATTATTATAAACGATACTTCTTCTATTCTTGAAAAAAAATCGTGAACAACTATTAATAAAAATTGATATTAACTCCCTTTCAAATGAATAAATAAACATATGACGCTAATAAATGATATGCACTTGAATAGAAAATTATTCGATTATAGGAATGAATTTCGGGGGAGCCCCAGCTGGCCCCGCCGGAACTGGTAAAACTGAGACAACGAAAGATATGGGCAAATGTCTTGGCAAGTATGTCGTGGTGTTCAATTGTTCGGACCAGATGGACTTCCGCGGTTTGGGTCGTATATTCAAGGTACATTCGCGGCATTGATTAAACAGAACTAAACTGATTACACACGGAGAGAAATATTCAGTAAAAATTACGAAACTCACAATTCGCTCACCGATAACGGAATCGACTCAGAAAATTCGACGGTATCGTAATTTTTCACGGGAGATGCAGATAAAAATTACGGAACGCTCAGAAAAAATTCCGTGACACTTCCACAAAGTTTCCTACAACCACATTTCGCTCCGAAATGACGGAAGAGATACATAATTTTTATTGAATATCTCTCTCCGTGCAGTAGACTCTCCGTAGCTTGTTACATTCGGGGCTCGAGACTCCGAGAACGATGCGCTAGAGATTGCCACTTCCATACGCGTAAGGGGCGTGACTTGCGGTTGAGACGACGCGACTATTCAAGCGAGAACGCAATAGCCATCTCGATGTCTCATGAACGGTTGTTCCCCTCCAGCGCAGTCCCGCGGGCGTGACGCCACGCGCGTAGTGGGGGGAACATTCCCCTCGACGCGCTGACGCTGCACTGATAGCAAAAACGGATTTCTGTATAAGATGAAATTTATTATGGTCCCAATTTTGTCCTCGATTAGATGCCGAGAAGGTTTGAATGATTAAGGCAAATTGTATTATGCTTGTGACAAGAATGGATCGTCCTGGAACTTTCGTTGATGAAGTCATTTTCCACAGTCTTGATCGTTGATTGTGACAATCTAAATGATTTATTCGGAGAACTGTCCCTTCTTATGAAAAAAATAAACCGATTTGCCGCAATCTTTGGAGGAAGATTTGTGGCAAGAATTTTTTCTTCTTTAGAAGATGTTTTTCTCTCAGAGTGAGTTAGAGCTAGGGAACCTATTTCCACTGTGGACTTCCATCCGACTAGGGTCTAAGTAACTCATTGGTCGATTCACAATCGTGGGTCACAATAGTAGGACCTACTATTGTCGATAGAAATAGCGTTTGGGATTCTTCGTTCATAAAAAAAATTATCGAACATTATTTAACGTCATGTCTTCACAGAGGATGTAGAATATATGCTGTGGTAATTTTTTCCAGGGCTTGGCCCAGGCTGGTGCATGGGGATGCTTCGATGAGTTCAATCGCATTGATTTGCCTGTATTGTCTGTCGCAGCCCAACAAATAGCGATTGTATTAACTGCTCGAAAGGAGAAGCGATCAACCTTCCTTTTCAGGTAACTGGCGCCAACCTCTCATTATGCCCCTTTTCCCGTCAGATTCGATATTCATCTTTTCAATTAATTGTTTATAATCATTCTCATTGCAAAAAGCAGTACGACCGAGGAGAATCGTATGTCCCAATTTATCAGCTGTTTAATTTTCAGATTACAATAATGATTTGCTCATGTTCTAATTCCTATGCTCACTGAATAAGATTTTAATCATAATTACAATTCAGTTCCTTCTAGAACACACTTTGGAGTGTGAATTTCTGGAATTCAATGTTTGTTGATACTCTGGTGAAAGTGCGTGCCCACACTGTTATCAATTTTTCGTTAGTTCACACGGTAATTCAATTAATCTGTTGTTCATCTCATCAATATCATTCCGTGCTTAGAATATTGTCATCTCGTGTGTTCAGCACCAAATTAAAAATTAAAACTTCATTTGGAGTATTGAGTCACAGTTTCTTTTTATTCATATCAGAAGTTTTGTATTTGGATATTAATATTATTTGTTCAAAGTGAAAAAATCGATCGTCATTTTCCCTCTATTGCAATCAGATTCTCCTATCCTTAATGTCAAAAGTGTGAGATACTCTCATAATTCTAGGTATTAATTCTAATCAACTTTGTTCGAAGAAAACCTTGGTGAAGGCAATATTAAGAAAGTAGAATTATTCTATTTTCCTCTGACCTAAATGATGCGGACAATTATGATTTGTTTATCCATGATTTCACAGAATGGTATTCAAGTCTCTTTTGTTCGTTCGGCGCAACACGATTGCACTCATGAAAACCTTCTTACTTTCTCCATTATTCATTTGAAATATTCTCCATGTTCAAGTTCTTATTTTCGATTCGAAAGGATAGAAACGAAGATATCAATGAGATATTAACACCTCAAAAAAGTCAAAAGTATCTATTTTACCCCAATGATAACCTTCGGGTTCCCTTAGTGATGGACAGACGTATCCAATTGATATGGAATTTGGTTTATTCATCACGATGAATCCGGGATATGCTGGGCGCCAAGAGTTGCCCGAGAATTTGAAAATTCAATTCCGAAGTATTGCCATGATGGTCCCAGACAGACAGGTAAATTCTAAGGAAAAGGCATTCTAATTATCTCAACTTCTTATTTGAATCTTGGAAATTATACTGAAGCTAAATGATTCAGATCATCATGAGAGTCAAACTGGCGGCATGCGGATTCAAGGAAAATATACTGTTGGCGAGAAAATTTTTCACATTGTACAAATTATGCGAAGAACAATTGAGCAAACAAGTGCATTACGATTTCGGCTTGAGGAATATTCTTTCCTGTTTGCGAACTCTCGGGGCTCAGAAGAGAGCACATCCCGAAGAATCTGAGGAAACGACGCTTATGAGAGTTCTTCGGTACGATATATTCCAAAGATAACAGCATTGAGAGAAAAAATTTATTTTGCCGAAAAATTATATGTCGTGGTGAATCAATTCACTTGTGGGAAAAGAAGAAAGTTTCCACCAAAACATGATAATTTTCGTAGTAGTAATTGTTCTCGTGAGACATTTATATGTCTTTCGGGCTAATACATTCGTTCTACAGAGAATTATATGATGCTCACTAAATATTCTCACTAGCTTTTCCTCTCAGTGAGCGCTACAGATTTCTCCCCTGATTATTTATTTAGCAGATATATCGAGGGGCTATTCACAGGCGTAATCGTGGTGTCAGTCGCTGATGTAATCAATTGTAATCCCAGTGAAATCAATGTAACAATTGTAATCACATGATTACCATATTTGTAATCAATTTGGTAGTCAAGGGGTAATCATTTGTAATCAGTGTAATCTTTCGTAGTTGCTCCTAGTGAGACCGTGAAGTTTGTTTTTGAATTTTCGAGCGCGTCATTCCTACCAACGGTAAGTCTCAGAGATCCCTGGATCAATTTTTCTGGGAATCCCAGATGTTTATGGTTCAGAACCTTGCATAGCCAATGCGTTTCGCACAGAGCATTTGTCCGTAGAAAATTGATTCAACAGAGTTAAAATTTCTTCTTATTCTGAAGAACCAACGACTGAATTATCTCTGAATTATCTGCTGGTAAGTTTCATTCTCCATCAATGGTAAATATTCAGTAAATTTATTTTGCTGATAGCACTTATAAATCCCCAAATTTCTAGATGGAGTGATGGAGAATGCATTCCTCTGTTCTAATCTCCGCCCCTTCTTCCTCATTTCTTTGCAGGTTCTAATAATTAATTATTCCATCAATGCATATTTAATAAGAGGCCAATTTTGTGATTTCAATGATTACAGATGTTTGGTAATCACAGAATGTAATCGACGAAATCATTTGTAATCATGTAATCACATTCTTTGCTCTTGGTAATCACGGTTATCACATAGGCAGTGGTAATCAGTGTAATCAGTCCCGTAATCCTGGGTAATCGATTACATTTTGTAATCGCGGTGTCACCCAATTCGCCTGTGAATAGCCCCTCGAGATATATTTCAGTTTATTTACTGATGTTCCATTCATAATCATCCTTATTCTATGAATCGTTCTCTTCCTCTCAAGCGACATGAACTTATCGAAACTAGTTGATGAAGATGAACCCCTGTTCCTGTCCCTTATCGAGGATATGTTCCCTGGAATGAAGCTGTCAAGCCAAATGTCGAAAGATTTGCAGAGAGGAATATCAAATGCGGTGGAAGCACTAGGAATCATTAATCATCCAGAATGGAATTTGAAGGTTGTTCAGTTGTACGAGACATCCCTCGTTCGCCATGGCTTGATGGTTCTGGGACCGACTGGCTCAGGCAAAACTTGTTGCATGTGGTCTCTGCTGAAGGCGATGACGGAAATGGGGATGCCACACAAGGAAGTTCGCATGAATCCGAAAGCAATAACAGCACCTCAAATGTTTGGGAGGCTGGATGTTGCGACCAATGATTGGACGGACGGAATTTTTTCGACACTTTGGCGGAGATCCACACAAATGAAAAAGGGAAACCATTTGTGGATTGTTCTTGATGGCCCAGTGGATGCTGTGTGGATTGAAAATCTTAACTCCGTGCTTGATGATAATAAAACGTTGACGCTGGCTAACGGCGATCGAATTGTCATGTCACCTAGCAGCAAATTGGTTTTTGAGCCTGATAATGTTGATAATGCATCGCCAGCCACTGTGTCTCGCATGGGTATGGTGTTTGTTAGTGCTTCAGTCCTCAAGTGGCCGCAGATATTGGAGGTAAGTGTATGCTTCAAGTAATGTAACTTACCCAAAAAAACAAGAGGTCTTTTGTAAAGAAAAACTCGCCAACAACGGCTGCGACCGTTAGTCTGTTTACAAAATTTGTGAACTCGGGCAAAAGCTGTAGCGCCAGCTGGAGAGATAATGAAAATTATGAAAATGATATTCAAAATTTGAGATGATAAACATTTCAACTCAACCTACTTGGCTCACGATTAAAGCTACACAAAATCTCGCCGACTCCCACCACCTCACGAGGTCGCGAGATGGAAATCAATGGTACCAACGTTCCCACTAAAATCTGCCTCGAAAATTTTACTATGAGAACAATGAAAAAAAAAAACGCACAATGAAATTCTTTAGATCGGCATATTTCATTCATTTTAGCATGAAAAAATGTAATAAAAATTGCAATGGATGGCTTATCGCAACATTATATAGTAAAAGTATAATTCAAAATGTCCCGCGGTTTGAATTTTTTTTTTTAATTATTAACTCATCCCGATAAAATCATGAGTTTCAATTCACTTCAAGCGCTTCAAAGTTGGTATTTCCAGGGCTGGTTGAAGACTCGATTGGATCACGAAAAAACTTTTTTTCGAAGTTTATTTCATAAAATTTATGGGGAAGCTTATGAATACCTGCGGACCAAGCTTGAGGTAAAGATGGTGTTACCGGAGGTTGTTTACATTCGACAGTGCAGAGATCTGCTAGTCGGGTTACTTCAGCATGATGAGTCAAGTGAGTTCGCGCATGAAGAATCTCGAGTTTTGTGCTTATATCGGAAAAAGACACAACGCTGAAAAAAAAAACGTTCTAATATGCGAGCGTCCCCACTCGAGCGCCCTAAACGGAAAGAAAAATCTCTCAAAAATTAGTGTACCTTCTCACCAACGCATGGGACGTACCAAAGGGGGCGGAAAAGTAAAAATACAGCCGCCTGCCATTTTTTTTCAGCAATGTCTTTATTCAAAGAAAAAATATTCAGTATTTACATATATACACATCTTAAAAAAAGTATTGTTTATAGTATATAAACTTTAGGCCCACTATTGACTTTCGCGTTCATTTTATACTCATTTCGTTCCAGATACATTTACAGATAGACATTTGGAAAGATTTTTCTTATTTTCGATGATGTGGAGCCTTGGAGCCGTTCTCGAGCTTGATGGCCGAGCTAGTTTACAGGATTTCCTTATCAACCATCCCTCGAAGTGTGACTGGCCCATACTACGAGTAATTGTGATACTAAATTTATCTATATTATGCGACTCGACTATCCGATACAATTTTTTCAATCGCGTCGTCTCCGTTGCGCAACATTCATTTAAAAAGTCAACATTTCTAAATGATTTGAATCTCTTTCCTTCCTCAGGAAGATGATACAATCTTTGAATATCTTATCGCAGACAATGGGAATTGGATTCACTGGAGTAAAATGGTTCCCATATTCAATTATCCTTCTGAATATGTTCTGGATTACCATAAAATTCTAGTGCCCAATATCGATAATACCAGAACCATGTTCCTGATAGACCTGATTGCACAGCAAGAGAAGGCAGTACTTTTAATTGGTATCTGTCCACTTATAGTCAAATACTTGTTTCATGAGTGGTTGGGGTATTAATTCACGTGAAATGATTTTATTTCTCACCAGGGGAACAAGGAACTGCAAAAACCGTGATGCTGAAGTCTTTCATGTCGCATTACAATTCTGAAATACACTTGAAGAAATCCTTCAATTTTTCATCTGCGTCAACACCAAATATGGTTCAAGTAAGTCATGCGGCGACAAATTCATTCCGCAATCGACCGTCGCTCATTTTGCTCTCATTTCGTCCCCACCTTATTGGAAAATCAGCGCCGGTCGCTCGCTTCGCTCCCTCCCGGGTGACTGGTAGAGATGGATTGGAGGGGGTATGACCCGATAGAGGTCAAAACAACGGAAATGCCACACCTTATTCCGACTTTGAATTCAGCATGACTATTCAGAGCAAAAATTATCTGAATTTTCAATTAATTTTGTCTTGATTTCCTTTACGATGTATGATTTCTTTTATTCAGAAGAAAGTATGCACCTCAAGAGGAATGTCTTGAGAATTCGAAACGTAGTGCAATTGAATTAGCTAAATTTTCGCGGATTTTTATTGCTGCTGACTTGAACTTGGCCCAAAGGAATTTCATCAATTCAATTGCATGTTTTCTGCAGAGAGTCATCGAGAGTTACGTGGATAAACGGGTAGGCACAACGTACGGTCCTCCTGGTGGTAGAAAGATGACTGTCTTCATCGATGATATTAACATGCCAGAAATCAATGAATGGGGAGACCAGATAACCAACGAATTAATTAGACAGTTGATGGAATGCAAAGGGTTCTATTCATTAGACAAACCTGGCGATTTCAATACAATTCAAGATATGCAGTTCTTGGCAGCGATGATTCATCCGGGTGGAGGAAGAAATGACATTCCGCCTCGTTTGAAACGTCAATTCAATATTTTCAACTGCACTCTACCATCTGCTAAATCCATGGATACTATATTCGGTGACTTTAATGATGTCTTATGAGTCATACCGATAGAAAAGTTCATTTATAGCTAACAAATCGATTCATTTTGGTATTTTCATACATTTCTTTCATTGGTACCACTTCATCAAATATTCTCTAAATGAATGGTTCTATCAATGCATATATTCCTCATAGATATCTTACTAACGATTGTCATTTACGCGGGGGAGTCTAGTGTCTCAAAATAAGACCCAAAGACGACAATTCGACAATTCAAGTGTCTCAAAATAAGACCCATAGACACTTTCGTCTCGCTTCGTGAGATCTTTCTAACAAACGTCTTAAGAAGGGGAAAAAAATTATCTTAATTTAAGACATCGTTCATTCCTGTGTAGGATCAATCGGTGAAGGATATTTCTGCGAAAGTCGTTTCTCCCCGGAAATCGTGGATTTCCTACCGAAACTCGTTCCCTTGACGAGGACTATATGGCAGCAAACTAAGGCCAAGTTGCTGCCCACCCCCTCCAAGTTCCATTATGTGTTCAATTTACGTGATTTGTCTCGCATATGGGAGGGAATATTGAGGATTGAAAGTGCTGAGTGTACCTCACGAAATATTCTCTTGAAGCTCTGGGATCACGAATGTACTCGGGTCATTGCTGACAGGTAAACGATTTACGGTCGCAACGTAGATGTGAGAGCCACCAAGTGGTTTGTAAAATAACTATTCTTGGGGAAGAACCAATGGTATCCCTAGGAGGGAGCCAATGATGGGGCTCGACCAATGAGATCACTGAGTTTCCTTTGATCTCATTGGTTGCCACCCAGGAGTAGTTGGTTTAAAGACCACTTGATGGCTCCACGTGTACGTTGCGATCGCGATCTAATTCCATGATTTCAGTGACTACGTTATTCAATCGTTAAAAATTCTTTTAGATTCACAATTGCGACCGATAAAGAATGGTTCAAAAATACACTTAAGAGTACGACGAAAATCCTTCTCGCGGAGGATAGTAAATACTATGATGGAACCGAGACGTACTTCGCTAATTTTTTGCGTGAAGCTCCGGAACCGACGGGGTTAGAGCCTGAAGATTTTGTCATAGAGGAACCCAAAATTTATGAACCAATTCACGGGTTAGGACATATTTTCGTCACAAGACCGTCAAAATTTTTTCGGACGACTGTGACGCGAGTCAGAAAAGTCTTTTCAGTCTTGCAATTATATTGTTTCCAGATATGAATTTGTCGTTTCAAAAGTATACGAAAAGATGGAACAGTTCAACGAATGCATTCGTGGTATCAAGCTCGATCTGGTGTTCTTCCACGACGCATTAGTCCATCTCCTGAGAATATCAAGAATACTTGGCATGCCCCGCGGTAATGCTCTACTTGTAGGCGTAGGAGGTTCTGGAAAGCAAAGCTTGACACGACTAGCATCATTTATCGCTGGATATGACTTCTTCCAAATCGTGCTATCAAGGTATGATATACTGAGAGAAGAAACCATCTAATATTGCAAAACTAATCTCTCCAGACAAATATATCATCTCTTGAAGACGAATGTCTTGGGACAAAAATTCCGTAGAGCACGGGGAAATAACTTCAGGAAAAATTACCCGACAAAATGTAAAAGTGATGCTCACAAACTATTTTCTGACGACTATAAGTTCATAATTGGAGCCGACGGTGAAGAAATATTTTGTGAGCCGTGTGATGTAAACTATATTATGTTAAGGGCCCGAAAACCGCGATGTAGTCGAACAAGTTGAAGTTAGAATCGTGGTTTATCAGGCCTAGTAGCATGACTAAATTTTGCCTCTTGAGTTTCGGAAATCTTATGGACCGCAATACAATTTTGAAATATTTTTTTACGGCCTTCGAGTCCCCCTCGGCACTCTATTTTCTCTCTTGCACCGCATTCGCAATCCTATAGAACATAGGACTAGCATAGGAATCCACAGGAAACCCATGCCGGTATAGGCGGTTACTCAATTAGCAACCTCCCGCTCGCAAATGCAGCCATTATCCTTCGCTCAAGACTAGTTCTCAATTTCTTTTCAACTTCCTCAGGACCTACAATGTTAGTAGCTTATTAGAAGACTTGAAGAAGTTGTATTCCAAAGCTGTCACTGGCAAATCCGGTATAACCTTCATATTCAGCGATAACGAAATCAAAGAAGAGTCATTTCTGGAGTACTTGAATAATGTCCTGAGTGTTGGAGAGATAGCGAACCTCTTCCCTAAAGGAGAGCTCGATGAAATATTACTGAGTTTGATATCATCTATGAGAACCAATGATCCAAAGACGCCACCAACACAAGATAATCTGTACGATTACTTCATTTCGCAAGCGCGAAACAATTTGCATGTTGCGTTATGCTTTTCACCGGTTGGTGGAAAGTTTCGTTCCAGAGCATTGAAGTTCCCCGGCTTGATCTCCGGTTGTACCATAAATTGGTTCAGCAAATGGCCAATGGATGCCCTGTGCGCAGTGAGCAAACATTTCTTGGGAAACTATCAATTGGTCACCACTCAGGAAATAAAAAATGGACTTATTGAAGTGATGGCTGACATTCACGATGATGTCAGGAATGTCTGCGTGGAATATTATGATCGCTTCCGACGACAGACATACGTAACAGCGAAGTCTTTCCTCTCCTTTCTCGACGGCTACAAAGCTATCTACAGACAACGATTGGATAACATCAATATGCTTTCCTCACGGATGACCAATGGTCTCCACAAACTCATTGATGCTGCAGAGCAAGTAGATGGTTTACGTAAAGTACTGGAGCGCAATCAAGAGGACATTGCGGTTAAAAACGTCCAAGTGGAAGCTGTAAATATTTGTTATAGTATTTGTATAATTGAGAGTTGGTCGTATTGATTCTAACGGATCTGGTATTTCTGTCCAAATTACTGTTCATCGAACGTCAGTTCGTCCAATGATGTTTTTAGTCGTAATTTTGTCGTCTATTTTTCATGTCTTATTATTCATAAATAAATTACTAATTTAAATAATTTAAATAAATAAATTGGTAATTTATTCAGGAACACGATTACAGTGAACCTTGCGTATGTGCTCCCCTCCGGGGATTAGAATGTTCCGAAGAAACACTTATGCTAGCGCCCCACTCTTGACAGTGAAAGAGCGCCGTAGTTGGAAAGAGAGACATGTAAGACAGTTGGTGGGGGAAGAGCCACAAAGTTTACGCGCGCGAAGTAGCTAAATTCGAATACGAGATATTTTCAAAGGGAATGATCAATGATAAATGACAGTGAAGAATTGTGGTTTTACAATAAAATTGTCAGAAATTCAAGGACTCCCTGATTTTTGGGATTTTCTTTGCATTTCATTTCCACGGGGACAGAACATGCTCAACAGCTGGGTAACCAGAAAATCACTGCGCATATGTCACGCGCATTGGACCGAGAATGAGAAGGGTTCGAGGGAGGGAACACATATGTAGGGGGAATGGACTGGTGGGGGGAACGATTCTCCTCACGCGGTGAGGTAGAGAGCATTTACGCAGGTGGACGCTTATAGGGGGTTCACTGTACAACTGACAATGAACGAACTTGTTCGAAAAGACGAGGGGGTATTTAGACCAAGTGATTGTTAGACGAAAAGTATTTTTGGACGACAAGTAATTGGACGAATGGTTTTTGGGCCAAATGACCCGCTCTAACTCTACTTACGATGCGCAGATTCTCGAAAGGGTTGATGAAAAGAAGAGAGAAGCAGAAGCTGTGAAGGCTGAAGTGCAAAAGTCTAAGGACGAAGCTGAGACCTTGTTGAAATTCATATCCAAGGACAAAGCGAATGCAGAAGAGCAACTGAAGGTGGCTGAGCCTGCTCTTCTGGCTGCGGAAGCTGCTCTTCAAGTTTGTTCCCCTCCAACTCTTTGTTAACGTGATCGTTCATAGATCATGAATTAATTGCGGGGTTAATTTACAGACAATAAAAGCTGCGGATATTTCCACAATCCGCAAACTCGGAAAGCCTCCCTATCTCATCACTCTCATCATGGACTGTGTACTGATTCTTTTCGGGCGAAAATTGAATTCGGTGAAACCAGATTATGATCGACAGTTCCTAATGCCATCGTGGTCGGAGTCTTTGAAGTTCATGGCGGATACTAGATTTTTGTATCATCTTCAGAATTTTCCTAAAGACAATATTAACGCTGAAACAGTCGATCTCATGCGACCCTATGCGCAGTATGAGCTGTACAACTATGAAGCTGCGAAGCAAGCATGCGGTAATGTAGCTGGATTGCTGCAATGGACCCTTTCGATGGCAGCATTTTACGAAATCAATAAGGATGTCTTGCCACTGAAGGTTTTTATCATAATTTGCGTCTTTTAGTGAAATCGTAAAATAAGGATGGATCCAAGTGACCAACCACCATATTATATGCAATTTTTTATTTTATTGTTCATCTCCATGATTATTAATAATGATGTTGAGTCGTGGAATATTGGAAAGCAGTATATAATACTAATTGTCAAATCACGATGTTTCGATAAAATAAACATCAATGGTGTTAAGGATTGATGATAATTTGCCAGGTTTTGGATGGATCGGGAGTAGGAAGTGAGTGGATGATTGAGCCAGGATGTGAAATAAACGAGCCGAATAAAAGCCGCAAGGCAAATCTATATAATGTCACTAATTAAAGATATTTACATTATTTACACCATAAATATTACTTGATATCATTGTCCACAAATGACACTGATTACTTTCCACTGATAACTCATTATTTGACCCGATAATTGAAGACGAAATAATCGTGATAATAACGATTGATGAATGATACATTTTATAGTGATGACCGTGCATACCGAGATGTATGCCCTATACGTGATGAATTGATACCGATACGTGTCTTCCAAAGACCGATGGGAACTCTATGCCTGATGAATTCGTTCTCCCTCGAGGGGTCGACCCCAAAGGCCTCTCGAACTCTAAACCCGACCTCGCCCAATTATTCCTGACTGGCCCATACCGCGACCAGTCTCATTTTTAAACAAATGGAAAGGGTTTTTTTTCGAAAGAGTATTAATAGGACCAGATGCTAGTGTTGTCGAGAGACTGAGGAAGATTTAATAAAAATCGAAACGTCGCGATTGGACAATTAATTAGTATTATATACTGATTTCCAATATCCCATGACTCAAAATCATTATATGCAATCTCTTGGAGAAGTTTAGATTCATTAACAGCAGCCCAGGAGCATTGTGGTCACGAATTTTTAGTTTTATAGTTGTTTTCATCATGTAAAAACAGGGCTGTTTTCTTTAGGCTAACTTGGCTGTTCAACAAAGTAAATACGATAAAGCGAATCACAATTTGAGAGAGGCTGAAGAAATTTTGAAGCAAAAAGACGAGGACTTGCGAGTCGTTCAAAGTGAATATGACGGTGTTATGGCGGAACGCCAGGTAAATTGGTCAGGCTTATGAGGTTCTACAACTGCATTAAATGATGCACGCAATTTCAGGAAATAGTTGATCTTGCCGATGCATGCCAAGCTAAAATGGATACTGCGAGTGCTCTGATCGGTGGTCTGTCTGGTGAACGCATTAGATGGACCAATCAACTGACCATATTCAGATCTGAAATCGAGCGTCTCGTTGGTGACGCCGTCATTTTAACGGCATTTCTATTTTACTGTGGGCCGTTCAACCAAGAATTTCGCTCGCTCCTTCAAAAACACTGGTTTGATTTCATTCAGGGGAGGAAAATACCTTTTTCGGTTGATGTTAATATCCCCGATGCGTTATCGGACGTAGCGACGGTATGTGATTAGGTGTTTTCATCTTCATATTTAGTAGGCAGTGACTATTTATACAATTCCCTTGTTTAACTAGGTTTTTATTAATGAACAGTCCGAGGAACAGTCATTATTTACAGTATTTACGTAACTTAAAAACTAGTCTCAAAAACTTTTTATCTTAAGTTTTTTTTCTTCAATTCGGCGAACCATAGCCATGTAGTGATTTTAGCTGATTGCATTGATATTGTAATGAAATATTAATAATGGAAATTATTTTCCTGCCGATCTCTGGCAGACACTTAATTTCGAAATAAAAATCGTTTCCCGTCGAGTTAATGAATTCACTCACATTGAATTTAGATTAGCGAATGGAATCTCCAAGGTCTCCCCAACGACGAATTGTCTACCCAGAATGCTATCATAGTGACAAAAGCTGCACGATATCCACTTTTGATAGACCCTCAACTGCAGGGAAAAGCGTGGATAAAAAATAAAGAAAGTCAATTCGGGTTGCAGGTATAAAAGGCGATTCTGTGAACCTCTTCGTTTCCTCATAATTCTATTACTCATAGATTACCAACCTGAGCCACAAGTATTTCCGGAATCACTTGGAGGATTCTGTCTCCATTGGAAATCCTCTGTTGATTGAAGATGTGATGGAGGAGCTGGACCCAATTCTGGATAATTTATTGGACAAAAATTTTTTGAAAATTGGTACATCACTAAAAGTGCTACTAGGTGACAAGGAAGTAGATGTGAATAAAGACTTCCGGCTGTACATCACAACGAAATTTCCCAATCCGTCTTATACACCGGAGATATTTGCTAGATCTTCAATCATAGATTTCTCTGTGACCATGAAGGGTAATCTCCTACACACGAAGATCTAAAAAAAATTAAAATACATGTATCTTCCACAAGAATATACACGCTCACAAAAAATGCTTATTTTGAGATTTGAAAGATCTTAAATTGAGACTTGCAAATCTTAGATTTAGCCTTCTCCAAGTTTTAACTTGAGCCTTTAATTCTCAACTTGACATTCAAAAGTCTCCACTTAAGACTTTCAGAGCATTAAAGTTGTGATTTTCAAGTGTAAAATTGAGTTTTTCACGTCTTAAATTGAGACATTCGAAAGTCTCAACTTGAGATATTTGACAGTCTTAACTTGACACTTTCAAAAATCTCAAGTAATAAAATTGCTGAACTCAATTCAAAATTCTGGAAAGTCCCAATTCGAGATCATCAGTTTCAAATTGGAATTTGTTTTTTTTTGTGCAATTCGTTCTTAATTGGTCATAATTTACAATTGGGAATGCCATAAGGTCTTGAAGATCAGCTCCTCAGCCGAGTGATATTAGCCGAAAAGCGAGAATTAGAAACTGGGAGAACGAAATTAGTAACCGATATCACGGTGAACAAAAGGAAAATTCAAGAATTAGAGGCGAATTTGCTGCATAAATTAACAACCGTTCAGGTAAGAGACAACGAAAGAGTCTTCATTCCAAAAATCATCAGTTATACAGCTGCGATTATCCGGTTCCTCATAGGGATCTCTTCTCGACGATGTAGAGCTCATGGCAGTCCTCACTACAACCCAGAAAACAGCTGCTGAAGTAACTCTGAAGCTGAATCAAGCACGAGATACCGAAATCAAAGTGAACATTGCAAGAGAAGAATTTCGAAGCGTCGCAACACGCGGGAGTGTTCTATACTTCTTGATTTGTGATATGTCCAAAGTGAATTGTATGTATCAAACGTCACTGGTGCAGTTCCTGGAGCGTTTCGATTTGTCCTTGATAAGGTAGTTCATTGAAATTACGTACCATAAAATGTAATAGAAAACCCGAGGGGCTATTCACAGGCGTAATCGTGGTGTCACTCGCTGATGTAATCAATTGTAATCCCAGTGAAATCAATGTAATCATTGTAATCACATGATTACCATATTTGTAATCAAGTTTTGGTAATCAAGTGGTAATCATTTGTAATCACTGTAATCATTTGTAATCAGTGTAATCTTTCGTAGTTGCTCCTAGTGAGACCGTGAATTTTGTTTTTGAATTTTCGAGCGCGTCATTTCTACCAACGGTAAGTCTCAGAGATCCCTGGATCAATTTTTCTGGGAATCCCAGATGTTTATGGTTCAGAACCTTGCATAGCCAATGCGTTTTGCACAGAGCATTAGTCCGTAGAAAATTGATTCAACCGAGTTAAAATTTCTTCTTATTCTGAAGAACCAACGACGGAATTATCTCTGAATTATCTGCTGGTAAGTTTCATTCTCCATCAATGGTAGATATTCAGTAAATTTATTTTGCTGATAGCACTTATAAATGCCCAAATTATTAGATGGAGTGATGGAGACTGCATTCCTCTGTTCTAATCACCGCCCCTCCTTCCTCATTTCTTTGCAGGTTCTAATAATTAATTATTCCATCAATTCATATTTAATAAGAGGCCATTTTTTGTGATTTCAATGTTTACAGACGTTTGGTAATCACAGAATGTAATAGACGAGAGCATTTCAGTAGCGAAGCGGTAAACCGGGTTAAGTCGATTTTGACTTTTGGGCATTTTTTGACAAATATCTCGGAATCTAAGAGAGATAGCAAAATTTTGTTCATTACCTTTTTTATAACCCTCAGTTGGCTCTACAAAAAAGGTCATGACAAAATTTTTTCTATCTCTTTTAGATTCCCAGATATTCGTCAAAAACTGGCCAATAGTCAAAATCGACTTAACTCGGTTTACCGCTTCGCTACTGATTTGTAATCATGTAATTCTGTGCTCTTGGTAATCACGGTTATCACATAGGCAATGGTAATCAGTGTAATCAGTCCCGTAATCCTAGGTAATCGATTACATTTTGTAATCCCGGTGTCACCCAATTCGCCTGTGAATAGCCCCTCGAGAATTACCGAAAAGATACGTAATTTTTATTGAATATTTCTCTTCGTGTATCGAATTCGCAAAGTTTTTCTATGATTCTCGCGCGTGCTCCTTCCATCAGATAACGAAGTTATTCGTTTTCACTTACCGTAGATCTGAAAAGAGTCCGGTGATTGCTAGAAGAATAAATGCGATCATCGAAGAATTGACTCTCGAAATATACAGATATACAGCTCGAGGCCTGTATGAGAATCATAAATTCATGTTCCTTCTACTGATGACATTGAAAATAGATCTGCAGCGTCGATCAATCAGTCACGAAGAATTCGACTATTTCATCAAGGGTGGTGCAGGTCTAGATCTCAGTGTTGTCAGACCGAAACAGTGTAAATGGATAACAGATAAAACTTGGCTGAATTTGGCGGCTCTCGCGTCTCTCCGCCAATTCCAGTATATTCTGTCGTTGATCGAAGCATCTGAAAAAGTGTGGAAGAATTGGTACGATAAGGAAGCACCTGAGGAAGAAATTATACCCGACGGCTTCAATAATTTGGATTCATTTCGACGTCTACTATTCATAAGGTAAGAAATTATGAATTTATTCGTATTGAGATAGTATTCAAAATCTATTCTGAATACTATCATATTTTTAAAAACATTTTTGAAAATGATTAAACGATTTAAAAATGATTGAGTTTAGTTGAAGATTTCACATTAGCTTGTTAACTAAAAAATTCCATTTCAATATTATCAAATATTTTATTCACCATCAATCGGAAAATTCAGTTAATAAATTTTATAATATTTAAAATTTGTTAAATATAGTTGAAGTCTGAAGAATATAAGGAGATAATCCCTTTTTAATATTGTCAACGTCTAATATTATTGCCCATCCGACGATAACTTTATCCATTTTCCACTTGAAATTTTGAAGAGTAATTTTCTAATGGCGCACTCATCGCTATATTACAGAGCATGGTGCATGGACAGAACTTTATCGCAGGCCCGCAAATATATAATTGACTCTCTTGGACCCAACTATGCCGACCCAGTCATAACAATTCTAGATACTATGTACACAGAATCACGGTCGACTACGCCTATGATTTGTTTCTTAAGTATGGGAACTGATCCAACACCGAGTATTGTACAACTAGCGAAAAAAATGGAAATACCCTGCAAATCAATCTCAATGGGACAGAGCCAGGAAGTTCATGCCCGAAAATTGATGGGCACAGCTGAGAATGAAGTAAAGTCGCAAGTTTGGTGCACGGAGAGAAATTTTTGATAAAAATTACCCTATCGTTCTGTAAAAGACTATCATATGGGTCATCGTTTCTTCATTTCTATCCCGAAATTTAGTAAAAATTAATATATGACGATCAAATTTTATTCTACGTAAGAGAAATTTTATCCTGACGCATAATAAATTTTACCCTTCCAGCCCAGTAATTTTTACGAAAATAACGAAAATTCTAGAGCGAGTGTGAGAATTCTCCGTACTGAAACGTCCCGGAACCCCCCACTTTTCCGTGGAGGACGTGAAAAGTCCCTCACTGCGCATTCCTGTCGCGCAAAGGGACACACGCACTGACCACTACATGTTAACGGACTCAATAGTGGGGGAAGGCAATTCTCCTACTGAAGTCATAGGGAGTACGAATGATAGGGAGACTCGCCAAAATTCTCCGCCCCATATTTCCCTGGTCGAAATTCCCCCCGTCATTTTTCTTGCCGACATAATTCCTTCATGTTAATATTTCTTGCGCCAATTCTCCTAACCCAATAATTCCTGCCGATAAAATTCCCCGTACGGCGTATTTATGCGTGAAAATCTTTATGCAAATTTTAATAACAGGCAACATTTTATGTTAATTTTATGTTAATGAATTTAACATTTTATGTTAATGAATTTTATGAAATTGATGAAATTGATCCTTTGTTCAAGGTAGTTCTGTTGCGGGGGGATTTTCTCGCGGGGAATTTTGACCAGGGAATTTTGGTATGTAACCATACCTTTTACTATACCGACACAGTAATTTTTATTTTTATCAGGATAAAATTTCTCTAACGTAGAATAAAATTCGATCATCATATATTAATTTTTCCTAAATTTCGGGATAGAAATGAAAAAACGATGACTCATGATACACTTTTATAGAACGGTAGGGTAATTTTTATCAAAAATTTCTCTCCGTGTGGATAATATTCAACCACTTAATCCATTCATATGTATCTTCAAGGGTTTTTGGGTATTGTGCCAGAATTGTCATCTTAGCATTGATTACATGAATGAGTTGGTGAGTTTCATTCAGGAAAATCAACCGTCGCATCCCAATTTTCGTATTTGGATGACCACTGAGTCACATCTACTGTTTCCCATCTCCCTTCTGCAAATGTCGATCAAATTCACGTATGAACCGCCACAAGGTGAGAAACATTGTCATATAGAAAACGGCATATCAAGTTACGTGAAAACTCACGGAATTGTGTGGCGGTAATTTTTTTTAGGGAATTTCTACGGAAATTAGGGAAAATTTGGGAAGAAAAAAGGCACAAAAAATTCTTTTTTGATAATTTTCAAAAAACTATTTTCTCATCACAAGTAAGACTTGTTTGAGAACTTTGTCGTTTTTCTCTCACTGTACTGCTAAAGAGTAACATTTTGAATCTCGAAACAAGGTTTTCTGTGAAATTCCTTCATACGGGGAACAGCACTAGAATTTTTCACTACTAGCACTAGAATTTTTTTGAAGAATTTCTCCCGTGTACTCACCAATCATGTACACAGGCGTTCGTGCCGGTTTACTCGCTACATACAGCAACATGAATCAAGAAATGCTGGATCAGTGTGATGCGCGACAATACATTCCCCTAGTCTACGCGATTTCATTTTTGCACACTGTTGTACAAGAGCGACGGAAATTTGGCGCGCTGGGTTGGAACATCCCCTATGAATTCAATTCAACGGATTGGCTTGCAACCTGCATGTTCATAAATAATCACTTGAACTACTCTGATCTGAAGCGAGGGCTCAGTTGGCAAACCATACGGTACGGAGACAGAAATCCGAGTGACTCAGTCGACAGGACTCACATTCATCTTCTCCTTCCAGATATATGATTGGGGAAGTCCAGTATGGTGGCAGAGTAACGGACGACTACGATAAGCGTCTACTGAATACTTTCACCAAAGTGTGGTTCGCCGATACACTTTTCAATGAAGATTTCGTTTTTTACAAGGGGTACACCGTCCTCAGTTTCAAGAATGTCGCTGAATATTTGTCCGCCATAGATTCTATGCCTTCCGTTGATCCCCCGCAAATTTACGGACTTCATCGAAATGCTGATATCACGTTAGTTATTGTTGCTGATAAGTTGCCAATTTGCTTCCGAATGAATTCTCTTTTTTTTATTATTTCACTATTCTCTTCTATTCTTGTTTGATTCGAATTTGAAAGCCTCGTTTGGAATATTTGAACACAGCTCTTCTGTTTTTCTTCAAAAATCACTCGACAAGGTTTATGACGTGTTGGGGAAAGTCCCCAGAAAAGGACTAATTTATGATCCGTTGTGCTCCGAACTCGAGAGCGTTGCAATCCTTACCACATGTAGAAATTCAAAGGAAACTCTGTCCTCTGGAGTCATAAACTTTGTCTTGCTTTTCCCTCAGTAAAGGTTTTTCAAATAGTTAGAATTTAGTCTCTGGACAACGGTCCTCTAGTACAGTCGTGCCTTCCTCGTGCCAATAATAAAGAGTTCAAGTTAAAAGTATTCATTGCGTTACTACACCTATTTATCCACTTTTACCCATATCCCAATAGTCTCAAACCTAAACAATTTCTCTACTTTCGAGAACGAAATATTTGGCTCAAGAGGCGTACGATTCACGCGAGTATCTAACATCAGAGTACATATACACATTTCATTTGGCAACCCCAAACATTCGATTGCAGATATCAGAGCCGAATCATTCAGGATGTCCTGGATACCGTAATTTCAATCCAGCCGAAAGGATCAACCGGCACCGTTGGTGAAACTCGAGAGGGAAATGTCTTGAGACAAGCGAAAGAAATGCTGGACAAACTACCACTGCCTTTCGATCCCTTTTACATAAAAGCTAGGCTTCAGACAATGGGTATCACTGAATCGATGACTATATTCCTGAAGCAGGAAATGGATCGGATGCAAATTCTGTTGAAAATAGTGCGGCTGACGCTGCAGAATTTACTTCTCGCAATAGAAGGTGTTATAATTATGAATGAGGTAAAATTTTTGGTGTGGAGCTTGAAAGAATCCATCTTCGAAATCAAATCGTGATAACACGTACAAAAAAGTTTCGGTAAAAAACATTGCAAATTCGGGAGAAAATTGTATTGGATTTCTGTTGTACTTTTTATTCGTTTTCGACCGATTCTATTTGAAAAAATCAATAGAATTCGATTTTCTGTAGAAGTTTCTCGAATTAAATTTTGTAATTTTATTTGATTGCTTTTGCAAATCAGTAGCGAAGCGGTAAACCGGTTTAAGTCGATTTTGACTGTTGTCCAGTTTTCGACGAATATTTCGGAATCTAACAGAGATAGAAAAATGTTTATCATGACCTTTTTTGTAGAGCCAATTAAGGGTTATAAAAAAGGTCATGAGGAAAATTTTCCGATCTTTCTTAGATTCCAAGATATCCATCAAATACTGACCAAAAGTCAAAATTGACTTAACCCGGTTTACCGCTTCGCTACTGAAATAAGAAGAGAAGAAAAACAGTTGAAAAAAACTTGAAAAAAATCATGTTGGGAGATTCCTATAGAAAACGTCTCAATAGAAAAAATTGTATAGGAAGATACAAACCCACCGATTTTTTCTATAAAATAGTTTTTATTGGGCACTGTTGCGGACTGGTTTTACCACTTGGAGGAATTTTCGGGGTTTTCGCGTCAACTGTCAGCGACTCTGACAGTTGCGAATTGAGTTATCGACACGATCAAGCGTTAGCGTCGCTTTTCTATGATTTATTCAGTATTCATTGCCCAATCGTTGAGGACTCATGTTGAGTTTGTACAGTCCGCTACTAGTCATTAACGCCGCTAGATAATTATCAGTATTTATATTTATGTCGAGTCTCAACGGGAATACTCTTTTGTACTAGTTAATTATTGTGGTGATTAAATGACAGTGACAATTTAATTCACCGGTGTCGGTGTCTATTCATTTAACCCTCTATCCGGACTCAGCGTCTTGGCGCCCTATTTGGAGTCGCAACATGCACTTTCTCGAAAAAAAAGCGCAGTAAATCTACCGAATTTTTCAATAAAATCTGCCAAGAACTAATAACACCCCTGATGTCAACAGATCTCATTTCGATCGATTCGAACCCTTTCCTTCACAAAATATAATATTTTTGTTGCTTACATCTCAACTTGTCAACACGAGTGAGATTCCTCTCTGACACGTTGACGATATGTTTCAGGATTTACGTGATACACTCGACAATATTTACGATGCTAGAATTCCCAGAATCTGGCGTTCCCGCTCCTGGGATTCGTCTACCCTTGGATTCTGGGTTACGGAATTACTGGAACGGAATCAACAGTTTTCGAAATGGATAACCATCAGTCGTCCAGATTCATTCTGGATGACTGGATTTTTTAATCCTCAAGGTGAGGATACGATGTGGTGTATGCTGGAACGATTTTCAGAGATTTGCCAGTATTACAGGGACAAAATAGAAAACAGTAGAACTTCGTACGTTATGAACTCAATGCAAAGCGGTTTTAATACAAACAGGTCTTGTTTGTGCCAACACTTTGACTCTTCCGAAAAACTGGGTGAACAGCATTCTTCTTTTTCATTGACAAAATGAACTAATTTTTAACCCTAGACTGGTCACCATATGGGGGAAACACCGCAGCCCGTCGTTTTTCTTGAATTGCCATTGAATGGCTGATCGGAAAAATTATAAAAAAATTGACTTTTCCAATTAAAGTATCTAAAAAATTAGAGTAGTGTCAGAACAACATAATTGTCGAAATTCCTGAAGAAAGCAATTTTTTCCTCACAGAGGAATTATTTTTTCCCATGTTGAATGAAAGTGCCTGTTACGCGACGTTGCCGGAAACTCGCTAAACGCGTCCGGGCAGTGGAGAGTGAATTTGGCAACGTTGGGGCCTAAATAACACGGCGGCACTTTTCCGCGGACGTGACCAAGTCGTTGGGTCGCGTAGGGTGACCAGACTAGGGTTAAGGAAGGTTTTTTTTACTTTTCAATGTATTTTTCTCTCCGTGTACCCACTGCGCCAGTTCGTCGGGCTACTTTGAGTATTCACAATCTTGTACATTGACTTCATACTTCGTGAAGTTGTGTCGTTTTTCTTCTCGTCCAGGTTCTATTTGCAATTAAATCGAAGACAAAACGCTCGGAATAATGATTTTACTAATTGCTTGCTGTTTCCCAGGATTTTTAACTGCCATGCGGCAAGAAGTGACGCGTGCACATAAAGGCTGGGCACTTGATAATGTCACCCTGTACAATGAAGTAACAAGACACATGTTTGAAGAAATTAAAAGTCCTCCGAATGTGCGTATATCTTTCAAGAAAATTTTTTACTTGAATATTTCCTTTCTTTCTGTCCTTCATTTTCAAATACACTCTTGCAATTTGTCACGGTGAATCGACTCGAAATTTTTCCTAGGGGCTCACAAATTTCAAATTCCATTGTCATTTCCATGGAACAAATGATAATTTCACGAGGAAACTACAATTTTCGCACCGAATACTGTATTATTGGTAAAACTAAATAATTTCGTGGGGATATTTTTTTCGGGGAACAAATATTCTTTGAAGTAAATCTGTTCCACTCCACCAAATATTTTCACCTCGAGCACATAGTTTTTCGGCAGAGCTAATTTTTGCTCTCAGAGCACGAGAATTGATTCAAGGATATGAATTTCTATCAATTCTCTTCGAACAGGAAGGTGTTTACGTGCACGGACTATTCTTGGAGGGAGGCGGATGGGAACGACGGAGTAATCGCCTGAGAGAATCACTGAATAAAATCCTTCATGTTGAAATGCCAGTGATTCATATTTCTGCAGTGAGTGGCAAAGCAACGAAAGATACTAAATTATTATACGAAGTAAGCCAGAAAAAACTACAGTAGAAGTAGACTCGTTACAGTGTCATGGAAATTTTTCACACGGCGTTGCCACACTTATGGCTGCCGGGAGATCAGTAGAATGGAAAGACCGCGCGAGTGCACTCTCCGAATGAATTGCACTGAGAAAAAAATTTATTCCTTCCAAGAAAATGTTATTGGTGATATCTTTTTCATACTCTTAGTAGAAGAAAATATCTCTTTTGGAACGTATTTCTCCAGGCCAGTCATTTCCAGGTGCTCCGAAATCAGTTCCAAGCGTGAGAATTATGGTGATCTATAAGAATATTCTTCTGCATATGACCTCGAAGAAACTCCAATAATAATTATTAACATTTGGAATTATTCCAATTTTCTTTACCTGAGAAAATCGCCAATTTGTAAAATCCGGAAGATATCGGAGAACATTTTGTCAAGGTCATATGTAGCATAATAATCAGATTGTTCAATATCACTGTAATTTTTGAGGATAGACTTGGACTCTCTGAAAATGACTGTCCTGGAAAAATTCGTTCTGAAAAAATATTATCTTCTGACGAGAATATCAATCCTTGGCGGGAATAATTTTTTCTCTCAGTGTGTGGCAACGGCGCGCTCAGATCGAGATACGCGGTAGCGTATCGGCCAAGAAATTTACATTACGGCGCGGCGCCGCGATGCGAGTGACCATATCGGGCAGTTTCGCGTGTTCGCGTGTGCACTTTCCGAATGGATTGCACTGAGAAAAAAATTTATTCCTTCCAAGAAAATGTTATTGGTGATATCTTTTTCATACTCTTAGTAGAAGAAAATATCTCTTTTGGAACGTATTTCTCCAGGCCAGTCATTTCCAGGTGCTCCGAAATCAGTTCCAAGCGTGAGAATTATGGTGATCTATAAGAATATTCTTCTGCATATGACCTCGAAGAAACTCCAATAATAATTATTAACATTTGGAATTATTCCAATTTTCTTTACCTGAGAAAATCGCCAATTTGTAAAATCCGGAAGATATCGGAGAACATTTTGTCAAGCTCATATGTAGCATAATAATCAGATTGTTCAATATCACTGTAATTTTTGAGGATAGACTTGGACTCTCTGAAAATGACTGTCCTGGAAAAATTCGTTCTGAAAAAATATTATCTTCTGACGAGAATATCAATCCTTGGCGGGAATAATTTTTTCTCTCAGTGTGTGGCAACGGCGCGCTCAGATCGAGATACGCGGTAGCGTATCGGCCAAGAAATTTACATTACGGCGCGGCGCCGCGATGCGAGTGACCATATCGGGCAGTTTCACGCGAGTAACGAAGGAATTACTTTGAGGAGAATAACGTTTGACTTTAATTAAATTCGAAAGTAATTCTCTAACTAAGCCTCACATATATATTGTCGCGAGTGCGTAGAGGGGTACGGAAATACAGTCGCATTCTCCGAACTCGCTTCCCCCATTCCCCCATGCCACTATAAGAAGAGTCTGCTGTATTCGATTTCCACTACCAGATGATGTTTAATCTACATTCATGCAAATATTCTATTCTATTCCAGTGTCCTGTGTACAAGAAGCCCATGAGGACGTATGCTACCTTCATTGTGTCTCTGATGCTCCAAACTAATAGACCTCCAGAATTTTGGGTCATACGCGGGGTTGCATTACTCTGCGACAATAAATGAGTCTTGGATTCATTAAAAATGTGATTTCCTAATGACGTTAAACTGAAATAAAAGTCATCTCCAGTCGTGAAAATATTGTTGCTTATTTGTTCTTTTCCTCCTTCTCAACAACCTTCATGTACGATCGTCTCTTTCTTACTCGTTATTCTCGTTTTATCTTCGTTCCTAGTACACGGACGTGTAACTTTTTTTGTATCTTTTAATTATTGAACCGTAATTATCATTTTGTGAATTTCCCTGCAATTATTCTGTACAGTCAACAACAATGGAATTTAATCAAACATTAATTCTATTGTTCACAATGAAAATCGGATGTAAATTTTTTTTAATGAAATTTGTATTTTTTTCGGCATTTAACAATATAAAAGGAATACTGCATAACAGGCATGACGAAGGTACATTCACACATTGTAGGAAAATAACGAATAAATATTTGTACATTCACTAATTCTAGTGATAATATTGAACGGAACGCCCTCTACCCATGAGCATTAAGGAATTCCCCTTTCTATTTGATTTTTTTCACCATCTTCAGTGGATCTGTGGAATACTTTGCAAAAATCTCCCGCTTGAAGGAGTCGAATTGTTTTCTATTGAATATATTCTGTCTTTCTCTCCATCCGGGCCGATTTTTTCTTGATTGCAAACCCCAGTGAACGGTGAAGACTGGTGAGAGAACTTTGAATTGATATCCTGCGACGAACATCTCGTAGACCTGAAATGGGAATGTACATTCTTTTATCAGAGAAAAAGAACATCGAAGAAATTGAAGAATTTTAGGAATTTCTATAGAAAATATCGCAACAGAATAAATTTCGTAGCGAAACGCTAAAACGATTCAAGTCGATTTTGACTGTTGATCAATTTTCAATGAATATCTCGGAATCTGAGGCAAATAGCAATATTTCTGTTATAATCTTTTTTGTGAAGCACATTGAGAGTTATAAAAAAGTTCATAAGAAAAATTTCGCTATCTCCCATAGATTCGGAGATATTCCTAGAAAACAGCTAAAATTGCAATTGTTTCACCACTTCGCTACTGAATTGTATGGAAAGTAAAGAAATTCAACTCCTATTGATCTTTTTACACAATCATATATTGTGAGAATGTAAATATTTTACTTGATGCTTTCACTCATATAGAAAATCCTCTACACTGATAAATCGGTACAACTCACCTGTGTATTTCGCGTATATCCATATCCTAAAAACCTCTCGTCATGTGCTGGAGCTGTATCTTTAGATACATAGAACGGTTCATAAAGAAATTCAAAGTTCGTCACATTATGGCTAATGTAAGTTACTCCGCGGAGAACATCTTGATATCCTTTTGCACCGGGAGTCACATCAGATATCCATCTGCAATTTTAACATGAATCATGTTTTTATCTGAGATCTATTTGAATTTAACTGCGTGCAGTGAATCCTCCGTAAGTCTTCACTGCGCCACCGCGCGAGGGGAACCTTCCTCCCACCAGTACATTCCCCTTGATGCGTGAAAAATGTGCGCAATAACATTCCATGCACGAAATTCCCATTACGTTCTATCATTCAGAGAATAATATAAACATAAAATTCACTCAAATATTTTCCCGAATATTATATTAATATAAGCACGGCTGTTACGCCCCTGTAGCCCTGCGACGACGATTTGCTTAGGAATATTTTAAGTTTATCAATTGAGAAAACTTATTTGTCTATATAAAGTGTATGAAATAAAATACATAAATTATTATATTATTATTACATATTATTGCATATAAATAAGTTTTTTCAAGTTCAGGATATGCTTGGCGAAATAGATTGCTGACGAAAAATATTTCACAAATTTTAAAAATTTCATTTTACGCACAAGTGATGAAAAAATTATTCAACTGGACTAAACGAATTCTGCGCCTTACCTCGTGAAATTCGTGGCATACTGATTGTGAATAAACACCTTCCAGTGAAACGGCCTGGCAAGTCCCTTTCTCGCTAATCTCACCAATTCAGTTTTATTCTGCGGGAATTTCACTCTTACATCTAGTTCATACGTCGGTATCACATAAGCACATTTATCACAATCACGAGTACGACGCATGAACTGATCCAGAGAATTTGCAAGGTTCATGCTAGGTATAATGTCCACATCCGTCAAGAATACCCAATTGGTCTGGCAATTTTTCCGCGCCAAATTCCTCATGTGATTCTGCGGATAGACATTTTTTGCCCGCCAATTAGTGTGCTCAACCGATATTTTGTTCATGAGCTCGAATAAGGTTGCCTCCGGTCTGGAGCATTGAAAGTCCTCAGAGTATTGAAAAATTGTTGGATTTTTCGTCGGAACTTTATTCCTTGGCACTGCCAGGGAAAACGTCACTCTTTCTCTGATTGGTGGATAACATCTTCGGATGTAATACAAATACTTCTGTAAAGCTTCAAATTCCTCGTCCCCAGCGGTGTACAATGCCACAGATATCGATGCAGTCCAATGATGCGCAACTTGAACTAGTGAGTGTAATTTTTCCAACGACGACTGCGTAGCTAAACATATACTTTTCGACGCCGACAGTTCAGAGAATTGTGAACCAACTAGAATAGAGTCGAAAGTTTTGTACTGACGACGATTATCCCATCTCCCCAACCGGAAATCCAAGTTGAGCGGCTTTGTGTCGTTGAGATCCGGATTCTCTTCCGTAACCGGACACCGGACCATGTTCTTCGGTTCGAGATTGCTTTGGTCGTCAGAATTGATATTCCATTCCGTGACGGCATTGATTCCCATCAAAGTCTCATCGTTATTTGAGCTCGTACATGTCTCCGATTGAAGTAGAAGGAATGTTAGAAACATGTTTGACATTGCCAGGACGATAACGCTGACCAAGCTCAGAGTTCGTGGTCGACATCCCAACTGTAATAAAAACATGTCTGGAGAAAAAAAAAGTACGATCTCAAATGGAGACTTGTGGAAGTCTTGAATTGAGACTTTCGAAAGGCTCAAATTAAGGTGAATCCCTAGAAAAGAGGTTTTTCTAACGATTGTCCTCATGTTTTTCATGGATAATCTTTACAATACTCCTTAGCGATTAAAAAAAATTTTAACTAACTGTACTACACAGTCTATTATTATTATTAGAAGCAGTTCATTATTTCCCTGAGGTACAACAATCCCCTGAGGGAAAACGAAATAGTATTTTTCCGGGCTGCTGCGATAGGGTTTTTTACTCGGGTGGCGTTGGCGTCCGAGCCGAAGGCGAGGACTGGCCAACCACCTGAGTAAAAAAACCCCATCGCAACAGCCCGGGACAAGATTTTTTTGTAGGGATTTTCAAGTTTTCGAGTTTGGAAAGTATGTAATACCCATTGCTAGATTCTTATATTTATGTTCATAATGTTTAGGTGACGTTAGTTGTTTCGTGGAATATATTATATATTATATATTATATATTAAGGGAGAGAGGGGTAAAACGGCCCCTTTTGACTTTTTTTGTGATATTCATAACTCAGAAACAACTTCATTAATTGAGATCAGTCTAGGCTCATTCTAAAGGGGAAGAAGTGTAGTTTCCATGGAGCAAAAATTATTCCATTACTACTTTTGTTACTTTTACATTGTTACTTTTGTCGATGAAAATTCATGTTGACACATCGTCAGACGTAAAAGTTATGCCGATACATTTCACTTACGCCCCTTCCAATCTAAGACGACTATATAATTATTTATTTCTGATAATTAATCGAAAGCACGTGTGACTTTCAAAATGGCGAATGATACAATCAGGTCGAAGATAAGGCTCATCCCCTATTTTCGATTAGATTGCAGCCGCTTGTCAAGGCCACTGACAGAAAATGTATAAAGTATATTTTCCACAGATTGGATGCATCTACCTTAATCATGGAAGTATGTTGACATGCAAGACAAAACTGTGGCGAGTGGAATCCGGCGTAATGATTCCTTCCCAACAATCTCTCGTCAAATTTCTTATTGTCCATTCGTTCTAATTCAGTTAGGGCAATGAAGAAGGAATGTCAAACTTGACTGTTAATTTCAGGATTATTTTTTCACCGATTTATATGTACATTTATGTTAGATAGTTGTCAATTTTTCACTACTACTACATCCCTACTTGTATGCGATGCAGTTTACTAATATTACAGGCGCGCGCATGAAATTCAATCGATTTCGGTAGACGACGCTTCGCGGGACCTAGTCTAGTTGCTTCATTCGATTTTATTTCAATGATATTTATATACTAACTGATTGAAAAAATCGAAAAATCTCATATCAGTACTGATATAATAATCTACCCCATAAATAAATATATTAAAATACATTGTTAATAACTATTACAAAATGTGCTTTTTTTTATACAATAAGTTATGTTTCTTTTTATTTTTATTCTCTCTTTTCTTTCTTTTTTTTCAGCGCAACAATACTACAAATAATAAAAAGCACTAGTCTAGTGCAACGGTTTAATCTACCACAAAAAACAATACTGATTTCTACAAAATCAACCTAAGAATTTATAAAACTTGAGTGTCCAAAGGGACCATTTGTTTATAATGCACCAGATATGCATCATTAATTTTTTTATATACCTGTTTTTAAAAAATGTAAATGTTGTAAATAACTGTAAATACCCTTGTAAAAAAATTAAATAAAACATGGTTAAAAAAAAAATTCATTTTAATGATTGAGGAGGTTTTGAACTCCAGAGAGACATACGGGACAAAAAATTCGAGACATCCGCCATGCTCGAGTTTTCTTTTTCCATTCGAGAAATTGCCCATGCAGTAATTCATAAGTTGCCTTCTGGCTTTACCGAATGCCGCCAAAAAATGCCATCTTACAGATGCCATTGGGACAAGCTGTGCTGCTTAAGTTCGTACTCCAGCGCTACAGAATTCCAGTAATTTCTACATCACCGACCCCCTACCCAGGCATCGATAGCCCGCGCGGCGAGGGGGGGGGGTAGACTAAAATGGCGGGAATTTAAATTTAGTCCTTCAGTGATCGTTATCCCCCTCCGCGGGTCATTTCCCGGTTCGGAATCGCCTCGTCCAAACGGGAGAAAAATAATGATTTTTAGTCGGCGAAAAACGCGCAAATCGCTCCCCAGGATTCCCACATTGGACAATTTCCCGCCCAGAGGGCCATTTCAACGTCCATTTGGTGTCTAATCATGACCGTTGCGGTTTGGCGATCAATTGCCCATTCCATAATTCTTGAGATTTGAGAAAAATGAATATTACTCTGCAGAATATAGAAATCTTTAGTTCAAACTAATAGCATTAAATATGCGTTCAATTCTTATAATGTTCACAGGAAAATTCTTGAATTTTGTCACGTATGAAAAAATCCTATAGGATTTCCAATGGGAAATCCTACGGAGAATTCGAACATTTCCTATAGGATTCCTTATCAGATTTTTCCTATTGTATTTTTTATAGAATGTCCTAGAGGATTTTCTATAGGATTTCACACGAGATTTTCAACAGGATTTCCTATAAAATTTAGGGGTATGAGGGTCAGATGAGGATCAAAAGTGTCATATGGGGATCATCTGGAGGTCATATGGAGTCATATAG